ATTATATAATTTATTATTATATAAAATTGCACTAGAATTTATTAGATTAATTTTTAATTATATTGGTAAAATCCTCTCACCTTACAAGAAGCATTGATGCTTACAGGAATTATTAAATCATCCAAAATAACTCTAGTGGTGATATCCCATGCAAATGCAAAAGACTTAGTGTATCAAGGATCGATGTATCCATAATTCAGGAAGCCATCACACACCAAAAAGAATTAAATAAATAAAATAAATTACCTTATTATAACTAAAATACTATTGTAATTGATTTCATTTAATAATTTTTTCTGAATATCTATGTAAAATAAGTAGTTTGGTTGTGGAAACAAATAAACTAATCATTATGGTTGAACAGAAGTTCTAATTGAATAACTATTATTTTTGGAATCTAAATGTTGTCTCAGTATAAATTTGTAATTGCTTAAGAAATTTGTTTCCACAAAAGTATTAAATTAATCAACACCATATTAAGATTGAAAATCAATTTCATTCTTTTCAATTGGAATAGAATCTAAAATAGCTGATTCTTATTACGGTTCATCAAGCTTTTCCTCAATTTTGTAATCGATATATTCAAAAGTACTTTGCTTTTCATCTTATTATGAGTGATTAGATTTTAAGTGAGATGAATTTTAATTATTTATTATACTCTAATAAACATCATCGTTATTGAATTCTTTCATGTCATTTTGGTTGTTCTCAATCTCTTATTAATTAAATTTCATTAATTATTCGCCAATAATATATTCAACCATATTGTAATTGTTGGGACATTATAAACTATTAATGAGGAGCAATTTGCCGAAAAATTTTGAAATTTCTGAATTCATATATTTCTTAAAATAAATAATTCTTGGGTTCTTATTTATTGATGACTTAAATCAAAGAATTTCGTCTTGTAGTGAATAAGTATTTTGTGAAATTTTTTCATAGTCAAAAATTAGTTAAACTAACAAAAATTGACATAAATAGATGCGATCATATAAATAAATTTTTACACATTCCTAAAATAAACTTTCTTTTGTAATAAATAATGTTTTATTATGCTAGAAATCTGATAATTTGGATTATTATAAATTTGCAATATATATCAATTCCAATTCTATAAACATTTAATCCATTCATCACTAAAACCTACTTGTTTCCTTTTTTATATGTTAATTTTCCAATTTCTGGAAATCTTATAATCATTCATTAATTTAAGAAAATTTTCCTAAGGACTTTAGTCACTGCATAATAACTCAAACCATTTAAGTCCAATTTTAACATGATTACTCTCTTCTTAGACTATTTTTTTTATTACTTTTTCATAATTCTTATCACCTTCTAATTTTTAGATTAAATTCAATCCTGTATCCATCCCTCTCCCTTCATTAACAATGCTCAAAACTGCTAATCTTCCTAAAAGGGAATTCATGGTTAACATCATTCTTTTTTACAAATTATTATGAACTGGTTGGGATCCATATTTGCATAATTAATTTACTAATTCAAAATGACAAAATTCTTCAAATGCAATCTATCCTAAGTCTTCCTTAAATTCTTTTTGGAATTAAACTGGGACTTAATTTATAAACCTAATAAGAGTATCTATGTATGATTTCATTGCATTATATTCTATATGCGCTATAGAATGGATTACTTAATCTTTTATAGGTATATGCTTTGTTGATTATTCCAAATCATACGTTGTCACAATCTGTTTAATTATTATTCATTACCTTTATATTTTCATCATACGAATATATAGGAATATAATCATTATTTGAATCAATTGGTAAACTCATAAATTATCTCATGTCTTCTAAAGTTATTTACGATTTTCTTAATAAAACCTTCCCAAAATTTATCATAAATATAATTTATTAAAAGTATTCCACTTAATTCTAATTTTTTATGCTTAGGGTACAGTTTTATTTTTCATTTGAGTTTTTAAAATTATTTTATATATTCTCAATTGAGATGGGATATAGAACAGATTCTGTATTGCAAATTTATAATTCCAAATATTAATTACAGAAGCAAAGATTTATTTCACAAACAAAAGACCTCTATAGCATAAAAATAGAATATGTATTTTGGATTTTTTTTGTATACTGATATTATTAACTTCATCTTACTTAATCAATAATAGGAAGAACTGTCATTAAAACAGCTGGCTATAATACAGGGAATATAGAAAAAAAATCGTATTAGTAAAATGAAGCATCTTAAATTTCATTTCAATTAACCTTAACACATTAAATTTTTTATTATGCATCAGGATGAGCTTATTGAAAACAGAAAAGACTAAAAACCTATTGTTTGGTATTTATTCAATATAACATATACAATTAGATAATTAATTAATTACATTATCATATCAAATATATATTCTCATATTTGATTTATATCAAGAATTTCTTAGTATCTTCTTACCTGAATTTACCCTTTTTTCCAATCCCATGTTATCAAATACTCTCCGTTCTCACTAATTGTTCCAAATAAAGCTCCACATTCATCTTTATCCTTACAATCAAAATAAATAAATTATTATAATTTACATTAGTAAGTTTCTTCTTAGATAGAATTATTGAAAAAATTAAATTTTAATAAATTTATTGTGCATCCATTTTTAAGGAGGAGTATTTATTTGGATTAGACAAAAAGAGCTGGAAATTCAGCGTCACAAAATTGTCCTCCACCTTGAATTTTATATTCTTCCCTTTTTCTGAATTTTTTTGTGTCTTTGGTTAATGTGTATATGTGGAGAGTCTTTCCACCTTTCCATTGTTCTCCATTACTATGAGGTAAGAATGCAAACATATTATTAGTTATGTAACAAATCCGAAGTCCCCATTTTTTTACATTAATCGTTTGGATGACTTTCCATTATTTCATATTTGAATTATCTCTATTCATAACCAATATCTGCTTGTCTGAACTACAAGAAATTAGTGTGGTTCCTTCCTGATTCATTGATAATCCATAAACTGAATCATTATGTTCTTTAATTGCTTATTAACAAGACCAATATGAACAAGAGTTTAAATAATACCAAAATTTAATACTATGATCATCTGATCCACTGACAATTAAACTTTAAAAATGAGAACTATAATTTACACATCTAACAGAATCTCTGTGATCATTTAGTTTAGTGAGATATTTAGGGTTGGATTGATTAATTTCCGACCAAATTACGATGGAATTGTCAAGCGAACTAGAGACAAATTATTATCTATCATTCATAAAATTCAGAGTGTAAACTACAGATTTATGTTTTCTCATTGTTTGCAATAGCTTGAGTCCACTTTTTGACATTAGAAATATTTTGATTCTCATTTGATCAGATGCTAAAAGATAAGTATTGTTGTGATTGATGGCTATGGCATAACAATAGTCATGAAGTTATTAATTATATTCAGGAATTTATTCGTAACTGAAAGTACAATTCTACATTGTTAGTTAGATTAACAATTTTTTTTGTATAATTTATTAAGTTTAAATTAAGGAGTCTTGCTTACTCTGCAACAAAATTGGTGTGGTCGCACTCTTTCTTAAACTATTTTTGAAGATTTAAACTACCTATTGATATTAAATCGTTAATTCTTGATCTACTTAACAAAGCTAATCAAAAATCTCTAGATTTTAGTGTGGTTTTTTTGATTAAAATATTTTTATAAAGAAAAGCACTAAATATTACTTTGTCAATTAAAATAATTTATAGAAGTAGAATTTATTACATTTAGGAATGGAATTTGGTAATGATTTTAAAGTGGGGAACATGAAATTCAAACAAAAGATGTTAATAGTCTGATGTGAGATAAAAAGGATGAAATAAGGGTGATCAATGAATTAATTAATTGATCATGTCATACTTAAAAATCTAAAATCATTACAAAATATTTTGTCACCTTTAATTGGCAAAATACACCAAAATTAGTCAATTTTTTTATTTCATAGTTTATACTTTGCATATATTGTTCAATTTAAACATGATTTAAACAATAGGGTCCTATCTATCAAGTGCTAGTCTTAACTTAATAACAGGGACAGGTTGTTTATTTTAATTATAAATATCACTTAAGATAATTAATTTATTTTATATAAACAGAAAATTATTGTAGAAGGAATGTAATCATAACAAGCATGGCATGGTTTGAAATCTTGTAAATTCAACTATTCTGAAGTAAAATATCATCATTTAATTAGAAAATTCATATAAAACCTTAAGATTGTATCACTGATTTTGCAGGTGGAGAAATTTAGCAGCCATTAGGAAGAGTACATTTTGATCCAAAATATGGAGATCTTTATACATGGGTACCTCATCTCAAAACTAAAATACCGAGACCTGGCGATGGTAAATCGTAAGAATTTCCTCCTGGTAAATGATAACAGTTATCAAATTAGGAAAATAATTTATTGAACATCATCCATAAGAAAAGAAACCTAGAGCATAAAGACTTCATCTGAAAGAAGGATAGTCTGGACATATTGAAGATGTTCCATATGGGATAAAAACATTTCCGCCTATTCATTGTGAAAAGAGACATGAGATTGAAGAAATGATGGGAAAAAAGTAAAGATTAGAATATCTCTACTAAATGAGAAATGGGTATCTAAATATTAAATACATAGGTTGCCAGTAGCAGCCTTAGGAGATAAAATTTACAAAAACCCAGAATATGCAGCAGATTTTTTTAAGGAGGGAGGTTTAATTACAGGATCTAGTAATATTTAAAGAAAAGTAAACATTAACTAATTGCATGAAAAAGAGATGGAAAAAAAGATATAATTAATTCAATCTAAGATTAAGAAAGGAACACTTTGGAGTGATAAGGTAAAGATGGATCAGGATGCAGAAAAAAAATAGGATATTGAAGTAAATATTAATCCATAATTCAAGGACTTAGATACATGGATAGAGACTACATTAAAACCTTCTAATCCTAATTATTAAGATCCTGATAAATTTTTTGAGAATTTAGAAAAACAATAAGCTTAAGATCCTAAAAAAGCTCAAGCAAATTAAAAAAAAGCAGGAAAGAAATGATTAGGAAATTAGAATATCATACTAAATTTTATGTCGTTTAATTTATTATAACTCCATTTTTATACTTTATGTCATTTGTCATTATATATTATAATTGATAGACAATTCTTCTTAAAAAAAACAAAATGCAATTCATTACATAAATTAAATTTTTATAACAACATTTTTATAATATTTGTTAATGAACAATGATTAAAGTATTTGGAAATATAGACCATCTGCTTTATATAGAGAAAAACAATATAGTATATTTAGATAAGTTGGACATTAGTCTCTTAAATAACTATTACCACACGAAACATAAAATAAGAAAAAAAGGCATAATTTCAGTTTATAAAATTCTTTTGAAAAACTGCCAGAATTAGAGAAGACGAGATAAAAATTTAAATATGAGCTTCCTAAATTGGAGTACCCATAACCTTTAAAATTAATGACAGTTGAGGAATATAGAGTAATTTTAGAAAGAAGAATCAAAGAAGAGGAATAACAAAAAAAATCAAAATGGGAATTACCTAAAATAGAGGTTTATGTTAAACCGAGCAAGTATTCTATTAAACCAATAATCGATAATGAGAAACTGAGAATAAAAATGGAATAATTCTTAATCGATTGAACAAAAAATTAATATTAATGATTAAATACTGAAATGTTAATATAGATTATATATCTCTTATTTAATATCCTCATTTAGTTTGCATCTTTTTAAAAGTTTATCTGGTTTTTACTTACCTAGAAAAATAGCTCAAGCATATCATGCAACTCCATTTACCTTTAGGGATTTCCTTTAGTTTTAAACATTTAGGATGAAAGACTCTAGGACAAGTATCACATAAAATAACTTTGCCTCCTTGTCCACAAACCTTGCATTATTCTTCCCAGATATTTTCTCCATCTTAAATTTAAACTTTGTTTACTTAATCTCTATAGATTTCTTCAATAATTAAGGATGGCTGTAATTATTGTTATTGAATAGTATTTTTTTTCTTTTCCTATCTTTGACATTCCTCCTGTTTTCTTTGAATGTACATTTTAATGACTTCTTTCAATACGACAAGACAAGTTTTAAGTTACAATAAATCACAATATTTATCCCTTACTTAATCTAATAAGCATTATCTAAGATTTTCAAAGTAAGATCCAAATAATTTCATTGGCATTCTTCTTATTTTTAATTTGCTGGCATCAAGTGCTTCTAATTATTTGAAGTTTTCATTCTCAACATCTTCGTCCTCCACTATTTTCTTTTTTCTTGTAAGTAAAAATGCTGAGTCCTCATCAAAATCAATGTAAAGATTATCTTCTAAAGTATCTCCCTCTTTTAATTTATCTAATCTTTCCTAAGTTTAAGTGTTCTCAATAAAAAATTCCACTGCCTTCTTCAGGCAATCAATTGAATCTTTATTTTCATCGTAACTTTTTCTAAATACGCTACGAACACTAGCACTACACCATCTGCAATTTTTTTCATTTAAATAGTTAGTCAAGTTAGAATCTATTTCATTCAACATTTTACAAAGTTAGATTACTTGAGTTTCTGTTTATTATTTGTCTTATGGTTTTCCATTTTATTTGTGCTTAAATTCTCTTTCCTCAACCTCTTTTTCATTACCATTTTATGTTAATTTTGAAGGATTTGGTTCAGAAAGAATCAATTTTTATTTCTTTATTTCTTCAAGATTTAATTTTAATTACCATTCTTTGATACCCTTTAAATTTAGACTTTTTAGGAGAATCTCAACATCATCAAAATTGTAAAAACTAATTTAATCCATATATTACCCCCATTTCATATTAGAATCAATCCAGGAATTTCTCTATTAGATAAAGACTTTATCTCTCTCATTAAGAAAGAAATAATACAAAGAGTTTTTTAAATCAAACCCTAAAAACATAGAGGGATTAATTAATAAATTTGGAATTTAAACTAATTGTAACTCCTATGATTAACTTAAATAATTACTTCTTCAAGTTAAATATATCTTTCTTAGACTGATATTAGTTTCTTTGTAATCTTAGATTTTTCCTATTCTTTTTCAATCATCTATAAATTTATGTTTTCTATTTATGATTAAGTATTCACAAAATCAGTCTTACTCAATTCCTCTTAAGATAATTTTATCTATTTAAAAATAATATTATAATTTTATTACTTTCAGGGCTTAGATCTCCTTTTCTAATTCATCTAAATTAAGTTGCATATCAACAGTTTAAGCTCTTAAATCCTTTACTTAAGCTGCTAATTATTCTTTAATCTTATTATTAGATATTAGATTTTCAATTCTGTGTGAGATTAAATTTGGTGTTTTTTTTAAATCAGGCAGGCCTTCAATTAAAATTAGAATCAAATTAAGATAGTAATCTTTATTATTTTGATCCAGCAATTTTAGATCATCATCATTCAAACATAAGATACCTTGTTGATATAAATAATGGGCAATATACTGCAAAGATTCTTTATAAATTTCGTAATATTATTCTCTATTATTATACCATAGAAACCCCATTAAATACCAAAAGGCATTCTAATTAATCACTAATTTATTACCTCTTATGTTTTTTATATTTATTCAAAATCCACATCCTCAATTAACTATTTAGTATAGAACCAGCTAAAGAATTCAATTAATTTAAGTGGTTCAGTATGTAACATTTAATAAATTTGCTTTCTTGATTTTTATGAATAAAATTAATGTTGATCTTTAAAATGAATAAAAGTTCCAATTTGAGATTACTAAGCTATAAGTTAATAAAATACATTATCTGAATTGCCTTCTTCAATATTTAAAATATCGCTAACAATTTTATCGTAATTATTATATGAGTCCCATATAATCAAGACTTGATAGAAGTATTAATTAGGAATATCTGAATCTTCCTTAATGATAGGCTTCTTTTTCACTTCTACATGAAAGAGATCTGAATAGGCAACTAGATATTCATCAAGAATTGGAAACAAAATTTATCCTTGATTTTTATAAGTTGGAAATCGAAGCAAAAATTCTGATAGAGATCCATTATTTTCATTATCACTTTATTCAGTAGTGCTCTGTACTTATATTTCTACTTTTCTTTTCTTTTTTTTTTTATCTTTGTTTTTCAAAGTTAATATCTCAATTCTATTAATACATTTTTTGCATATCCACTTTTGGGTTTCCTCATTATATGATCCATATTAATGTTGATTAGCACACTCCTGATGATATCTAAAATGACATCTATTGCATATATTATAAACTTATTCCAAAGTTGTTTTTTAGCATAATCTGCATATAGTTTTATCTCCAAATTATTATTTTCCATCGAAATTCGATCTAACTCCTTTTTGGGATTTCTCGGCCTTCAATTATTGTTTGTTCTTTTTTTTATCATCAAAATGTTTTCGATTCTTATGGTCGCCTTATTCTTCTGCTATTTCATCCACAATAATTTAGATAATGGGTTCTTCAAAAGTAGTCATCAATCGATAGGTTAAAACAAATAATAAAAGAGATAATAATTCAATTGTTTGTATTCATTTTAATTGAAGTCTAAGAATTTTAAAAATTTGGACATTAATATTTGGCTCGACACAAAAGTATTAATGTTCTTCTCATTTAGTGTTAATAATATATCCAATCATTTTAGCCATAATTTTGTAGCGTCATGATGTGAATTGAGCAAATTAACGAGTCATATAATAAAAATTAAAAAGTTGAATTGCATACTGATTCAATTTGATTCGATGATAATACTGATTAGAATCTAAAATATATATAGAATAAACTAATTTCTGTAACCTAATAGGTAATTTTTACACTATAATGAAAATGGTTACTCATTCATTAAAGAATTTCAGCAATTAGAAATTGGTTGATTTTTAACTTTTTGTTTTTTTGGCTTTAAAAAGATAGACTAGAAGAGATGATTAATTTTTGCTAGTTTAATAATGAACATTTATTAATTATTAATGTGCTGATATTTTATGAAATGAATCAGATGAACGAACAATTTAAATTGAAATTTTCCATGTATTGTAAAGTTCTTTTAATGTAATACTTCTCAATTGTTTTAATTAAATTATATTATGTCGAAAATAAACACTCCTGTTAACAAATCCATTTCAAAATTTAGAAACCATAAGAGAATAGAAACCCATAGAAAATAATCTTTGATCAATTTGGTAATTTCTGAGAATGTATCAACTCGACAAGTATAGTTTATGATATAATGAAGGCTGCTTAAAAACTTCAGATAAAGTATTCCACGGCAAAGTACATTATGAAGAATTTTAAAAATAAAGGAAATTGTTTGGACGAACATTAACATCCGCAGAGCAAACAAAAATCCATTATTTAAAATGTTAATATAGTAATAGATGTATCTGATGGCAGTATTATGTTGGCTAAAAATAATCAAAAAATAAGTTATTGTGACTTTTCTTCTTTACAAGAAGAGTATAAAAACCAGAACTTACTATAAACTTCTGAGTTGATTTATGAGAAACTGGGGAAAATTTCTTGGCACAAATTTCATTATAAAGAATGCAGAGATGAAGAAATGCTCAAAAAATTTTTACTTAGATAACATATTCTGATGAAGTAGGAATGAAAAAATTATATATATCATATATGTTTTATTAATTAAATACTTTCGTAATTAAATCTCAAGGCTAATTATTTAAGATCATCATCTCACAGCTATCAGAAATTACCCATATGATCTATTTCTATAGTTTTCTGAAATTATCCATGTAATTCCGAGCTTTGGAATGAATATTCTGAGAAGATATTATCTCCAAAAATATCATTTAAATTAAAAAATTTCATTTCTTTAATAATATTTTCTGCCTATATTTTACTATTATAAGGAGCCATTCTAATATGTCTATCATGTAAATCTAATTTCATTTTGATTACTTCGACATTCTAAAGTCTTAATTTACTAAGAATTTCATTATTAAAATATTTATAAAGAGCAATGTTTGAATAAAAATTTAAAGATTTAAGAATCAAAATGAAGACAAAAAAAGTAAAGAAGATAAGTCTCTCGTTAAAATAATCACTCATTGAAAGTGTCATGACTGATCACTTATCTATTCATCAAGTAAACTATATATTTATATATAAGGCTTCGAAACTTCACTCCATCAATTACTCCTCTGCTAAATATATTATCAACCTATATAAAAAATTAGGTACTGTGACTCCTTAGCAATCAAAACAAAGGAGAAAACCTAAGGTTTATATAATCAAAACATCAGTTTTGGTTGACTACAATTCTGGGGAGATTTTACTATATAAATAAAATTAATTAAAAAAATAGAATCACCAGGAGAACTAATAGATATGTATGAAGAAAGGGCTCATCATGACTTCAAAATCAATAATTCACTTACTTAAAATTAAAGAAAAAATATTTTCTGAATCAAATTCTGATTATAAAAAATTACCAACCTTCACTAATATTTCTGAACTAAAAAACTTGATCTAAATGCAACACAAACTGATGAGTTCATGATTAATTATAATATATATTTTTTATTAATATTGATCAGATGAAAATTTTATTAATTAACAGAATCCACCAATATTTAACTTTATTGTTTTGTTTCTAATCTATATTTCTCAAAATATTGCTTATTTATTAATCACTATTAACCGAAAAATACAAAATAACATTAAGGAATTTAGTTCTAAATACATAAAAATTATTTATTTTATATATATTTAATTACTGGTTGAATGACTCATAATTTGTGTCACTTATTATCACCAAATTTAAGTGTAGCAAAAGGCAGAGATATAAGTGGAGAGTTTAAATACTCTTATAAATCATTATTGTTATGAAAATATTTCTCTGTGTTTAAATTTTATTTATCTTGGGATAAAAATTAAAATTAAAAAAATTATCTATTATTCGTGTAACTTTAATATTACAAATAACGAATCAATAGCTTCAATTTAAACCAAACACCTATTAGTATTTGAAAAATAGATTGAAAATATATTTATATATTAATATATTTTATTTATAAAAGTATTAGAATCAATTAAATCAAATTTTTCATGTTATTTTTAAAGTGTTCATGCAAATTTGTAATCTTTATAGGTTGAGGAACAAAACTATATAGTTAAGTTATGATACAATAACCGTAAAAAATTGATGAATTTGTAGGCACTTGCCTCTATATTTAATGAATTACAGAGTTTTGAAAATTATTAATGTCTAGGAAGTTTGATTTTTGGTTTGGTTAAATATCGTTATTGTCAAATTATGAACTACAGTTATGTAAAGAATTAGCTGTCAAAAAAGAAATTTATACAATTTTGCGCAAATAAATAATGTAATTTGATCATTTATTTTTATATTTTCAACTTATGAATTGTGATTTTAAGATCACAGAAAATTGATATCTATTTATAAAGTACAATCCAAATTACACTTTTGTATTATCGAAAATTTTATGAAAATTAATAGAATAATTATAAGAATTTTTTAAGCAGAAATGGTTTTAGTGACATACAAAATGCAATAGTAAGACCTTGAATGGAATATCTGTTGAGAAATAAGTGGGCGTTCGTGATTTGAGAATGGGTATAAAATATCTGACCTTGATATTCTTATTGTTAGTTTACTGGTCAATTAATATAACTCTCTCTTTGCTGTTTTGCTAAGATAATTCTTTGTAGATTTTGAATAGACATGGAACTTACAATTTAAAATGGGAAGATTAAGAGGTAGAAATTTTAATTTAGTTTCTATATTAAGTTTAAAGAAAAAAAAAATGAAAAAAGTCACTTGTTAAATTAGGATTACTAATTTCTTGGGTCAGTTTTAAAGTAGTTTTAAATATGAAAACCCTCAAGATTTCAGCAAATGGAAAGGTTTAACAGCAAACTGATAGCTGAAAGAAAAGACTAGGATCAGAAAATATTTTCCTACAAAAGAATTGAAAAATCTATGGATATTAGTTTCATAGCAATTTGGCTTTTTGAATAAAGAGAAATACGAATAGCCCTAGAAGAGCTGGTTATATAATATTGTTTTTATGTATTCAAGGGGTAACTCAACTAATATACGGACAAAAAGAAACTTAGTTGTCATTTTATTCAATAGAAAATCTCAATAATAAACTCCAAGAACTTCTAATAATGGAATGAAAAGCTAAATTCTGCTTGACTTTAAACATCATTAATTGTAATCTAATTAAATTTCTATGGTTGAATAAAATATAGCATCTTAAATCTCTTACATTCTACTGTGCATGCAATTAGCAACCTAAAAAAGAAATGAAATGACAACCAAACTTTCCAATAATGAGCATTAAAAGTTAGGACCTATTGTATTTGCATAATAATATTTTTTTTTAATTTACAGTATATTCTGAATCTATATTTAATATGTTCAATATTTTCAAGCTAACTCAAGTTAATTAATTAGATTAGCGAGACATTTATTAATTATTAAAATTTATAATATAACACAAATAAACTGAATTGTATTGTTAATAAGGTCACAAAGCATCCTTTGAGCATGAGCATAACAATATTATGATTCAATCATAAAAAAAGAAACAGCTCCATTGTATCTGACATGGCTATTTAAAAAGTTTTAATTCCCATTAAACGAAAATAATTAGTTTTCGTTTTCTACTAAAATATTCTAATATGATTGTCATTCAATTTAGAATCAATGAACTGTAATAGATATTATAGTATTATTATATTAATTCATTGTTAGATCTAAATACTCTAAAAACTTGTTAAATTATCAAAGCCTTTCATAATTTTTTATTAATGAAAGTTAATTGTTTAATTAATGTTTACAACTGCATTTAGATTCCAAACTATAATATTTCTTGATAATATTTATATTTATTTATGTTATTAATAAGAAGGCTTCCAAAATTTTTATTTTGTCAAAATTAAAACATTGACAAGAAAAATGTTACTGTAAATATGGAATAGATAAAATAAAGAATAATGGATAGAAAGACTGAGTTGCCATTTAAGGATCCATCGATAAGTAAGCCGAGAGAATTTTATGATACAAAATAAAATAAAAGGAAAACAGAGTATATATTCGATTTTATTGATCCAACACTGCATAACAAACCCTTTTTATAGCAAGTGTTCGGATTGGGCAATGGGTACTTTTCAGTGAATGATGTCTGGTATCCGGGTAGCATTTTAATATTTCCTTAATAAATATTTTTATGGGATGTATAGACTGCAGCCGATATAAGGGCACATAGTTTTGATATTTTGGAAGTGATAAAGCCAAGACCAAGTGAAAATTGATTAATATATGAGTAGGCTATGTATTGATTGGGACAGGAAGAGAGAAGCAAGATTTGCCAGATTCATATTTTGAGAAGTTTAAAAAGTTTGGTATAAAGGTGGATGTTGTCGCAACATTTGAAGCGTGCAGTCATTTCAATTTTTGTAGTGAAGAACAAAGAGATGTTTGTGCTTTTATGATTCCTTAGAATTTATGAATTAATATTAATATATATATATAGATAGAAATGTTATCGCAATAATTGTTATCTCAATGGAGGAAGGGTCCTACAAATAGTGTATCCTTAGAACCTGGACGTATTAAATAATTAATTCGATAGATGGCAGAGGGATCTTCTGTATGGACATAATGAAGGATCATTTGGTTACTGGATCAGCCGATCATGGTTTGAGATGTTACAATCTATCTTCTCTGAAATACGAGAAAGAATTATATGCAAAGAGATATGGTCATACAGAATGGGTTAGTTCAGTGTAGCATTTGTAAAATGGGTAAATAATATCTGCAGGGATGGACAGCAAGCTCTGTTTATGGGATGCAAAGGGTGTAAGATGTAATGATTTGGTTGGACATCAAGGATCGATTACTAAATTGATGGTGGATGAATAGTCAGTTTGTATTTCAAGTTCATATGATTAAACATTGGTGATTTGGCAATTAAGTTCAATGTAAGAGAGTAGGAAATTGTTTGGACCACATAAAAGTGCAGTGTTAGATTTTGATTGGAAAAACTCATTGTGTGTGAGTGGTGATAAATAGGGTACTGTGGTGTTTTGGGATATCAATGAAGGAGAGCCAGTGATGTCAAAGCATGCTCATTAAGGCGCTGTGTCCAAATGCTTATTGTACTCAGATGGGGGGAGTAACAACCTTGTTATTACGGCTGGTATTAATGATGGAACATTGATTATTCATGATATGAGGACCAATAAATTGGTAAATTAGAGTTAGATTCATAAGGGATCAATTAATGGTCTGACAGTGAATCTATAGAATTTTAGTAAGACTTTCAATAAAATTGTTAGTAATTACTGGCAGTGCTGATGCAACTTGCAAGATAATCGACATTGTTGCTGGATTCAAGCCAGTTTCTATGATGAAGGCAAAGGATGCGGTGTTTTCAATTGAGACCATTTATAATATGACAATTGCGGGGTGTGGAGATGGCAACATCTTGTTTTATGACAACGATTCTGGTTAATGCCTGTATGGATTTGGGGCGATGAACAAGGGTTGTGTGAGATAGATGAAAATAAATGACAATAAAACAAAGTTGGTTGCTGTAGGTGATGATTTTTCACCGATGGTTTTGTAGTATTCATGATTATATTGATTTGAATTTAAGTTGATCTATTGATGCAATGATATTTGGAATAGTCATTCCATAAAATTAGTAAGAATAAATTAAAAATTTAAATAATAAAAATATTTTTGTGTGTGACAATATGAGTTTTCGTTAAACTAGATGGAGATTTTTGGCAGTGTCTTTAGCTGCTCTAATCCTTTTAGGAAATAATTATTCATTTGATAATCCTCAAGCTCTGCAAACTTAAATTTAATAATAATTAGGAATTAACATTATTCAGTTTAATTTACTATATAGTGTTTTTGCTTTGCCTAACATCTTTCTCACTATTTTGGGAGGTATTTAAAGATCATCAATATTGTAGGAATGATAATTGATCGACTTGGAGTGAGATTCGGGATTTTCACATTTACACTTATAGTTACTATCGGTTAATTGATAATAGCTTTGGGGGGCAAATTCAATCAATACTCCCTAATGTTGTTGGGAAGAGCAATCTTTGGTGTGGCCAGCGAAAACTTGATCATTGCATAAAGTACATTTGTAAGTTTATGGTTTAAGGGCACAGAATTAGCGACTGTAAGGTATTGTAACTTAATATAGGCAATGGGAATCATCATGACTGTTCCAGAATTGGGAGGTGCTCTAAATAGTTTATTGACTCCTTTGATCTACAATTCGAGTCAAAAGTTATCAGTGCCACTTTTTGTCAGTGTAGGATTTTGTTTATTCTCATTTTGTTGTGGGGCAGTTTTGGTTTATCTGGACAAATACGCAGACAAATATGATTAAAGATGTGAGTAATAAGTTTGACATACTCTTTTATAGAAGCAGATTCTCAATACGTTTTGGAATAAAACATCATGGAGAAAGAGGAAGGAGAGGAAGATGAAGAAGAGGAGAAGTAAGAAGAATCCAAAGAAGAAATCAGTTTGTAGGACCTTAAGTAATTATCAGGCACAGTCTGGATCCTCTTGATGATCTGCACTTTCAGTCTGTGTATATTCATCCCCTTCTTGGATAATGCTAATTAATTCTGTTAAGAGAGATTCAACCTTTCAAATATATCAGCAGGAAGAGCCATCATCATTACCTACTTGACACCAAGTAAATACATCAAATTAGCCTAGTTTTTGTATCTCCATTTATTGGGTATGTAGTTGATAAGGTGGGCTATAGAAGAAGATGGATGATATTGACATCTCTGCTCTTTATCATCTCCCATTTATTATTCGCAATCTTACCAACTCCTGAGGATGGATCACCTCAATATGCAGCTGTAGTTCCCTTGTTCTTATTAGGAGTCAGTTATGCATTCTATTCTTGTGTTATGATTCCTTGTGTTCAGTATCTTGTTGAGTAAAGAATCATGGGCACTGCTTTTGGGTTGATGGGCTTATTTGAAAGCATCGGAGCTTGCATCTTCCCTCTTGTTTCCTCTTAAATCTACAACACTAACGGTGATTACAGGTAGGTTGGATTCTTTTACATGGGAATCGGTTGTGTTAATTTAATCTTTGTATTGACATTATACTTTGTGGATAAGAAGGGGAGTGAAGTACTTGACAGAATTAACCCCTTGGAAGATAAAAGTGATAAGGAATCATCATCCACTTCTGATGATTCTGTTGCTTCAGATTTAACAGATGAGGATGAAAGGGAGTATATAGAGATGAAATCCAACATCAATTCTTTAAAGTTACAGCCATTGGAAACTAATAGTGACACAAAAAGCGAACCAGGGGATCTCAAGATGTAAAGATCTCTAAGCTTCGAATATTCAATGCAAGTTACAAAAATAGATAATTAATGATTGGTATATATTAGATTTCATTTTATTAATTTATTCTATATTTTCTATTGAATTAACCTGAATATCTGAATGAGATTTGCCTTAACCATTCTGTAACTAAATGAGAGCAACTGGATCACAACCAATATCATAACAAATATTGATAAGTGTGACTAAATTACCAAAGGTTATATAATAGTTAAAATTGTATGGAATCTAGATAAATAGGTCACCTACATAATTATAATTGAGACTCTTTAATAAAATTATGTAAATCAATATTTCCTAATTTTATCATTTCCATCTAATATTTACAGCATATCCAGTACTTCTAAAATATTCAGTGTTAGCATAATTGTCAGTACTTTCAATTAAATTAATATGTAGATATATAATTACCAAAACTTTTATGTTTTATATAGGATTATATTTTGTCAACGGATATTTATTAATATATTTATCTGTTAATGGAATTGTCTGCTAATAAATCTCTTAACAAGGAGAACAACAACCCTGTATTAGTACCCACTCAATACGAGATGATGTAAAAAGAAGGTATCTTTGCTAAAACCAGTTCCTCAATACATTCTTAGCATAGATTCTACTATAGAAAACAGAAGCAACCCATAGCATAACCAATCCAGAATCTTATAATGGGTCATTCTAACAGCTCCCAATCAATCCATAAGGATATCGAGAAGATAGCTAAACAATTATAATCTTAGCATATTTAAACCATGACTCAATTCAATTTCCCTCAGCCTCTAAAGGAAAGACACCCAACTTAGTATTCTCATTCCTCGAACACCTAAATTGCTGAAGTCTTGGAAATGTTTGAGAAAGAAAATTTAATGAAGATTCAACAGATCAAGCCGTGCACTCCTAGGAGACTATTGACTCCATAAGTCAATACTAAGTTACCTACCTTACACATTGAGAATAAGAGTAATGATCAGGAGAGCAATATTGAAAAGACGAGTCATCTATTGAAAAACAAACTCTTATTTAGGAGAACGATAAATCCTTCAGTGGATAAAATTAAGAAATTAAATCAACCTGTAATGGAAGTAAGACATAAAAGAATAGCTTCTTAGATTTTGAATAACACTGAAAATTTAAGTTTGCATAAACCTCTCAAAGACAGAATAAATAAGGTCTTGAAGAATTCACATTATATTATATAAATTTGCCACAAAATACCAGAGATTCAGGAATAAATTTCTGAAGAACAACTAATGGATTTAATAAATTCCGATCATTTTAAGATAGAATTCCAACATCTAATCAATAATTCACAAGGTTCTAATTAGCCGATGGAATTCATCCTATAAAACTTTATGATTGATCAAATAAGAAGGATGAGAGAGTTGAAGGAAGCCGAGAATAATTTAGAATGTAATATTTATCTTATTATTTCGTAGAAAAAAGATAAAACTTCTCCCGCTTGCTCACCAGTTATATACAGGAACTCAAAGAGAAATTGTGATTTTTACTAATTTATATAAAATGAAGTATTTCAATTCATTGATTGGCCAAAATGAACTTTGGTGTTCATTCTTTACTTTTTTTAATTTAAAGTAAAAAAATCATTTTCATTGATTAAATGAAAAAGTTCATTCGTCTAATTCAGCAAATCAAAACACCTCTGACAGAGTTTAGGTTATTTATTGATTTAACCCTAGCTCTCTTTCAAGCTAGGGATCTCAACCTCAGCAACCCTCTTTTTATGGATTATCAATTCCTTTCACTGCAGTAAGAGTTAAGATTTCCTAAAATTAGAAGATATTTATACTTCAGAACAAGTAGGATGAATGCCGATGGTTGCATCAAACTATTCTTTGGTGGCTCCTAGTTTCATAGCTACTGCATAACCCTGTACTACCTCACCTGCATTAGGTCCCAAGTAATGTAAACCAATTACTCTTCTTGTTGAGGCCATAACAATCAATTTAATCATGCACGCTTAGGCATAATGAGATTCCAAAAGATTCCACTCAAGAGGTTTAAAAATGGAATGATAAATAATAATTTCATTTTGAGTGAATTTATTAATTGCCTCCTCCTCTGAATAGCCTATACAACCATATTCAAGTGGAGTGAAAACAGTTGTTGGAATAAATTGATAACACATCATTTTCTTCTAACCACCAAATAAACGATTTGCCAATAATTATCCACATTTAATGGCAGTAGGAGTAAGTTCTGGTCTACCTTCAACACAATCACCAATTGCATAAATATTTGATACAGATGTCCTATCGTCAATAGTACAAATAATCTTTCCATTTTTATTGGTTTTAACTCCTACTCTCTCTAGATTTAATTTACTAGTATCGCTTTTTCTGCCAGTGGCAATAAGCACAGTATCAAAAGTGTCACTGTGCTGAACTCCTTTTTATTTCCATGTTACCAATCTTCTATTATTTTCAATCACTTCTATATTGATGGGAATGGCCTCATTTATAAACTTAACCCCACTCTCCACCATGTAATCTTCGATCTTACCAGCAATTTGTTAATCAAATCCTCTTAGGAGTATACTTCTAACCATAATTGAACTATCATAGCCTAAGCCATTCAAAAAGCCTCCGCATTCAAGTGCCACATAGGAAGCACCAACAATAAGGGTTTTACCTGGATTATTAGGTAACCAAAACAAGTCATCAGAAGTAATTACTTTTTTTTCTATTTCGGGAATGTCTTCTGGGTAACTAGGTCTTCCACCCACTGCAATCAATATGAATTTTGATTTTATAAACTCAACTCCTCCATCCTTGTCAACCAACTACATAGTCAATGTATATAATAATATACTTTCACAATATTGGATTTTTCTAATTCTGCCAATTTGTTGTAGTATTTCACTTCCTAATTGTTCAACTAGTTTTTATACTGGAAATTAAGCTTTTTGATATGATTTCGCACATTCTCTGTCATTCTATTCCAATCATGCTTCCCTTGCATGTCAGTATTAATCCATCTAAATCAATATTCATATTCTTACCCTGCTTCCACTTGATCTTTTCTCAGTTCTCCAGCCAAGGCAGCAAAATGCATTAATTTCTTAGGAATGCATCCCACATTCACGCAAGTACCACCTAAACCCCATTTGGTTCCGAGAGGAGATGGTTTAACAAAATCTGCTAAACCAACTTTGGCTCCTTGTGATGCAGCCTATTTAGCAGCAGCCAATCCTCCTGAGCCTCCTCCAATAACGAAGAAATCGAATTCTTAAGTAATTTACATAATTTATTTATATATTAATTTAAAATTGTCTCTATATCATAAATTAATAATTAAATATTATTTTTTCGCTTGACACTTTTTGAATAAATCTGTATCATTGAATGTATATTTAGGGAGTAAGGGTTTGTTTGGGTATTATTTGCTATTAACATAATCTTTGAATTCTTGGTATATTTTCAAGTCTCTTTGTTCTCTTGGATTTTAAAATTTCAAGTCTTTTTAGTTTTATTACTTAATTCTATTCTGCCATAAGAATTAGTGCTTTAAACTATGTTGAGGCATTACAACCAGTGGTTAGACTGTATATTCAGATTGCTTCGGTTTTTGTTAAGGAATGAACAAATTTGAGTGATCACTATTGTCATTCTTAGCATTAAAGTTGTTAAAGGAATTATCAATAAAATTGTATGTAAACTACTGGTATTTGATTTAGTTTTAAATGGATTGAGATTTTGCTCTGTTTCTGGATTAGGATGACTTGAGTTATCTTTATTTAAATGAATTTGATCTGGGATATGGCCTCTCTAAATTAATAGCCTTTTCCTTGAGTGGTTCTTAAACCTACTTAATTTCATCCTAGCCAATTTCATCTTCTGATATCGAGGAATCTGAGAAACTGACGTCAGAATTCTATTCATTTACTATGCTGCTCTGAGTGCACTTTTATTCCTCGTGATTTTTTGATAGAGTGATGACTATCTCTCTCCCCATAGATCTGAGATCATTTAGAGTGAAATCCACAATTTAATTCTAATCCTTGTAGCCGAAATACGATATCTCGAGTGTATAGATATTCTACTACATGTTCAATAGTTTTTATAGATAGACTCTGGCTGTGTGATTCAAGTATTTAGTGTTCTTCATGAATCGACTATTCTCCAGACTGAATCTTTTGTCTGAATTACAAAGTTCAGTGATGAATTCATTACAACTGTGTCCATAAAAGAAAGCTGATAATCTAATTTATTATATTTGCTTACTTCTTACTGTGTCCATGAATGTCGAGAATCAATTGGATGGGATAACTCTGGTTAAAATTAGTTATGAGCTTTTCAACCGAATTTAGTGTGTCATCCCTATTGCATCCCCATTTCCTGTTCAGATCAAATCCACCCAGACCGCATCGTTGATTTCCATGGACTACTCCATCAACATTCAACATGGGGATGATTTTAATAACAAACTTATTCCTCAATTCATCAGCCTCAGCAGACAACAATGCATTGATTATACCTTCGATAACAAAGGAACTGGTTGTCTCTCCAGGGTGTTATCTACCTATGAAGAATAATCCTTATTTCGGATCTTGGTTATCATTAGTTATTGTAACTATTTAGATGTCATTCCCAGCTTAACTTGTGATTATGTTTTTCACTTTCATTATCCTGTCGTAGATTAAGTATTTACTGGATATGAAGGACTATAGGTTCGAATAAGTGTAGGGGTAATTGGAGGCGAAATAAACAGTTCCTTACTCGATGAAGGTGTAGTTGAAGGAGAGAGAGTAGTAGAATGAGGAATCGTTCCTTTGAATGTGATTTTTCTTAAAAGATAAACCCAAAGAGTCTTTTCTCCAAGAATTGCATTCATTTATCAAGATTTTCATGCCCTGACGATAAAAGCACATGTTCTTATTGATATTGATGATGCTCAGTCTGATATTGCACAGGAGCGAATTCTTGTTTTAGATTGAGAAATAAAACCATTGTGTATATCCTTTGGTATTGATGTCATTTTAAAGGAGCAGGATGTAATCGTGATCGCTTTTCTAGTTAGGTAACATAGTAATACTTTGAACACTTGGAATAGGTTGCCACTTTCAAATAGGGAATCAAATTTAATATTCTCATCCTCACATTGATAGTAGTGGGAGGTATCAAAAGTGTTCCCATGTTAATGAAGTAGAGTTGCATACAGGCTCTGGTTCTGTTGTGGTTAATATTTCTGGTATATGAGTTTGAGAGGTTTCAGGAAGGCTTGGAGAGCTATGGGCTTTTAGGTTAAACATTCTTGTTCTTGTTATTATATGGCTGTTTTGTAGGTTGCTTCTTGCTCATTTGCTTCTAAATAGCTACAATAGCTCAAAAATAGTAATACTTTTTTTTTAATGGCAGTATTGAATTTACTTTGTTTAAATGAAGTTACTAAATCAATATAGGATTGGGCTTGGGTAGTCTGTCCTTAATGGATGAATAGAAAATTAAATTTTCTTTATCCTCCTTTTTTGAATGGTTTCTTACGTCGACTGTTTAACTTATATTCTTCATTTATTAACGAATAGATTTTAATATTTTTTAATCTATTTTAATACTCAGCAAAAATTGAAAGATAAGTATCAAGATTATTAATGTTTTATGCAATATTTAATTCTTCCTTAGAAAAAGCTAATTATTTAGTATGGAGAGTTATCTATATATTATGGTTAAGTAATTTTTTACTTTGTTAAAATTTAATCTGAATTTATGTTGAATTGAATAACATTATTTGATTGAAAGAGTATTGGAGAATAGAATTTGCGATTAGTCCTACAGAGAGAATTAGATGAGAAGAAAACTCAGCTTTAGAAGAATAATTTCTATATAGAATGTTATCTAATTCATCAATAACACATTGCTTCATACTTGATTCTCCTCAAACCACTTGTTTTTTATGGAAAATTACAAAAATTTATATTCTTATCATTTTAATATTGTGAGCATCTATATATATCGAAGAACAATTTGATAAATTTTTTATTTATTAATCGACTCATTCATTCTTTTTTGCATGTTCTTCTGTCCAATATTGTTAGAGCTTTTAACTTCCATGGTCAGGAACCATTGTTGGTTTTCCTGGTTTCCATGATGCTGGGCAAACCTCACCGTGTTCATCAGTGTATTAGAATGCTTGTACTAATCTAGAAAAATTATATGTGTCATTCTTTACCTCAAAGTTTCATCGACATTTCTTCCGACTGGTAAATCATTGACTGAATAATGTCTGAGAACACCATTCTTGTCTACGATGAAAGTGCCTCTGAAGGCAACTCCAAAATCTCCATCTTAAGGATCATCGATTAGAACTCCATAATCAGCAGAAATAGTCTAGAATATTCATTAAAAATAAGGATTACTTTTCCCAAGTCAGCAATCAAAGGGATTTACATATCTCCCAATCCTCCTTGATTTCTTGGGGTTTGGCAATACTTCATGTGTGAGAAGTGTGAATCTACTGAAACAGCAGCGACCTCACATCCAATCTTTCTGAAATCCTTGGGAAAATTGTTAAGATCAACACACTTACTTCAACTCTGTCAGAAAAAGCGATGATCTCTGTTGGGCAAACGAAAGTGAAGTCCAATGGATAAAAGAATAAGACCAAGTATTTGCCTTTGAAATCGGAAAGTGACACTTTCTTGAATGATCCATTCACGTAAGCTGTGGCTGTGAAGGCTGGAGCAGGCTTTCTAATTTTAAGCTTTTAACTCATATCTTATTAATATTATTGCACTCCAAAAATATTATATCCATTTATAGAGTGACGACAATTTAATTTAATTACGATTGAATTATTTATGTATAAGAATAATCCAAACTCAATTAGAAAATTCTGTCTACTTTTTTACTCATAAGTTAATCAATAAGAAGGCTTCATCTTGAATTATTATCATTTTATCTTAATCTTGGTCTTAGGTTAGAATATTGGAAAAGTTAGATTATACAATATAATAATTACCTTTTTGATATTTGATAGGAGATAATCACTTGAAGTATCTTCAATAAGGTTTAACAAAAATAAAATAATTTCAAATCCTATTCAATCGATGATACAAATATTTAATGTAATATTAATTTGATAAACAAAGATTCATTATAAGATTTTACTTAATGTTTAGACAATTTATAATGGTTACTTGGTAACTGCAGATCAGGTATGAAATGACTTAGTAGAGAGTTCTCAGATCCACTATTTCACAATTAGTATATTAAAGTGTGTATCCAGGATTGAAAACCCCAAAGCTTAAAATAAAAGATATTCTTTTATTACTAATCCACTCAGTTTCGTCTAAGATACATTTCCTATTCGAAAATAAAGGTTGCATTTTTAGTTCACTTTTATTGATACTCAGAAACAATTGCTTTTTATCAATTAACAAATACTTTTGTATGTATAATCTAATCGTAGTAGCTTTCATTACAAAACAAATCAAAGTAATCGAATCTAGGTCTTGTAATTTCGCTGTTATTAAGTTTGAAATTTTTTCATCTTCTTCGTATCCTCTAGTGGCTCCAAATCCAGGGGTATCAATTATTCTTAGAGGCAGAATTTCCATCCAATCCTTTTATATAGTTGTTATATTTATTCTTCATCAACAATTATAAATCTAAATGGATCTGCATGTTAGAATCCAATATAGTGATTGCTGAAAAGTTTATCATTGTTGATTTCCCAACTCCTGTTTCTCCAATTACAACTAAAGTTTTTAAAATACTTTAATCTTTCAAATCTCTTTATTGAATCATAGGGTGCTTATAAAAAGTAACATTATTTTATTCCAATTTCAGTTTTTAGCAACTATTTACTATATTCAGAAGGCATTCGTTATTAATTTTATCTTTAAATTTAAGGGTTTTCTAATTTCCCTAACTGTTTATCCAATCCTCCAATTAATCCTTTTCAATCTCCAAAATATTTCTAAGTCTTTGCGGAGGAATTTCAAGATGTTTCTTACTTGAATCGATACCATTTTCCTCAAGTTTTAATAGAAACATCCTAGATTTTGTTTCTTTCAATTTAGATTTCATTTTCTAAAATTGAAGTAAGGTCCTTATATAGTATTGTTTATTTAAATTGTTTCTTCTACATTTTATTAGAATTCCTTAATAAATATTTCTAACAAATTATAAAATTTTTAATTACCTATCTTTTGAGTGCTATTATGACAACGACCAATTTTATCATTATAAAACTTAAATCATTTTTAGTTGAAATTCAATATATTGTATTTTATCTAAAACAAAACTTCTTTTTTTTTTCTCAATATAGTTTTGGAAATTGATTTTATGAACAAGGTATTTTTAAAAAAATAGAAATCCTTTTAAATAACAAATAATTAATTTGCAATGTTTTTTATGAATGTAAATATTGAAAGATGATATTTTTTAATATTTTTAATGATTAATCACCCTCACCACAGGTCCACACGAATTCCTTCATTTATCACACCACAAGTATTTCCTGGTGCTAATCTTATAGTTCCAAATTCTCCCCAAGATATTCCAAAAGATGCTTGAACTCTCCAAATCTGTTACAAATTCTGTTATTAATTCGCTTCCCAAACATAACCAACAGCTAATGCATAATAATTTGCGTTTTTATATATAGAGCTACAAAGAGAGAATACTCCGGAGCTATAGAATTACCAGTTAGTAGCATCAACTTTTACTGATAAAGGATGTTTCGTCAACATCTATAAGAAACCCCTCATATAATCTATATCATCACTATTCTATGTGTAGGACATAATCTTCCATGGTGCGAATCCTGTTTATTTACACCAGTCATCGCCTCTGCCAGTATACGGATATTCAGACTCGGTTAAAATCCCTTGGGTCCTTGCATGACCATATGCATTCTTAGGATCAGAAAAATCAGCTAGAGATGCATCGCATCCCCCCCAAAAATTCGCACAATCCATGACATTCTGTGCTGATAATGTTACTTTTATTCCTTTATCAATCGCATATGCTGCTTCAATGACATTTGTTGCTGCCATTGCCCAGGAGGAACCACAGTTTCCTGAATTTTTAACTGGGGCATAACCTCTCCAATCAACATCGTCTTTTAAATTTTATTCTATAATTGGTTCAGGTGACTTAGGATTAGTTTTCCTTATGATTTAGTCTTATTCATTTTATTTTTCGGGTGATAATGGATTCAAATAAAGACTAACAAATTCTTCATTTGTAATAGCCATAAATTGGTTTTCTCCCATTAAAAAAGTAACTTCGCTTCTTTTATTATGTTCTTCTATCATTTATTTGTTTTAAAAATAAATGGCTTATCTGTATTTTTTCTCATCTCCAAAATAGTGTTTTCCATGTTTCAAAGCCCATCTTTCGAAGTCAGAATCAGAATCTAGATTTACTTGGTAGAAACCAAAACTAATCAGTATTGTCATCAAAGTGGCTGCAATTATATTTTTCATTAATTATATTCAAGATATTTTATTCACCCAAGCAATATATTCTAAATTAAGCAGAAAATCTTTTTATTTCATATCTGAAGTTAAAATAATAAAACCAAAAATTTAAATCAGTTAAACATTAGCCTTCCAAAAGCACCACATAGATGAATTTAAACTATTATTAAATTTATTATAAGAATATAGAAATGGGTAATTTTTATAAAAATCAAATGTCTGAAAAAGTTTAATTAAATATTTGAATGTTATCCAAAGTTATAAAGTAATATTCAAATTTGATTCAGCTTATTGATAAAATCGTGAGATTCTAATTTTGACATCATAAAGAAAGAATAATTGAAGTTTCAATTGAATAGAAGCGTTGTTCATTTAATGTGAAAATAAAATAGTTTTTTTTATAGATTACATAGAAAATGAAATTCAATTGTAATACGAATATTAATCCAAATTAAGAATAAAGGCTGATGAAAAGTAGTATAAAATATTTAATTTATACCATAATTATCATATATATATATTAATATATTGAATTACCAAGAAATAGTGTTATCCTTAAACAAACTATAAAAATGATAAAGATATTCCAAAATTAATTACATATTTTGAAGTTAAAAACAAAGACTCATTACACCAGTAGCTGTTTAGGATTGTCAGAAGAAAAACAATTGAAAATACATGGTAGGGAGAATCTCAAAATCTTTGAAAATGTTTTCAAGCCTGTGAATTGGAATATTAGTGCAAGAAACGCTTCCATTTGTTAAGGAAAATTAATAGTCAGAAAAGTCAATGAATAAATAGTTAAATTCCATTATATTGGACTAGAGGCTGCTGAAATGACTTAATGTTTTACAGTTGCTATAAGAATTGGAGCTAAGAAGTCCGATTTTTATTCAAATTGTTTGAATTCATCTATCAGCGGCAGAGTTATATATAATTAAATAACCTATAGGAGATGGTGTAAATGAAAACATTTAGATGATTTATTTATGGTAAGTAGAATTATGAAATTAGAAAATATATTCATAATAGAGAAGATGAAAATTCTATGATATTTTGATATTTGCTATATGGTATATTTATTAATTAAGATAATTCAAATAAATTATCTATTGTTAAAAGAATTTTTCAATGATTATTGTTTTAAACAGTATAATTAAATTTTAGTTTAAGTAGATTTGATTATTTTAGTTAAAAACTGATTTAATTTGGGTATTACTCCAAAATGAGACTAATTTGAATATTATGATCGAGAATAACTGTTAAGTTCAATGTATGATATAAAAGAAGTAAAATAACATCTTAAGGGTGTACTTGAAATTATGGTAGACTAAAATAAAATTCAGAGATGTAAATTATATGATTTAATTTTTAATACTCTTTATAATACAAATGATAAAATGATAGAGACAATATGATGCTAAAAATTGATTGAAATTCAATAATAGGCTTTTCGCATCAATGTTTTATTTATAATAATTAGTATTATCAGATTTCTAGTATTAGTAGTATTTATTGATGCAATTACTTGAAACATCATTTCGATTTTATACTATTATTAATGATAGGACTTCCACAAGGTGTTATGCATATTTCTAATCCAAGTAGCAATTTTTGAGTGCAATCAAACCATTTTATAATTCTCTTTTCAACTAAATGAATGTGCTATCATGCGCATAAAGTTTTGAGAAGATTTATTTTAAGACAATATTCAGACTTTGGTATTTGGAGATCTTTGAAGATTGTGAAATATTTTTGATTTGTTATATAAAAAGAATTTAATAAAAAAACAAAAAGAAAAATGAACGTAGAGGAGAGACCTGGGACATCGTTTACATCGAAGAGACAGGTTCAAACTGAATAGAGAAAGCGGTAGTAAATGAATTTGGGTACTTTGGAGACAGAGGATAAAAGTGTAAGAGTAGTTGTACTTATTGTAGACAGGAATGAAAATTAGGCCGATTACTCAAGACCAATAGAGAAACAGTTTGCAATAGAAGAGATAGAAGATGATTCCTTAGGCAATTTTATATGACAGGGAATCTTTGTATGAAGAAGTTATAAATGCAAAATAAATCAATAACAATCTGTAAAGAGAGAACCAAGCTCTACACACTAAAATCAAAATGATGGACGTAAAATTGATTAAGACTTCTAGGAAGAATTGCAAAGAATGGTTAGAGCTACTCCCATAAGTGAGCAAGTCATTAACCCAATGGAATCGTTTTATTAGGATAGCAAGCCCACGAAGTAGCATCTAATAATGGATCTGAAGAAGTAACTGAGGAGATTGCAAGAGGAGTCAATCAAAAAGGATCAATAAATACAATTTCTACAGAAGAGCACTAAAGCCATGAAAATAAAGGAACTAGAAATCGAACTGTTGTCGTATCAGTAGGAAGCGCAAAGATTGAAAGCCTTGATTGGAATGAAATTCAATGATTCTGACGATGATCTCCTTAGATTGAGGGCTGATTACAAGTTATTGGAGGATGAATTGAAATAATTAAAGGTCAAATGCAAAGAATTTGAGTCGAAAGCTACCATGTATTATAATGAAAAACTTAAAAAGGATAAGTTGAATCAATATTTAAAGAATCAAATTGAAAATTTAAAATTTAAAGATCCAGAATATAAGAAACAAAACAAAATTACTGAAAATGAATAGCAATTGAAATCTGACATTGAGTACTAATCATAACTATATTGCTAGTTAGAAGTAAGTTTAAATAGACACATTGATAAGTAGTTTGAAAGCCAAAGATGCTCAATATGCAGAGCTGGATAAGAGAATGAAAGAGTTGGAGAGAGAACAATAATAAATCATAGATTAATTAGAGAGAGAAAGATAATAATTGCGTGAGTAATGCAATTCCCTAAAGGAAGAAGTTTCAATGTAATCAGGAAGAAGGTATAAATGAATTTGATATCTACTAGGAGGACTGTTTAAAATAACAGTTTTTTGGAAAATAAACTTGAAATTCTTCCTGAAGGTCCAGAAATAATTGATTAAAAGAAGAAACTATTGCCTTGTGTAACAAAGGATGATGTTAATTTGATATGCAAATAGATCAAGTTCAAATTAAAGGCTATGAAAGTTCCCTTTGAGAAGATAGATAATGTATTGCTATTATGTTGAGTTGATTAGTTTATTCATGGGGATGTTCACTCTGTAATTAGAATAGAGGAATTGAACGAGATGTTATAAGATGAGCCATTTTTGTTGAATGAAGTGGATAGTCTTAAGGTTGCTAGGTACTTAATTGAGGACAATGACGATCGATTTGTTGAGTTTAGTTTATTGACTGAAGGTCTAATAGCAAGGGCCAAGAGTATTCTGAAAAATTTAATTGGCAAATACACTCTTTTGGAAGTAAATTAATTGATGAGTTGAATTTTAGAAAAATGAAGAAGATCAACTATTTTTGGAGATCGCAATAGTGCTATCAAAGTATAGAAATTCTTTGGAGGATTTCATTTTGAGATCAAAAAAGAAATAAGAGTTGTGTACAATTGAAGATCTTGAGGAGGCTCTTAAATTTGTTGAATAAACATTTAATTCTACTTAATATGAGTTTTTGTTATTGAAGAATTACGAACTTACACAGGAATTAATTAACATCAATTACAAAAAGATATTTGAGTTATTTTACGTTGGTACATCGCTTATCATATTTTATAATAGATCCATCCATTCAATAAAAAACCAAAAGTGAAAGCGATTTGCCCAAAGAATAAGGAAAGAAGTAATCAAATGGGGATGTGTTGTAGAATAAAGATGCCTAATAGGAACTGATCTAATAATAATAGAGAAAATAAAAGGAGGAAGAAGAATAGAGAAGATTATGGTAATTGTAGTAGGAGCAGGAGAGGTAGAGACAATAAGAATTGGAGAAGGAGGAGGAAGAACAAAGAAGGTTGGAATAATAGTGGAAGGAGGAGGAAGAGGAGAGAAAGAGGCAAGAGGAGGAGCAGAGGATCAAGTAGGAGAACGAGGCTAAGAGGTAAAAGTAATTAGAGGAGATGAAGAAGCAAGAGGAATAGGAGAATCACAGAAGACAGTAAGAGTAGCAAAGACAGTAAGAATTATTGAGGAAATAGAAGGAGGAAGAGGAGAGATAAAGAAAATTGAAGGAAGAGGAGGAGGAGAGAAGATTGTAAGAGGAGTAGTTGGAGAAATAGAAATTGGAGGAGGAGTAAAATAGATTAGAGCAGGAATATGAATAGCAGGCAGAGTATGAATAGAATGAATAGGAGGATAATGCTGAGGAATATAATGATCAATAGTTTGAGTAATAGCAATCTGAACAATAAAACAGTGTGCCTTAGAATAAGAGTCAGAAAGATTATGAGGATGAGGATTTTGAATAATGAAAAAATATTAATTATAATATATATTTATATTAATAATGAAAATAGTTGTTAAATATTTCTATACCATTTGCTAATAGGAATAAAGAAAAGAAACGATTCGGCAAATGATAGCTGAATACTTTGATGAGAATATAGAATTTGATAAAGAAATTTTCAAGGATCAAGAAGAGTTCTTACAATTCATTTTCCCATTTAGACCGAAGAGTCTGAATAAACTGGGAGAATCAAAGAATCTTAAATATTGTAACATTCTAATATCCCAATTGATCGAGACTCAATAGATAATGGATACTATGTTGATTGAGGAGAAGAAGGAGTTAAGTTAATCGGACATTTTAAAAATCTATAAGGAGATTGACTCGACATCTGATGGTTTCATAGATGTCATTAAGTTGAGAAAATACCTATAGTAATAATGTAACTACCAAACTTCAAATGACGATTTGATATACATCTTCAGAAGAATGGACAAAGACGAGGATGGGTTTATAAGTATGGCAGAATTCATAGAAGAGTTTACATTCGAAAAGCAGTAGATTTCTTAGATGTCAACAATGGCATAGACTAGACAGCAATCATAGGTTTCATCTTAAACACAATTTGTACCTCCATACTCTGAGGATTGCAGGGAGTTTGCATTGTTCATTAATAGATTACAAAAGTTGGCAGTTATTGACGAGGAGGAATTGCTAAAATTGAAGCGACAATTCATTAAATTGAAAAAGCAATCATTTTTGAATTTGTTCGAAGACATAGCTCATTCTATTTATTTAGATCATCGTGATCTTCTTAATTTATTATAATAGTAATCAGTTGTTTATTAAGTGTTTTAGTTTTAAAATAAACGCCAGCAGCGATTTGGAGAGGATATGCAGATTATTCAATGAAGACAATCCAAATTAGATATGTTTTCAGGATTTTCTAAATTTTTTTACTTTTTGATTATAAATAAGGACTTTTGATTTTGAGATTAGTATTAATTAGATTCATTAATATAAATGTAAAATAATCAAGGTGCAGCAACTTAAGAATAATCTATTAATTAGGAGAATAAGTAGGAAACAAGACTTTGTTCTATATGTTTGGCTTTCTTTGGAACGGCCGCCACATAATTCTATTGTTCAAAATGTTACTAGTAATTATTTGAATAACTATTTTCAATTAGATCTATTATTAAGGAAAGCAATCAAGAAATCTAACAATAGTAACAGATAGTCTAAGAAAATAAGTAGTAAGGGGAAGTAGTAAAACAGAAAGTAAAAAGTTGTATTTTAAACTTTTTCAGGAAGACCCATCGAAATGCAGAGTTTGTAAAAGAAAGTTGGGAATAGCTGGCATTTAATGCAAATGCGAGGCATTTTTTTGCAATAAACATCGATTGCCAGAGGATCACCAATGTACATTCGATCATGCTGAAAAGGCTAAATAATTGCTTATAAAAAACAATCCCCTTGTGGATCCCTAAAAGTTAGAAAAAATATGATAATGCACCCCCTATAATATAAGTTCTAATTATATTTTCATGGAAATCTTATTATTAGTAATAGAGAAATATAATATTGTAATGTTATATATAAAATTTATTTGCATTCCCATTCATTCTACTTCTTGATTTTGTATTGAATCTAAATCTATCCTGAAAGCATAGTAGTAAAATTGATTAGTGAAATTAACATTTATAGAGCTGTATTGGAAATTAAAATTAGTAATTGTTATAATTAAATGATTCATTTAATAAGTGTGTATATATTTATATATATTAATAGGATCAGTTAATTTTGGATATAGATTAAATATAAATTCCAAAATATATTATAATTTAAGGACGATGATTGTGGTAGGAAATGTGAATTTAGGAGTGGTTATTACAAAGAGTATTCTGGTAAAGGAGCATTATTTACATATATAATTATTTATTTTGGAATTTAATCAGGTATTTAGCTTTTAATACCATTGTGGGATTAATTTAGAATTGAGCTCTGGTCTGATGCTTAGTTCTTGCTTGTTAAAGTCAAATAGGTTTGGCGATTTGATATTTAATTTGGCAAATTCTTCCTTTCTTAGGTCGTCAAAGTATGGATGCAGGAGTGCATCGATGGGTTGAATCCTGGCTTTGGGAGAGTAACTAAATATTAAGAAGGATGTAATTTACGTTAGCATTTGTGAAATGAGATCCAAAAATAATAGATCTGGTTTGTGCTTGCCCAAGACTTTAGACCAGGGATTGCCTTTGATCATGGGTAATTTGACTTCGGCTTTGGCTGGGTTCATTTGTTTAATGATTTCAGGAGTTGGTGTGCCAAGAATCTTGATGATCTACAATAATTAGTCTTGGGCACTCTCTCCTGGGAAGATGGGTTCCAATATAACCATTTCAACGATGACACAACCAATGGACCACATGTCGATTTATGTAGTGTAATCGGTCGCTCCAAAAATTAATTCTGGCGCTCTGTAGTAGCGAGAGCAAATGTACGCAATGTTAGGTTCACCTACTACCAGTCTTTTAGCTGAGCCAAAATCACAAATTTTGAGGACGTTGGTTTCAAGGTTGATCAGGATGTTCTGGGGTTTTATGTCTCTGTGGCATATTCCGATGGCTAGTTGGGATAAGTCTCAGTACCCTGCAGGTAGAGCAGCGCACGAAGCATTTGATAACTGTAGAGCTTGAGTTATGTGGGTGGGATCGTTTGCTTCTGCTTGCGTATCTGACGTATCAACTTCGAAAGTGTCTCTGGTACGTATTCCATCACAAGATTGAGGTACACATCTTGTGGCTACACAATCAATACAAACTCCAATATACATTCTCTCCAGGGGTGAAAAACGAATGGCGTAACATAACCACGCACGGGTGATTCAATTCTTAAATGATCAAATGCTCTCTGTTTTTGTATCTCCGATCCTAGTACACCTTCTTAATCGCAACCTTCTCCTTCGTTCTATTATCAGTGGCCTAACTTTTATTCTATCCACACATACCAGATGCACCATGCCAAAAGTGCCAGTCCCAACCACTTGCTCAATTGTGAAGTCCTTCTCAGATTATTATAACATTTAATAATTACATTTAAAATAGTTCATTAAGTGATATGAAAATTATTTTTAAACATCTATTACATCAAACAATTCAATAATCCACCCCTCTCTCACCACTACAAAGACCACCTCTTTTATTCCAACTGACCTTGCGCAATCAGATTAATTAATGATAAATTCAATTAATAACTGTTACTTATTTCTTGTGATTCAATAATTACTCTCTAAAATTAAGGATTACCTTTATCATTTATTTTGATTTTATAATTATAAATCTCTCTGTATATTTTTATTCATTTTTTACGATTATTTTCAATTGATTATTCTTTCCTATCTCTGTGGGCTTAGAAAATATAGGATGGAAATGGAATTTGAAGAATGTATGCTATTTAATTGATAAAAATTTGTATATAAATTCAGGTATGCTTATAATTCATTTCTGTTTGTTTCATCTTTCTTAACTTGAATTGAATGGGGTTTCTGTGGAATGGCTTGTCTTGATTATATTGAATTCTGTATTCTGTTCTCACTTGATCGCCTAAATTATAAAAATATATTGCAAACCATTCATGTTTTCATGAGGAATCCAACCTGGTCCATCAAATTACATGTGATTCTTCTGGAATCCAGATGTCTTGGTTTGAGCCTGTGAAGTTTCTAGATATCTGTCAGTCTTACGAAATCTAATTTATTGTGATTCTTTGATACGTTGGAGCAACAAGTTCTTAAGGCTTTTTGAAACCGTCTTGATAGGATGTAACCATTTTATTGATATGAGTGCATGGATGGTTTTTCAATAAGGTTTAGCATCCGTATTTATGAGAATACGCTTCCTTATGTACATCGATTAATTCTTTTGGATCGAAATTAAATCCAGTCGACGATAATCTATTGAACTTTCCTAGTTTCTAGTCTGCAAACGATTTCCTGGCCACTTCAGAAAATCTCTCGCCATATAAATTCTCCGACTGCACATATGGCACATAACCAGCATATCCTGGCACAGCAGTGTTTTTTGGTTCTTATGGAAGCTACATTCACATAATTCTTTACTTGCGTGTAATGATTGATATAGCTGGTTCTGTAGAAGTTGTTCTTTGACCATTCATGGAAAGTCCTTTCCTATATGGGAGGCTGAGATTTGCTAGCCATTTTAATTAATTAATTAATTTCATTTCATTTTACAAGAAAAACATTCACTTCAGATATGCATTACTCAAAATGACTATGTTCCCCACTCCAAAGTGTACACATCTATAGTTGAGATTCAAATATCTAAGAAGGATCACTAAATAATTTATCAAATATATAAGACTCTATAATTATTATTTTAAAATAATTAAAATCTTTTTACAACAACACAAATGACTCTGGTTTTGGAAAAAGCTGATCAATTCAGACACATCATTCGTATTTTAAATACTAATGTCGATGGTAAATAGCGTCTTGCTTATGGAATTAGAAGCATCAAGGGAATAGGTAGACGCTTTGCCATATAAATTTGCAAAGTATCTATGAATCAATATGGTGTTTAAGGTGTTGAGACTAGACTTAACCAAAAGAGCAGGAGAACTTACTGATGATGAGGCTCACAAGATTACAGAAGTGATCAAGTCTCCAGAGGCATACAACATTCCTAGATGGTTCCTTAATAGACAACGTGATTTTAAAGACGGAAAGAATTATTAAGTAACAACAAATGAACTTGAAACTAAACTCAGAGAGGATTTGGAGAGAATGAAGAAAATTAAGTATGTATAATGGTCATGATTTAAGATGTAATCGAGGTTTGAGACATCATTGGGGATTGAGAGTCAGAGGACAACACACAAAGACAACAGGTAGAGGAGGTTAAACTTTGGGTGTGGAAAGAAAGAAGAAGTGAAATTACATTATTTTTGTTAGAGCATTAAATAATTAAAGTCTATTTTTTGTGTTCCTCTAATTGTCCGTTGTTGATGCATATAATATTATAATGATAATTGCGAATCTGATGTGTAAAAATTTTGAATTATACTTCATGGCACAAAAATGTATGTTATTGTGGAAAGAGTGGAAAGTGATATGAATTACTCAGTCACTTTCATAAAAAAGTAATTCCAAGTCTTCTGTTCCCAAACAACCTTTGATGTGAAATATTACACTTAAAAACTGACACAAAAAAACACTGCCAATGATAGCGCCAATCCCAAATCTCTTTCGTTCTAACTGTAAGTATTTGCATTACTTTTATTTTGAGAATGCTGTATAGGTATGTAATTAGGGATGCTTATAGAAATCTTGCCAATAATTCCAAAATTAAGGGCTAACTGCTTTGATTCGTTTCCTCATGATCTTTTTCTAGTTTGATGTTTGCTTCCTTCAAATAACGGTCGCGAAATAGTATTGAATACCAATAATATCCTATTATCATAGTGGAGATTGTTCCAAAGATCACTGACAATAAACAAGGAATCATTTCGCTTTCTAACTTTGATTTAATTTTAATATATTTCCTGTATCAATTTTACAATCCTATTTTTTATCACCATGAGTAATTATATTTAATATATATATTGAAATCAAACAGAACTGACATCGTTTTAACATTCCAAGTATGACAATTCTTTATTATCAAAAAGTGACGCGCCCTTTGGAATATTAGCCTATATATAAGCATCAAACTCCTAGTTGTTCTTCAAACCTAATGTTTATGAAACCATCCCTTCTCTAAGTATAATATTATAATAGATAAATACCCGTATAATTGTAGACTTATCTTAGACCTATTATGAATGAAGATATTTTCATAGAATTCTATTACTTATTCCTTTGTAATTGATTTCATTCTCTCGATTGTGACTTCCCTCTCCTCAAATGAGTAGTCTCCTGAACTAATGTATCCCCACAACCTATCAGCTTCTTCACTTAAAGTTTGCGGTTTTTCTCTTAATTCAATAATCGCACTATGTCTTAAATGTTCAAATTGCTTTTTCTTCAATCTTTTCAAGTACACATCGAATTTCAATATGAATTTTTCTATTAACTAATTAACCTTCATCGGCAATTCTTTATTGCCTTACACCAAAAATAGAGCACCATCTATGCAACTAATTTATTTGAATTTCATCAAAACAACATATCCAAGCTATAAATCAGTTCTTAGATGATTATATGCTTATGAGTTAAGCAGAGGCTAAAGTATCTTCATTAAGGCATAATTTTCTTAAGTTCTCTTCCCTATTTAATAATAATTTAATATTGCCCCATTCAACTCACCTTTGTCTGATTCCACACGTTTGACAAATACCCAATTTTTACCTCTCAAACTCAAAACTGAAATAGGTGTTTTTGTTTATGATTATTCAACTTTTGAATTTCGATCTTATATACAATTTTACAACTCAGAAGAAAAATCCTAAGCATTCTTTTGATCCAGATTACCAATCAGAAGCGAACTTTACATAGAGTTTTAGAGTACTTCCTTAATATCTGAAATCATTTATTCCTCAGTAATTTTTGGAATTTATTATAAGACTTATTCTGGATTAAAACTACCCTTTCTTAAAATTGAAGGCAAGTATAATTAAACGGATTATTCAAATAATTTCATTTAAAATATATCCCTTATTGAAGTAATAAGTGATTACTTGGCCCTAATGAAATTTGGAGATTCCTATTAAGTTCCATCAAGTTCAATTAAAGTCGAAGATTTATCTTTGAATGGATTAATACATCCACAAATTTTCTTCAAGAAACTTCTAACCTTTTCACTAAATCCATACGCTTTAAGTTCTATGTACTTACCCATCGCCAATTCTACTGTGTATCCAGTTGCCAAGGGCTACCTGAGTTAATTGTTGATTTCTTCGTCTGAAATAAAATTATAAATTCTAACAGATGTATATTGGCTTATCGTTAATGGTTTAGCGAATTATATGGCTATAGCTCCATAGACTGTAGGCATCTTAAATAAAGTGGAAAACTTCCACCATTAATTATTCTCTTTATTTAACAAAATAGGATAATAATTGTCCTTTTGATATCTATGTTCCTCCTTCTTGCATTGATCTTCAGGGTATTCTTGCAAATCTTGTCCTGCATGAAGTAATAAGTTCAACTTTCCCTCCTTATCCAAAGGTTTCAATTGATCAGAACTAACCAAAAGAGGTAGTTTCAATTTATTTGATTCACATAATGATACTAATTTTAAGTCATCTGGAATGAATAGGTTCTCTTGTGGTTTTGTGAATAGTTGTTATAATTTGATATCCTTTTGTGTTATGAACTGAATGGAATCTTGAGTCATCTTCTGAGTTGCATATTCTAAACGATAGATCTCACTCCTTTTGTCTAATCTCTTGTCTTTTAAGAATTCTTAATTATTTTATTTCAAACTGTCACCTGTTAACTAATATTCGTCATCACCAATTAAAATCAATAAATTATCTGTTCTCTTCAACTCAGAAATGTATTTGAATATAAGATCCCTATCGAATACATCCATGATGAAACCAGACGAGAGCACTTCAGCAGGCCCATGTCTATTCAAATTTTAGGCAATATTAGATATTTCTTAAGGACCTTACATATATTCGAAATTGATTTTAGAAATCTAACTTTGCTCTTTAAATATTTCTTCCAAATATGTCTCATCCTTTAACCACTCTTCCAATTATTAAATATAATTATTTATCACTCTCGAAATCTCAAGAGCAACATTACCATCTTCTAATGACTGTTCAGGCAATGTTAATTCAATTATGTAATTTACAAAATACTCCTATTCAAAGAAAATAGAGGATTCGAATTCAATAACCAATTATTTCTCCTTTAAATAGTCTTTCAAATTACCATTATTCAATAAGTAGTCTATTAATTCTAAAGGTTTCTAATGCGCAATTTATTGTCTTCCACTTAATTACCAATTCAACAAAACCTACTTCTTTTCAGTTTTGTATTTCCCCAACAATCCAAATTAATATGGAAATCCACTAAATGATTAAGGGATCAGATTTTTGTTCTCTATCTTTGAGAAAACCTTAATCAACTTCTCCATTTAATTTAATGACAATCTACTTGAGACAGCCAAACTCATTATATTAGATGAATAATTGTCCTAGTAAAACTTCTTCAGTGCTTCCACTACCCCTTCTTTGGCCAACACTTCATTGTTACCTATGCTAAACCTACTTGCTGGGTGGTTGGGATCTGCTAAAAGTGCAAAGAGATTGACAACTTTCCATTCCTCACTACTTACATCTATTTCATATTCTGAATTAACAGCATTTCGTTCCTTGTTTACAGCATCTTCGTTAAATAATGGATCAATAAAGAAATGAGCAAATGCATCCAATGCCTTACCTAAATGATTCACTGTTATTTCAAAATAATAATTTGTGTTTTAATCATCAGTGTAAGCATTTGATGAACCTCCACCCTTTGCCATTAAATCATCAAAGAATCCAGTCAAGGGATATTTCTCAGATCCAATGAATAACATGTGTTCGCAAAAATGAGCTAGTCCAGGATATTCATCGGGCTCATTCCAAGATCCTGCCTTCACATCCATTGCAGCTGATGCCATCTCAGATTCAGCATCATGAATTAGGAGCACTTTCAAATGATTCTCCAATTCTAAATATCTATATTATCTATGATCAATGATAGGTTTAATCACATTAACCTTATCATTATGCTATCCTTGAAGTGGTTCGAATGTCCCTGTTTAAGTTGTGGATATGTAATTCCTCTCTGGGAGTTAATCTTTAATTGCATGTGCTGCAGAAACGTATTAAAAAGTTTGGCTCAACTACACAAATCCCGTAAGATCGCAAATGAAAAGAGTAAGAAGTGTGACTAAAACTAGATGCGAGATAAAATGATTATATTACAAGTAGAGTTTAATTTGACTTTCTCCATCATCGCTTCTTGTATTAGTTTTTATATAATAATAATTACAAAATTATTTAATCTCTGCTTCCCATCAGGTTGTTTACTTTGTAATTAATTGTACAAAGAACTCTTTTTATTGTATTGATATATAATTTATACAAGCTAATATATAATGTAGGTTAAAATTAGATGTAACATACAATTTTATAATATTTCATCTCTTTTTTGAAAGTATTTTAATTACATAACTCTATATTATCTTTTATGCTTATGCTATTGGAATTAAACAGTTGATACAAGTATCTGAATTAAAACAATATTAATATAAATTTGATAGTATTAGCTTAAGACAAAATTTCCTTAAATTAAGGCAACAGCCTCAAACCATTCAAATAGCTTAAAATAAGAGTTTTGTACTTAGATCTATTTTATTTGGCTAGTATATTATTGTTTCACCTATACACAACTCTTAATTACTTATAAAAGATGGAATTTAACAAAAGCGATTTTAAATCAAGCAATAGTATTTATTTTAAAGCCAAGAGTAGGTATAGGGTTAAGTTATATCATATCCTTATTCTGAATCATTAGCATTTTAGATATTCTAATTAAAAATTAACATTTTATTTAATAAGTAAATTTAATTCTCATTTATTCTATAGACTTTTTTACTTTAAAAAATCTTACTAATCTTAATTGTCATTATCTGTTGTTAATTAATATGTAGTTTTTCTTTAAAAAGCAGGGCTATTTACCTTAGTAATTTTCACTAATTAATATTAATAATGATAGTACCATCTGTGTGCACATATTTATGGACATTGTCATTTATTGAATTATTTAAAATAGTCTAATGTAATTCTTTCTCTGAGGGTTGGTTTTGCAATTTTTTGAGTTTTTCGTCATTCTTTTTTTGTAGATGATCAAGCCATGAAGATGGTTGAGTAATAGAATCTTTTGAATTTTGTTTGTTATGATTCAATCCTTTCTTAGATCTTTGGGTGGATTGAGAATCCTAATTAATTATTTATTATTTTTTGGGTGTTTATGTTTTTGGTTTTTAAAGTAATGAAGTCATTCCTTTTTAGAATATTTCATTTTTTATGATAATCTAATTATTGTTAGTGTTGTTGATAATGTGATTGACAACTTTGCTGTCTTAAATATTCTCATGACTCTAAGCACTGTGATAGCTCCCTTAAGATCTATACTAAGTAGCTGCTCTAAGACTACTTAATTAGCCTTGCAATAATTAAATCTGCTTCTCCTTTATTTCTATTAAGTATAACACACTAAAATACATAGCATGGCATTCATTTGCGAAGTATTATTCTAATCCATGAATCCCTTAATTCTTGCTTCTAAAATGATATTAAAGTCTTCCTTACTTAATTCCTTCTCTTGACTCTCTTTTAGCTCTTACATTTGTCCTTCTAACAAAATATATTTGGCCTACAATTCAGAAATTTCTTAAAGTCTTCCATCCATTTACTCGTAAGCTGCCTTCTCTATTTCTGTGAGTTCCTGTATTCTCTCATTTTAAGCCAGAATTATATCTAAATTTCAGATATCAATATTACCATTTAATTCTTGATTTTTTTTCCTTTCAACATCCAAGTTTAGTTCGAGTTGTTGGCATTTTTACATTAAGTCTTCGTAGGATACTAAATTATTTAGATTTTTCAATTCTGGAGGTTTGAGATAATGAATTGCATCAGTCTCAATCTAGGATTTCACTTGTTGGGGATCTTTGATCTCTTGTGAATTGTTTTCGATCTCATCCTCATCTGAAACAGTGTAATTAGAAATTCCACTTCTAAATAAAGAGCCATAAGGTTGATTCGAAGTCGGTCTAGCATTTCCAGATGAACTAATCATTTTGCTTGCTATAATCCTAGCTTCGCATATAGTACCTTTCTGAGATTTAACATTGCAACTTCCAAAAATTGAATCCACTAGCTGAGATTACGTTTCCTCTACGTTTAGTGGATTATGCAATTCATCATAATCTAGCTTATTGTCTAGATCTGTTAAGTAGGCATTTTCCCTGATGATCTTTTGTATCACTAAATACATGTTATTGAATACAAATTGTTGGATCCACATTCAGTGTCTTTTCTGACATTAGATAGCTAAGTTATTGAAATATAAATAAAATTTAATACACTAATTAATATGTTAATTTAAAGCTAATAGTTAATTGAATAAATGAAAAATAGTCAACTCTCTACTTTCAAACTAGAAAGTTGCTCCTTTAGTTTGATATTCTCCTACTCATATCTGGTGATCTATTCTTTATACTATTGTAGAGTCTAGGTTGATCGTACTAATAGATCCTAAAGTGCTTTAATTGTTTATTTGTCTTTTTGAGTTGAATTTAATTAATGAGAAAGCTCCAGCGACTTTTTTGGAGCAAAAATCTTCATGGAGTTGTGAATTCTCCTTTTGATGTTGCTTTGATTAGTGGACATCATATATTTAGTATCTGCTTTTACATTAGTTTAAGAGGACTGCTGAGTAGTTCCATTATAGACATTTTAAGAGCAACTATCAATGCTACTAATTTGCTATTGTGACTTTTATTTGATGAATTATGCGTAAGGGCTTGTTTTCAGTAATTTTTATAGTCCGAATTAGATGTTCGCATTTGAATGATTACTTTTGGTTTGATTAGGAGTGATAATATCAAGTTGAAGAAGATTTAGTTTACTAGACAATGAATATTATTTTGGATTTATTTCCAGCGGACTAAAAGGTTTTCTTTTCGAGTTCTCCACTAAGGATTGCTCTACTTGCAGTGGGATGATCATTTTATTTATAAATTATTATTTAATACAAATCTCTAGATAAATAAATATTTAGTCCGAAGTATGCTATCTAAATAGAAATTATAAATAAAACAATAATTCATTAATTTTATTTAGTGTTCCCCCATTGCTCAAGCCTTTCTATATTCTTTGAAGTTATTGTATCCAGCAATTGCTATAATTAAAAAGTGAACTCTACTAGGAAACTTAGAAAAACCAATAAGTTATGCTTTAAAACACTAAGAAGAATTTTTGGACTATTTCATTATTGATGCTACTTTGATGATCCGTTACCAATTCATCTTCCTAGCGGCATCAAAATTATAGAAAATTTAGCATCATTTAACATGATAACTTCAAGAAAATTAAAAAAAATAACAATTCCCTTCATTAATAGATTTAAATGAACTATAGCTAATTAAATTATACTATCCATTTGATATTGAATAAAAATAGTATAATTGATCATATTTTTGTCATGCTCTAGATGTTTTCTTTCTGTTTAGTTAAGTCATTCTTAAGATTTGAAAACTTCTTAGTGGCTTTCTGATAATATTCTACTCTATCTTGAACAGCTTGGATCATATAGGTGGTTTCTGTATGCATTTAATCAATTTTTTCGATCAATTACTTTTACCACAAATCAGCTAGTTAATCAATTAAATTGTTCATGCTTTTTGCATTTTCAAACATTACAGTTTCTCTAGAATTGGATTCTCTTTGCAGATTCATAATGTCTCCCAATTAAGTGTTGGTCTACAAAAATATTTATAATTAATTTTTATCAGTATCTATGATATCGTTGCTATCTTCTGACTTTTGTAATTATTCTATTATTTTTTTAATTTTGTTAATCTTTCTTTAATAGTCTTACATAACCTCATAAATTGATCTATTCAAAATGGTAGCGTCCTCAACAAAAGGCTTTACTTCTTTAATTCTTTTATCAACCTATTATTTGACCTCTGAGAGCAATTATGGGTAATCCTATAACATTTATAAATAAGTTGTTCTGTCCAAACTAAAGAGTTATGTATTTTTACTGCATATTGCAGTTCCTATCCTTCTCACATCATAAATTGCCTCCAATAATCCTAGAGTATCGCCTTCTCTATACACAGATATCGTAGAACCATCAGCAGCTCTGGTAGTGATTTCTCCAATTGAAACGAAATAGATTTCTTCAGCATAATCATCAGTTGAAAATAAAATATCCCCCTAAGCCCAATTTAATGGAGATATCTTGGGAATCACATCCATGATCAATTCGATATCCTTGTCTTATAAAAATTTAATTTTTTCAATGACATGAGCATAGATACATAATTACACAGATGATCTTAAACAAGTAGGCAACTATTTGATTAATGGTTTTGTTTGCAAAATGATTTACTATCTAGAATTCTCAACCTGTTGGGATTCAAGTTGTCTCTTAATCAATGAAAACACTAAAAATGGATAATTAATTTACGATAATCCGGAATCTTTATTTTGTTCTGAATCACATTGAGTCTCATAATCTTATTCTTTGCGGACTTCTCTGAATCTCCGACTGCTCCCTAAAGATTTGAAATCATAAAGGAGAAGAAAGCACTCCCTACTCCCATCCAGAATATAGCATACAACTTTTCCCAATCAGTCTATGGAGACACATCTCCGAATCCCACTGTAGTTAGTGTTTACAATGCCCAATGAAATGATCGAATGTAGAGCGTGGCCTCATCTGCTTCCTCCAATCCTAAATTAGTCACCCATGTAACTGAATCAGTTTCAATTTTAGTGATTAAGTAATAAAAACAACTACTCAAATGTAAAAATAGCAATGACATTCCCATTATTTTGATCATTCTTTTAATACTTGCATCCAACTTAATACAAGATTTTATTAGTTTTGAGAACATGGATGATCTGTTTGTTTATTAGAATCGAACTATTCTGAATAACTTTACCACCTTCAACAGTCTATATAAACGAGGCAGTCTTGTCAATCTTAGTAATTGAGTGTATGAACCTTTCTAACCTCCTTGAGTTTAGGTAGTTTAAGTTTATGGATCTGGCTGGAAGATTTAATCAAAAGGAATCCTTAGATTTAATATCAATTTTATACACTGAAGCCACATCCAATAGAAACCAAGTCTTCAAGTAATTCATTAAAATATATTTGTTGTTTGTAACTAAAACATTATCAGCATCCTAATATGCAGTAAAGAAATTAATCACAATGTCCGCCATGAATACATAATTGAACACCTCGTCTATTGTGTTCCAAACATCACTTGAAGAATCTTGAAATGCTAAACGAAACGGCAAAATTGTGCATGTATAAAGCATTAGAAGAATTATGATAAAATCCCAAAATCCCTTAAACTTTGAGTCAGGATAAATCACCCATTTATTAATTTGGGTGGCCTCTACAAAATCATTGTCGTCTCTCACTCCATAGTAATTTTAAAGAGTTATTCTTTTCATAGCATTTATTCGTGCTATCACTTTCACTTTCTTTCTTGCTATAGCCCACAGCTTTTTGCCAGGACGAGTGACTTATTCTTCCATCCTAAGAAATTTTTATATTTAATAATAATTTTTTCTTTTTAGTATAACTAATATTGAACTTCAATGGATTCCCCATATTTACTACTTACTTTTAAGGTTCAATTATACCATCTTGCAATCTCTTAGAAACCATAATAGTTCTTTTGTAAACGATGATATGTTTAAAAGATAAAAATAGATCATAACTATTTAGCAATAGAAAAGGAAATTGAAAATTATTTTGTTACTTAAATGAAGATGTCTTGAAAAGATCATAAATGAATGTGAAAAACAGAATAAATATTTTTCTTTTGATTATTTTGTAGTTTATGAATAAACCAAATTCTACAATATTTATAAATACACTTCAATCATCTTTATCATTTTTACGAAATTTCTTACTCCTTTGTTTTACATTTGCATACCTTTCAAACTCTTTCACTGCTTGAACATACGATGATTTGCATTAATCCTAATCAACCAATTCAAATTTGACCTATTTAAGAAGTGTAGAGTAACCATCAATAGCTGCCATAGCTTATTATTACTGAGGGTACGGAGGTTAAACCATTTTATTCAAAAATTCAAAATCTTATTGTTTCCATACCTACAATGTAATAGAAGGTAAATTCAAAAATAAACTGTATCTCAATCCATAAAGGACTGACAATAACCCAAGAATGTAGGGTTTTTAATGTCCCACATATAAACCTTAACTCTTCAAGTTTTAACCAGAAACATAATTTATTAAATTAATTCCGATTGATGAATGAAAATGTAATGTGCAAAAGGAAGAGCATTGAATCGCATATTTTTCTTCTGGGTTAATATTGATGGTTGGGTATTTCTCTATGTAAAATTTGGGGAAAAAATAAGAATATTACTTATCCAATTACAATAGTTTTCCAAGGCTAGAAAAATTAAGTTGATTTTCATCTTTCTCCAATTCAGTTTCAGTAGTATTATTATCTTAAGAAACGGGTGTGTCAGTATTAGCGATCAATTTCCTTTTTATCTCTATAGTCTCAAGTATCTCCCTTATATAACTAAGTGCTGAGTTAGGGTCTTAAAATTTCCCTAATTGATCTTCTGATGTTGAATTCTTTTGAGCTGTGATCTATGTAAAATACATTCTTGGCATTTCATAAGAGTTTTTGTTCCATAAAACATAAATATAGGTGGGTCTCCTTAGGTTAATAGAAACTCCATCTTGACTTTCATTATCAGAAAATGTCTTGCAAGATTTGATTTTTTCTTCGTATTTGCTTAGTTATTTGGAAATTTCATAATCCATCTCCAATTTTTCAAAAGCCTCCTTATTCTAACAAGATTGCACATTCGATGCAAATCTTTTGGCTTAATTCTCATCATAAAAAAAGAATTTCTTCTGATTGGGATTTTTATCCAGATTAATCTAAGTATACTTTTCTGTTTTGTAGAATGAAGTCTACAGGTTTTCTTACACTAATACAAAATATTTTCTAGCCTTCATAATAATTAAAAATAATAACAATAAAGATTTCACTATAAAAATTACTCCCCTCAACCCTCATCTTCTTCATGTTAACGATAATCCTCTGCCTCAGCCTCTGCTCCAGTCTCATCTTCATCCCCGCCCTCCAAATCGTTTGGATCAATTCCAAAGAGATGCAAGTTTTACTAAATAATAATGAGATTTACACTAAATAATTCTCTGAATTGATTATTCTCACTCACTAACTTTTCGTTTTCATCCACCAAAACTTGTTTTTCATCTAACATGTGTTAATATAACTATTTAAAATTGTCTATTAATTCTTCAAGTTTCTCTATTTCTTGACTTTTTTATTCCAGTTACACCTTTAATTCTTCGTTTTCTGCTATCTATCCATCATTTTATTTGTCTCCTTAGTATTTCTCCTGCAATTAATGCTACATGTCCTGTATTAATTGATCTCTCTAATTAATATCATTGCCCATTTCTTCCATTTTGGCTTGAATGTCTTCAAAGTTATAATTTTAGAATTCTTATGCTATTTCTTCAATTTAATCCTACTTTTCTTATGCTACCTATTCTAATTGCTTCAGTTGTTGTTCATACTATTTCTTTTGCTAATCTAATTTCTTAGTTGCCTATTAATCTGTACTTTTTAACTGTTCTTTTAATTTTTTAACCTTGTGAAAATAAGTTGAAACTATACATCCTCTGACAATTATTCAGTTTTCCTCTTATCTTCAGCGTACTCTTTCTTTAGATCACTGATCTTTTTTTCCAAATCTTTTTGATTTTATTGTCTAATAATCGATTATAATTCAAAGTAAATACATTCTTTTCTCTACTTCTTTATTTATGTTTTACAGCTAATCTTTGGTTTACTGCAAATCGCTCTTCAATTTTTGATTAACCCCCTTTTCCTTTTTAATTTATTCGACCAACTCCTTAGATGAATCCTATAGACTCAAGATATTAATTACAGGAATGATTTCTTAATTTTCTTATTTTCCAACATAATTATTTTTTATTTTAGTTTGCTATTAGACTATTTCAAATTTATTTTATTATTCCAATTTAGACACATCTTTGTTTTAAGCAGAAAATGGTTTATTTTATTGTAAATTCTTGGTTTCCACATCAGTTCTTCCTGCTTTTTGAGAAGTTGTAAATTATTGAGTTGAGTTTGAAATTTATGGTTATTAGTATTGTAGCTGTGATTATTTCTGTTTTAATTCAGGTTTGCTCTACAAATTAAAATTTTGTATTGAATTTTACTTATGTTTATTGATCTCGAATACTTGATTAACCCTTTAGATACATCTCTATTTTATGGTGTATTATTGGATACCTTGATACGGTATGATTTCTTTTTTGTGTTGACTTTCCATTGGACCTCTTTTGTTGTGGACTTGTGTATCGCATGCATAGCATATACGACAGATTTATCCAGGTTGACAATCTGAACACTTGATAGTGGCAGGTTTTAAATTGCATGTCATACATTTGACAAAAAGCGAACTCATAATTTGAAATGAAATTATAATTAAATATTATTAAAAAATTGAATTTGTGAGAATATTATAAAATAAAGCACACAAAAAGGAGGGGTACAAAAATATCACTTTTTAATTATGGTTGAATAATTTTGATTGGACGAATTGCAAATGGTGAAAGAACAATTAGATTTAGGAGATGTGCTCCTTAAAATCTTTCTTGAGAAGGGACTTATTCTAATTTAATTGATCTTCTTGTCCTCCTCCTCTCTCAGTTTCTTTTAGAACTATTTATATTGCAATTCTTCTTGGTAGTATTTCTACCTTTCTAGTAAACTTGCATTGTTATATTTCTTCTGCACAATATACCTCGAGCCTTCATGAATTTCAGGTGAATGACTAAATTGTTCCTACTCCCCTAATTCCTACTCCATCTACAGTTTCTATTTGAAGATCTTCTCCTCAGTCTGTCTCAACCTAAAATACAGTAGCATTCAGTCTTACCATTTCTTCTATGAATCATACCATTGTTCAAATCCCTTCTTAGGTTTCTCTGTAGGAACTACGTTTTTCTTTTCTTACGGTTTGTTGATTTTAGAATTTACTTCTGTTTTCATCACTTGTCGAGGCTTGTCTGCAGGTTTATTAGTAAAAGATGACAAATTGTACTATTTTGATTTGTTCTCAAAATCCTTCTTCAGCCACGAGTTATAGGGAGAGGGCGATAGGACACCCACATAGTGTTTTATTTGTTCTGGAGTTCTCGCTGACTTTTGTTCGCAGGTTGAAATATTGGAAGGGGATTTCTTATTATTCAAGTTGCTTTGAATCTTATTGCAATAGGATTTTGCTGTGGTCACATTGGTGACTGTTTTTTTTGGAGTTTTTGGTAAGTAATTCTGTTTGAAGAGGTAATTCCCTTTTAAATTTGTCTTGCTAGTTTTGGATGGAAATTGATAATTCGATGAAATTTATGATCGTTCACTCACTAAATCATGACTTTTATTCAATTATAACAGATTGGCTGCATTGTAAGTCTTATCTTTAATCTTCTTGTCCATAGGGTATGGAATTGGAGAGATTAAGTTATAATCGTAATCTTTATTCTGAATATGCTATAGTAATTGTTCTTTGAACTGCAACTACTATTCTTTTAATTGTTAAACTAAGTTGTATGAACTTGATACTTTGCTAATTGCGTTGTTCAAAGATCTCTATATCGGAATCATAGTCTTCATTTATTATCACTGTTGACATCCAATAAAATTTATTTATTATAAATATATATATATACATAGAATAGTTCAATTAAAGTAAGAGTCTGGCAAAAAGTTATTGACTTGTTTCTGCAAAAACTGCTTATATTGGCTTAGCCTTTAATTCTTGTAGGGTGTTGCAGATCTCTATTGGAAATAGGAAGAGTCTTGAATATTGTCTTTGACTCTGCCGAGTGATCGAATTCTAATTGCAAAACTTTCAGTAGATACCATAGATTTTTAGGTTTTACTATTGGCTCAGCTTAATAAAATGATACATTAATGCTTGGTGTAGAAGGCTGGCATTTTGGCCACTGTATTGGATTGATTGTCAATCGAGATATTCATCGATCTATCCTTTTTTACTGTTGTCATAATTCTTTAGATCTTCTCCTATGTAATTTGAGGGATTTGATCAGTGCCCGTTGGCAATGGACTGCGGTCTTGTTTCTCCCTCGGATAGTTGTATATCTTCATTCGATCACAGTTTCTGAGTGGTATAGAGTGAACGATGTAGCCTTCTTGGATGAGGGATTTAGGGTTGGGATGGATTGAATGAATGAACTAGGTTCTCCTGACTTGAACATTCTGGAGAATGTCTATGTTAAATAAATTGCGTATCCTTTGTTCCGCAATGTCGACCTTGTGTTCTTTGCCGATTCTGTGATTCAATTATTAATTCATAAATTATTATAATATGATATAATAATTATATATTTTGATTTATGAATATAACAATACACTCATTAAATCATGGTTGTTTGCTTAAATTATACTAATAAGTTTTAAATACCTGGAGCTTTGTGACGATATTGAGGGTTTGGATCTGCTCTCACTGGAGGAAGGTGATCTTCTGTTCGGTTTCTTCTGTTGCTTCTACTATTATCTATATCTTCTCCTGGATCTGGAGGATTCAGAAGACTTGGACGAGGAGGACGAGGATCTTCTTCGCTTCCTGTCTTTGTCTCGACGACTACAGAATAGAATTGAGGTATTTTGTACTTTCTTCTCTCCGAAGGCGTTCTTGATTTGGTACAATCCTTGCGCACGTGACCCTTTTTATAGCAACGATAACAGGTGTCTCGCAAGTCCCCTGGTGAAATGGGATAAGTGCATACCTTCTTTGCATTCGTTTGCCCAATGTCCTTTGCGGCCGCAGTTGAAACATACGTCTCTGGATGTGGGTCCTCTTGCACCTTACGGTCGATCATCTTTTCAATTTCATCCATCTCTTTTTTCTACCTCTTGATTTGACTGTGATACGATCACTGCCTTCATTCAATCGTTTGTTGTCCATTTTTGAAATGGCTGCTCTGGCATCATCTCCATTTTCATACTCAATAAAAGCGTGAGTGTTTCGTAAATCAATGTCCTTGATTTTACCGAACTTCTCAAACTCTTATTGAAGGTGCTCTCTTCGGATTCTCGAACTCAAACGCCCAACATAAACTTATCGACTCATAATTAATTTATTTATTAATATATGCCGATGTTTTAAATTAATAATCGTAAATCTCATTTCTATGTAAATCCACTCGGTCTAGATGAAGGTTTGGAAGTTGATTTGGCAGCATCAGTATATCTACGAACTCTTTTAAATTGTTGTTATTATTATTATTAAGGAGTAAGTTCACCAAATGATTGATTCGCTAATCTAAATTTAAAAAAATATTTAAAAAATTGAAATACCTCACAGAAGTAGATGCATTTGGAGTCTTTTTGGATTGTTATTAAACCAATTTAGGAATGGGTTTTTTGAGATATTTATTTGCATATTCATTGGTTTAGATGAGATCATTTTACTTCTCTTATTTCTGTTGTTAAGTGAATTGAGTAAATACAGCTTCTTCTTATTGAATGAGCAAACTCTACTCTTCCTAAAAGTTTTGATTTTGCTATTATCTTTACTGAATTTCAAGGAATGCCTCTTTGGCCAGAGATTGCTAGGTTACTCCCTTCACATTTTTAATAAGATTGTATTCAATGGGTTCCAAATATTAGTAGAATTGAGGCAAAGATTTAATTAATTGTATTTACACACTCGCAGCCTTGTCAGAGCTATAGGAGATGATTTGGTTGAGCTATAGGGAAAATGAAAGACATATAATTACATTGAGTTCTTGGAACCGCTTTTTACTGATGTATTGTACAAGATTGGACACCCAAAATATGTAACGGACTCTCTTGTTGTTGTTGCCTCGGAAGAACATCAGATTCATGGTGTCTTTGATCTTCATTTGGATTTCGTAGTCTTGACAGACACTGTAGAATTTGGCTAAACATTTCATTGACAGGAGGTCTGAGTGAATGTTTTGTTGTTCTTTGTAGATGACGGGCAGGATGTATTGTTCAAAATGCTTTTTGTTAATTAGGTGTAGGAATTTGAGAAGCTGCTCTAAAAATAGTTAATTACATTAATAATTGCTTAAGCATTTTTGATAGACTTTTTGCAATTATTAATTGATGTCTTTAAACTAAGTTTTCTAGTGGAATAGTAAATTGATATAATTACTAGCTTATCCTGATTCTGTTCGTTGCCCTACAACAACCTATACATTTCAGGTAGATTGATGGCTAATATGCAATCAAGATCTTCACTCTAGATCACACACTCAAACAAATGCCACATCTTTTGTAACACATAACTGTACTTTAAGATTTATGTACTTCAATTACATCAAACTATTTCGAAATCTCATGCAATATTTTGCAAGCTAGCAATTTGTTCTAATGACTCTTATCCTATATTAAAATATCTGCAAATGGCACTAAAATTTAACTTGCATAAGGGCCTTCACTCAAATGCAAGAGGATTCCAGGTAAATTATACAAATACCATCTCCGAATCTCCTCATTCTGATGTTGACCGAATTTCTAATACAACACTGTGAACTTGCTCTTAAACTCATCATTAATCAAATCTTGGATCTGCACAAATGTTTCCCCACAGTATTGCAAAGCCACACTCAACAACTCTACATTGTTGGTGGATAAACAATCAATGAAAATGGTGGTCTCTTTGATCTACGCTAATCTACTCTGATAATTACATTGTAACTGTTTCTCGGGAGTTTGTGTTGAAATCGCAAGAACGTCCTTATCATGCTCTTCTTCACATTTATTTGAGTGTCATACAACAATTCATTTATTTTGTCAATGAAGTATTGTTCCACTAATTCCCCCGACAAGTTGCATATCAAACAAGTAAGCAATTCATCTGCCACTAGTTCCCTGATTTCATGATCTGGATCTGAACATAACAAACGAGCTCGATCCAATATCGGTCCTTTCATTTCATCCTTCAAGACTGGCGAAATGCACACTATCATTTTTGCTCCAACCCATCTTCCAATTTCAGGCTATTTGGGTTCGCTAAATTGGATTATGATTTTCTCTAAATAGGACTAAAATTCTTTATAATCAATCAGTAACACCAAATTTTGAAACACAGGCATCCAAGCCTATGCCAATTTCCATTGATATAGTTAAATGAAATGTAATGCCAATTGGATGATTTCCTTTGGCTTCACCTTACAAGCCTGCAAGGATCTCGCTGCTATTATTTGCACTTCCTCACTTTACTCCATTATATCCCCTCTGATATATTGATACAATTGATCAAAACTCAGAGATAGCAATCTGTGTAGGTTGTTATATATCTACCAAAGATGGAAAATAAATTACAGCTAACTTTTGGCGTTGCTATCCTTTCATCAAAATTATTTATGCTCTTTTGATCTCTGGTAAGTCTTCCTCCAAAGTTAACTTCTTTATCTCTTCATCTTTCTATACAATTTCATAACAATTCAAATTTACATTCAAAGTTATTCTACTTTCATTTACTTCAAAGTTATCGCAACTATAATCCATCATCCTAACTTTAAATGTATAAATAATAAAATAGCAAATATAATTAAATAAATGAATTAAGAGGACAATGAAATGCAAAATTTGTTAACCAATTATTTATAAACATCTTTGACACTGTTTAAATTTACGAAGTTGAATTTGAGAGTTTAAAAAAACAAATTAAACAATATGAATTTCAATCCAAAGAACAATAAGTAAGTTAATCAATTCTCTTGAATATTTGTATTAAGAGTATTTTGGTTTAGAAGTAGAAGTAGAATTAGATAAGAAAATGAAATAAACTAATGAATCTAACTCAAGCAGTTCTCCCTACATATGTAAGAATAATTGGCATTAGCTCACATTAACAATGCCTTACAAACCAACCATCAATGAATAAAGATGAAAACAATACTTTAAAAAGAGAGTGGATAATTTTCAAAATTTAGTTGAGTTTACAAAAATAAAAGAATTTATATATTATTTTAATATGCAACTTAAAATATCTGCAAATTTCGTTGAGCTCTATTTAAATTAGACTCCTTGTGGAATCGGCCCCTTGGCTGCTTTACTTTTTGGTGTCAAGATGTTCCAAGAGAATATATTATATGTACCAAGTATGATTTCAATTTCATCCCTTTAGCTGTTGATGGATAATAGACATCAAAATAAAATCCACCGAATTATCGATCTCCAGCTGCCAGGTAATGAGTAACTAAATTATTAGAAACCTAAAATTTTCACCGATATCCATAAAGCATGATTGTATTGAATTAAAAGGGTGGTTCATATAATAGGAGTAACCAACTCAGGTCCCCACTTTGATATTTTTTCATGAGAATGCTGGAAGTATTTTTAAAGTAGAAATGTTAGATCTTGGATATCGTTTGGACTATTTTGAGAAATATTACTATAACTTAAAATGTAATATCGTTGCTGTAGCATATCGAGGATACGATGAGAGTTCAGGTAATCCAAATTAAATAGGAATTCAAAAGGATGCTATAGCTATTGTGAGATACGTTTTCACAAATTTAGAAATAGACAAAAATAACGTGTTTGTACATGGAAGGAGTCTTGGAGGAGCAGTTGCCATTTACGCAGCCAATTATTTCTAGGATTCTAAGAAGGAGAAGATAAGAGCCATTATCTTAGAGAATACTTTCACTTCAATTAATGATGTTGTCAATGATTTAGTTCCTAATCTACCAATTTCACATCTCCTGTTTTCAAAGAATCAATGGAGAAGTTGTGACACCATTAAAAACATCAAATTGCCCATTCTATTTATCTCATGTATTAAAAATCTAAATGTTTTAGCTGGTTAGGACGAATTAGTTTCCTACAATCACATGAAAAGGCTAATTGAATTATCTGAAAACTCTTAGTTGAAGCGAGAATATCATATAGCTGATGGCGATCATAATGGAAATTGGATGAAGGATGAGGGAGCATATTTCTAAAATATTTTGTCATTCTTTCAATAAATAACAAATTGAATTTGCATTTTATGATTGAATAAGCAATTATCATAAATTTACTAATTATATTATAAGGAAATATTATATTAGTATTTATTACTTTTTTAGAATAAAAAGAATTTCCTTATAATTACTTAATTAAAAATTGTATTAAGTTTGTTAAATTGTTTAGTATTTCTTTTTAAATAATAAGATATTTGTACAATGAAAAATTTTGGAAAAGAGTTAAAAGAGGATTTTGTTATTGAACCAGGATATACTTGTGTTAACCACAGTAGCTTTGGCTACATCCCTAAATGCGTCTTAAAATAAAGAATCGATAATTATAGAAAGTTTCTTGAAAACCCTGATTGTTTTGCCCGATACATTATTCCAAAATAATCTCCGCTAGTAAGGTAAACTGCAGCAGAATTTTTGAATGCAAGTCCTAATCAGTGTTTCTTCTCAAATAACTCTGCAGAGTCCATGAACAGCATACTTAAAAGTATACATCTTAATATCTTTGAGATTTGGGTTTGTCGGACAAGGATACCATTCTCTATTTGAATATCGCCTATCCGATGGTAAAGAATGTGATAAAATATATGAATACAAACTTTAAGGTGAACACATGTATGATAGAACTAAAAGCTGAAGAGTTGAAGAAGGAGATTATCCTGTAGTACATTGAGGGTAAGAGTAGAGAATATGATTAGAAAATATGAAGTCTAAGAAAATAACAGTAGCGATTTTGGATAATATTTCATCACAGCCGTCATTAAAATTACCAACAAAGGAGTTTGTTGAATTATGCAAGAAGTATGACGTAATAAGCATTATCGATGGAGCTCATGGTGCTGGAATTAGTGAAATCGATCTCAAGGAGTTAGACCCTGATTTCTTTTTTACAAATTTGAACAAATGGGCATTTTGTCCATGTAGTGTTAACTTATTATATATGAAGGAGAAATATTTGAATTAAATACATAACAACACTGTATCTGTATTTTACGGAGCTGGCATTGAAAAGGAATTTGAGTATTATGGTACTAGGGATGCGAGTATTATCCTTTCAGTAATTGATGGAATAAACTATATCAACTCATTTGGTCTAAAATAAATAATTGAATATTGTGAAAATTTAGCATGGGAGGGTAGCAATTTAGTTGCCAAAATATGGGAAACAGAGTTGTTGGCTCAAGACAAGGCCATGCATTCTGCTATGGTAAATGTGTTGGTGCCACACAAGGATCACTCGTACATAATGGAATGTTCGAGGATTGTAAAAATGAAGATTAATTTGATAGTGTTATGAGAAACATAGTGTGTTTGTAGTAGTCTTTGAGTTTGATGGAAAATCATGGGCTAGATTCAGTGCCACCATTTACAATTGTTTGGAAGATTATGAGTATGCTGCAAAGTCATTTTTAAATGTGTTAAAGAAAGAAGGATGAAATTTATAAATAGATGTTCTAATTTATAATTTATCTAATTGATTCATCTGAATCCAGATCTTAATCCTGATCCTAATTAGCTTGATCTAAGATTTCCTAATTCAGTTTATTAAACAAGAGGTACTTCATCAACTTGGTTAGCGAACACGATGGCTTCACCCAAACCTAAAGTCTATTCGTTTATATTTACATAAAGCTTTATCAATACCAACGTTCTCAGTCTCAGCATCAATTCTCAATATACCGAAGCCTTTGAAAGCTAGGAGTATAATCAAGGTAAAGAAGGCCACCCAAGCAAAGATGATCAACAATCCCAAGAATTGTTTGCCTAATAACTTAGCACCGAATCCATAGAATGCTCCTGCCTTTGAGTCGAATAATGCTGATAACACAATTCCAACGAATCCTGAACCCTATCACAATAGAACTTTAATCATTACAAGATAAACTGATACAACCTCAGCTGGGTCATCGATATGAGCAGCAGGCATAACTTTAGCCAAAAAGCTGTAGATCAAAGCAGCAATAGCACCATAGAGGAATGCTGTCCATGGCTTCATATCATCTGCAGCTGCACTGACTGCTACCAATCCACAAATAACTCCTCTAGACAAAGCTGCCAAGTTTGAGGTTCCATATTGGAAGTGTCTGATGACAAAACTGAAGAATCCACCGGTGGCTCCAGCAATCAAAGTGTTAACAGCCACTAAACCTTAGGTGTATTGAGTTTTGGCTCCTTGGTTGACTACTCCTCCATTATAGAATAGCCATCCAGCTAAGACCAACAATGATCCAAATCCAATGTACAATGGAGAATGTCTGTTGAAATCAAGGGTGGCTCCATTATCGAATCTGGCTTATCTGGGTTTCAAAAGGATTGTCAAGATCAATCCTGCAACACCTGCGGCAAAGAAAACAACTCCTGCACCAGAGAAATCTTTAAATCCAAGAGTACTCAACCTAAATAATTTTGAATTTTAAATTACCATCCTGCTGCCAATGTCCAATGTGTTAATCCTGCATATATAAAACCAGAATATAAAACAGCGAAGATTGACCAACCCAAAAATGTCATTCTTTCGGCTGCTGCTCCTGCCAATATTGCTGTTCCTACTGCTGCACCTGATGCTCTGAATACTAATTTCAAATTAATTATCAATATTACCAAAGTTTGTATAATCATTTCCATAAGCTGTTGCTTCCCATTTTGCTCCTGCCAATTTTGTTCCTCCCAAGAATTTAGTTTAGAAATCATCTCCGAAAGAAAAGCCATAGCCAAACTAACGATATTTACTTTATTAATTACCAACCACCAAATCAATACAGTTAAAAATAATCCCAAGAAGACTTTGATTACTACTGATTATGAATTCTTATATCTGACTGATCCTGCTCCAATAAATGCAAACCCAACTTAAGTCAATATTACGATGAATCCAGAAACCAAAACCCAATCATAATCTGTAGTTTATGGACTTGGTATACTTGCTAAAGCAGGAACGGCAGCTATTTAATTATAATTATAAATACCTGCATCCGAATTATGCCTTAAAAGAGAACTCATATCTTCCGTTATTTAAAATAATATTTCAAATAAATTTATTTACTTTCTATTTATATTGTCACCAATATAAATATCATGCATTTAAAATATATTATATAACTAGCAAATTTAATTATTTACATGTGATAATCAGAATATCATCATTTCCATTATATTTTACGTCTACCTCACAAGTCTCTAATTCGAACTAACTATCATATGATTCCTACACTCTAAAATATCTTAATAATTAATACTTATGAATATCTTCAAAAATTCCTATGAATGACAGATTATTGATTTTTCTATATGAAATCTTTAAGAAATAGTTAAAAATTCAAGGAATTGTTAAAACATTATTTTTATTCTGCGCGTATTTAACTAGTATAATTTTAATTAAATATTTTGAACAATTTCTAGACTGACATAATTTTGAAGGGATAAAATTATTCAAAAAATACGGCCAACGTAGTATTGGGGATGTCATACGAGCCTTGTTTATTGAAGGACAACTTATCGTAGGGTTCTGAATTTTAATGTAACAATAATTGAGGATATGGGATACCATTTAATTGAGATTTTGAAAAGCAGTTAACTGAAATTTTAAACAGGTTTCTTGGAGGCTTGAGGTTTTATCAAAATATAATATATTTATAATCACCTTTTTATTAAATTTTTTAATAAATGTCTTCTGTTTAACACTACTTATTGAGGAAGTCTATAACTTTAAACAAAAACGCAAACATCTTTATGACTTAACAAGAGGTTGACGAATAGCGATTATATAGAAATGGAAAGATAGTTCCGTACTATATAGTTGGTAAACCGGAAATCATGGATAAAAAATTAAACAATCCATAACCTACAGAAGATTCATCGATGAATATAAAAATCAAGCCCATAAGTTACAAAGAATATAAATCCAAGGTTTCACAAAAACAACAAATTAATCAAGTAGAAGAGGATTAATTCATTGAGTTTGATATGGAACTTGGCTAGGTTGAAGATGAAATTCGATAAGTGCATATCTAATAAAAAATGAACCAATTTAAACTTCCTTTATCAAAATTAAGTCAAGCAGATCTGGCTGCTGCTGAGAAAGATGATAGAATCATGAAATCTTTTGAATAACAATAAATAGATTGGCAACAAAGAGTGATAAAGTCAGCTTAAAGATGTAAAAGACACGTTTCCTAATCAATTTATAATAAAATTTAGGCAGAAAGAGAAAGGAATGAGGATAGAAAACTTTTGGATTTAATATAAACTGATGCAGAAAGACACGGAAATAAGTTATGGGTAATATTCTCTTGACTTTAAGGAAAGATAATTAAGATCGAGTTCAGAAGTATTGGAAACCAACTAAAAAATAAAGGCAAAAGGTTTGGAAATCATAAAATAGATGAACAACTCAGGTGTTTATAAGAGACCCAAGAGTTTTGTCTAAAGATTTGAAGAAAGGTAGGACAAGGTAAATGAATTGGCAGCTCAAGGAAATTCTATCCAAAATCTATAAGTAGACATCCTCATTATTTATAGGTAGAAGGGTTGAGTCAATTGGCTCGAGAAACATCGAGCTTATGTAAAATAATAAACGATCAGAAGGAGTTCTAATTAATTAAAAATAGTACATCAAATAACTAAATACCTCATACCAAAAGAAAACACAAGGGGCCCTTCAAGAAGCTAGTTCCTGTCGAAAACTTAAATCATTCCCAGGAAATCCTAGCAGTTAACTATGATAAATAAATTTTGAGATAATAAGGAAAATTGGAAATTTATAAATAATTTTTCTGAATATAAAATTATATTTATAATTCATTCCTTTGGTTGATATTGGTGGTAATAATAGGGATACATTAAATTAAAATTTCCATATGATTGATTGTTATGGTAACACTATAGGAATTAGTTGTAATCTTATTGGTAGGCATTACAGTATTAAAGATTGGAGAATTGATTGAAGATCTACATAAAGATTATATTACTTCAGGAGCTTAAAATTGGTTATTCTAAAGATTAGGATTCATAGCAGCGCCCTGTTTCATTATTCTAAATAAAATAATAAATTTACTTATCTTTTTAAACTACCTATTTCTCTAACAAATTTTAAGCATGATTTTCTTATTCCTTCTCGTCTTTTACTTGTTCTGCTTGGTTTCCTTGGTCCTCTTTACTATGTTGTTGGTGATTTAATTATATTTTTTTAGATATTTAACGAATCTGGCCTTAAAGAGGCTGCATACGGTCAGCAGCCACTTGAATTAAGTGTTATTTGGGGTCATCTTGGAACACAATTTAGTCAAGACCTTTCTAGGTTTGCTTCAACTTGGCATTTAGAGCCTTGGAGCCATTAAAATTTTCATTTTATTTCTTGCCTTCTGCATGATCGATAAAATGTTGGTATTTCCTCTTGTATTCTCTAGTTAAAGAGTAGATGTCGGTTATTTCTACTGCGTCTGAGGGGATGTTGGCTCTTTGAGTGTATATTTCATAATAATTATTCTCCAACTATTTAATTATATCTAGAGCCTATAATATATTAATAAAATTTACTTTCTTTAATGTGTTTTAATTAGAATTTTCAACTTTTATTAAAAGTTTCATCTCATTTGACTGGCTCAATTGTTGTTTGACTTAACTTAAATGGGACAACACTTGCATTAATACGCTCTCCGACTTTTTTATAAAATTAGCACTAAAGAATAATTTGACACATTTAGGGAACTTCATAACCATGAAGAGTGGATGCTTAATCTTGTTCCTAATGTTAGGAGATGTGTAGTAATTAATAAAACCTTGAAGTGATTTATCAATTTAACTAAATTTGCAGTTCTGTTTCGCATTTTCTCTTTTATAAAATATTTAATCAATTAACTAGGGAGGAAAAAGATCTAAAAACATTTCTTAGGATATGTCTCTACTGTTATGACCAGTTCTATTTCTTGAGTCAACAAACACATCTGAAGAGATCTATGAGTCTAATATCAGAACTTCTTCTTTTCTGGAATAAGATAACACAAATATAAAGTTAAACTTGGAGTACTAAATCTAAATTTCTGAATTACTTTATTATTGTAGGATGTAGTTGCAAATTTCAATCCACTAAATGTTATAGAAGGTTCAAATAATGCTAATTTGGTATTTCCTCTTAACCCAAGACTAATGTATTGATTAGTAATCAGTCCTCTTTTGATAACAAAAATTTACACTTCCAAAATCCCTCCTCTAAAGTCTCTCATTGTAGTATCATTGTTTTTAAACTTCATACTTGATTAATCAGTACATTTAATGTGTAATTTATGTCAGGTAAGTTCCATGATTTGTGCCAATTCCATCCAAGCTCAGGATCAGACATGAACTCCTTCGACTAGGAAATGGAGACTGTAAATAAATCTTTTGGCCACTTAGAATCTTCAGATTTCAGCTCCCATATCACTTTATTTGATTTTTGATCGACTAAAACCCCAGTCACGGGCATATATTTCCATTCTAACGAGCCCTCTGCTGCCATTTATTGAACTTTTAAATATATATTTATTATCAATTAATGTGTAATGTATATAAACCACCAAGAAAGGCATTATTTCCTTCAAATATATGAGGAAATTTAAAAATAATATTTAATAAATTAATTTTAGAAGATATATTTTGGTATATTATAAGCTGTATGCATTAATTATAGTTTAAATTATAATTAGTATATTTGATTTGTAATGATAGAGACTCCACACTCATCCAATTTGCCAAATTAAAGTGTTTGTCTATAGATAGTGCAGCAAATGCGTGCTCTATGAGTACTACTTCCTTTGGGTATCCCAATAAGCGATTTCCATCATTCAATGTTGATTAACAAATTCAACACTCTAAATTTTTTTTAAATTTATTCCATTCAAACCTCAATATTGCACTAATTTAATTATGATGAAATAATATATATTATGGGTAACTTTAAAATATTAAATTATTTTGAAAAATAATATGAATTACATTAACAATCAATATCAACTAATAAAGAAATTATCAGCCGGTAGTTATGGGATAGTCTATGAGGGTGAGAACATCCCAACTAAAACTTCTGTTGCTATCAAGATTGAGAAAAAGGACAAACCTCAAACCTTGGAAAGAGAAGTCTCAGCCTTATCTCGATTGTAAAAAATTACAGGAATCCCCTAAATCTATTGGAATGGAACCCACAATGGACAAAATGTCCTTGTAATGCAATTGTTATCCAAGGATCTTGGGTGCTATTTGAAGGAATACCGAAAATTCACTCTCAAAACAGTATTAATGATTGCAGATTAATTAATATAAATTCTGAAGAATGTTCATTAGAAATCCATCTTGCACAGAGATTTGAAGCCTGAAAATCTAATGTATCATTAGAGATAAATTTACATTGTAGATTTTGGGATTAGTAAGATATACAGAGATAACACTTAAAAACATATGTAAAAATAGATCTTATGACATTTAGACCATTTAGAGAGGGGAGGCCCTTTGTAGGAACTACTCGATATGCTCCTATCGCTGCCCATAAGGGTCATGAATTAAGTAGAAAAGACGACCTGGAAACACTAATCTACATCTTGGTTCTATTTTTGAAAGGGTATAAAGGATTTTTAATTTAGATTAAAGAGTTCTACCATGGCAACACTAACTTTCTCAAAACAACAAAGAGAGATAAAAACTGATAGGCGATAAAAAAATTAAATTAAGCTCTACTGAAATTTGTTAGGATTTACCAATTGAGTTCCAAAAAGCTTTAGAGTAAATTTCATCAATCTAATTTTTGAGTCATATTAAGAGTCTCAGTTTCTCGGTTGAACCTGATTATGATTATTTAATAAATCTCTTTAGGAAATTAGGATAAAGACATGGATTTGAGTACGACAATTTGTTTGATTGGTGCAAAGAAGAGGAGGTCATTGCATAGGCTAAAACCATGCAATAGAGTGAAAAAATGTAGCCTTTTTCAGTTAAATGGTAAATATACATAACAAAACATTAGCCAATCTTTGTAAATACCTTCTACTTTGGAATGCTTTGAAAAAAAGTAATCGTCAATTTCTAACATTTTATAAAATCCTATGTAGATTTCATAAAGTGCTGTTATAGTGGAAATCAACTCTGACACAAATCTTTCGGATGACAGCACAAATTACCTCTATAATAATTATTAATAATTAGAAAACTTTTCAAATTTGTATAAAACCCATCTCTTGATTATGAAAGATAAATGAACATTTGCTTAGAAAAAATGAATTCTTGTTTATAAATATTATTCTTATTTTGTTTTATGAAAATTGTACTTCAATTATAACTACAACTACATCAACTATTACACTTTGTTTTTTGAATCTTCATTATTATAATGCGAATCATGCACCCTCAGAGTGTATGATCTTTTTGACAACACCCAATCAAATAAAGTTCTTTGAGAATGGGATTATTTTTAGTTAATTTTTGTTTCCCCTAAAATATACTAATATTAATTTCAAATTACTAATGTCAGAATAGATTACATCCTCTCAAGTTATTGAGTTTTTCTGGTTTTTCTTTCCCTTTTTACTATTCGTAAGTGCTGTTCTACTGAAATTTTACATTAAGACTAGCATTCATTTGGATTAATCAGAAAATAGAGCAAAGTCATATAGTTAATAAAGTCTTCAGGATCGTAAAAGCAATGAGCCTAAGAGACTGGATCATGATGGAATTCAAGGGCCAGGTATATGAGATAACCATTAATTGTATTTTAGAGGTACAAATTGTTGGGAACGATTTACACCATCAACAGATGAATATGGTAGATGAAGGAGAAAGAAAATAGATACAATAGTCATAATAATAATTCTAGTAAATTCCCCAATTATCAACAATCTCTCCAAATCTTACATAAAATGTATACAATAATATTCAAAATTAGACCAGGACGGCCAAAGTGTTTGATGGATTGAATTAATTGGTTTCAACATATTTTCCACTATTATCAGTCTCGATTATTTGTATAAATAATTTTGCTGCTTGGAGTTGGGCATTAGCTTGTGTAATTTTATTTTTAATTTTTGTTATTGCATTCAACATCCTTTAAGTGTAGCGTAATTTTTCAGATACAATCAAAAGTAATATCATATTATGAGTAATTTAGAATTTTTGTTTATTAGTCATCATGTGTGGTTGAGTGGTCTATTTATTAGTTATTTAGCCTGTAAATTGAAATTGTCAGATTGAAATCATAATTAATTTATAATATCAGTTTGTTTAATATTATTTAGTTTGAATTATTTTAATAACAATTTTTAATTTATTATTTGATGAGAATTTTTAGAGATTGTGATGAAGTTAGTGCTCATTTAAAATTCATTAATTATTTATTAATTATTTTTGTAATATATATTTAATAAATATGATTAGAATGGAAGTATTCATAATTGAGAATTTCAAAAATTTAAATTAAATACATTTCTTAGTAATTTACGTTTCCAAGGTTTTTTTTATTTCTAAGTTTTGGCAATCTATCATTTTCTAATTTTATGCGATCAAATAAATATTATCATCTTTTAGATTAAGCATTTATTGATGGGTGCTCAAATATGCCCAAATGCTTAGAATATTTCCCAAAATGAAATTACTCTTCAGAATAAGCCCCAGATTCATATAACTAAGCCTCCCAAGACTCATAAGTTATAACCGATAATTAATTTGCATTTTCCTGATGAGATTATGGATATTCAAAGGGAAAGATAATATTCAATTCCCTAACAGTCCTCTTAGGATTAAAGCACTTCAAAATAGGAGGTTACTGAAAATAAAATTGAACCTTTACAATAATTGGAAGGAATCCACCTAAATCCCCAAGACAATCAAAATGAATAATAAAATGATTCACGAGATGATTCAAATAGCGCACTGCTTGAAGGTATTATGTACTGAATAGAGTAGTAAAATATAAGCCGATACTTAAACATCCTCCAAGTCCAAGGAATTGTCAAAATGATGGAGAATCTCAAAAATCAGTTAAAAAAGTCACATTTGATAAAAAGTAGAGAGTGATTTATAGTAACTTCAGAAAACCTAACTAATGAACAAATAAAAACTCAAAATCCCGTTTAAATCTTTTGACTATTTTATAAATTTTACAATCTTTTTCAACGAAATAAATTCGAAATATATTATTTTTGCTAATTATAATTTCCCGATCATATAGATCATCCTTAATGAAAGTCGATGTAATCACTCTAACTAAATGTTCCAATTTGCAAAGTGTAATTAAGACATTTCAATAATAGATTTAGTGATCATAAAAGGATGAGACTGAAAATTTCAACAAAGAAATTGACACATTATTTTATGATAAAAATACCAATACTGGTGTTAAAAATTAATTAGAATTTCTAGAGAATAAACTAATGGATCTCTTGATTCAGGTTAAACCAAATCAGGATGGTCAAATGACAATTGAAGGAGTCTTGAGATATTTTTTATAAAATCAATAGTGTGTACTATTTTGAATATTGAGTAATATAAGGAAATTAATATATATTATATTTAATTCAAAGTAAGAATGATAAACGAATACTAACCCAAAATATTTTCAAAGGATTAATTTAGAATCAGATACAAGGACTTGGAGGAAATATATAATGAAGAAATGTCTCCAACTTAAATTGAATTAGGTTATGATGATGAATTACAACAAGTATCAGAATAAAATAATAAGTAGACAGTCGTCGTTAAACACATTTGTAAAGAACAATTGTTCAATGATATATAAAGAAAATAAGCTTTGATGGAATGTTAAGTGCATTCTTAAATTAAAAATGATCATTTAGTGGAATTATATGATTGTTTTCAAAATGAGGAAGAATATACACTAATTTTAGAATACATGAACAATGCTAACTATTTTAGGGACAAAATTGAAACTGTAATAACAATCACATAAATATGTAAAGGAACTTAAGATAATATCAACAGAGGCCAAAATGAAGTCCTACATGTCGGATGTATTGGAAGGACTAGACTACCTGCATAAGCAAGGTATTCTACCGATTCTTGGCTAGGATATATTCACTGTGACATCAAATTAGAGAATCTGTTCTGTGAAAAACTGGAGGATCAAGTCTTTAGAAATGTATTCAACTTTGTTAATTAGGTAAAATTAGGAGACTTAGGATTGGTGCATGTCTACGATCTAAACACAGGACAAGGTCTGATGCCAGTGAAGTGTGGAACAGCCAATTACATAGCCCCAGAAATAACAAACAATGCTGTGGTGACTCCTAAAATAGATATCTGGTCTCTTGGAATAATATTGTATACAATGAGTTGTGGTTATAAACCTACTCAAATTCAAGGGTCGTTCAATCTATTATTATTTTTCTAGATACAAGTATTCATAAGGTCCCATACCCTTTAGAAAATTTGATTGGAAAAAGAGATCAAAAGAACTATAAAACCTAATAACTTAGATGCTTGAAATGGACCCAAATAAAAGACCATCTTGCCAAGAATTAATGCAGCATTCTTGGTTTGAAATTGATTCTTGAAATTAAAAGTGTTTTTTTTATATATATACAAATTCTTTAGTTTTGCATATTCAGATTTGCTTGATTTGTCTCTGATCAGGTTCCCAGAATTCGCTGAAATTAAACCCGAAAACTTTATAAAAGAAGCCTCTGTCCTTTCTCTTGAAACTATCAAATGTGGGCAATCCAGAAACCTAATTCTTAGAATGAGTGAAATACTTTGGCATCAATTAATTGCTTTTTGTCTCCCTCGTAGCGATGCTGTAGTAATTTAGTGTATTCGTCGAAGATACTTTCACAATTCTTTTTGCAAATCTCTCCATCAACTAACTTTTAACATGGTTCCAAACACTTTTGATATTCTACCATTTAAATCAATGTGATCATTACTTTCTGATAAATCGAAATACACCTTCATTCTTTCCTACTATTCTGATGAATACACATGATAAACTTCACTTCTCAAAATCACTTTTTCCTTTATCATCTATTTATTAATATATTATATAAATATTCTCAAATTCATTAATTTACAAGTCATGTTTTATTACTGTATTTTATCCTTTGTAAAATCACATATATCCTCAAGAGAATGATTATAAAATAATCTAAAAATTAATAACTTAATTATGACATAGAGCATCAATGCTGATCTGCTACTGAGGATAAGCACTCTAAATTAAGAGTTTAAGTTGTTAGACACGAAAACTAATTTCTTTATCGAATAAATCTAAAGCGAATTGTCACTCTAAAAAGAAGAAAATGAAAGTAGTCGATAAATCTGTGATCAGAATACTAAAGTATGATTTCATATTACATAGAGTGTTAGTGAGTTGAAGGAGCATTTGGATCAATAGGTAGGGAATCTTTATAAGAAATATGAGGAATAAGTTAATGATAAAATCATCTAATTTGAAAGCATTTAAAAATAAAAAGAAATTTCAGAATAAAATAGAATAATAGAATTAGAGCAAAGATTCAGCCAATATGATGAAATAATTAAAGAATTAGACAAGAAGTGGGAATCAAAATCTAATGATCGTTATATCGCTAGTATAATTCAAAAGAACTTGTTAACCAACCAGAATATAGGGTAGTTTATAGTCGACAAAGTATTGAAATTGACCGAAGAGACTGTTCAAAACAAAATGATTGAATATCAAAAGTTAATTGATGAAAGAATTACAAATCAATTTCATTAAATTTAAAACTTTCAATGTCAAATCAGAAAATATGAATCTAAGTATGAAGAGTTTCAGAGCCATCTTAACATTTCAAAAGAGTTTTAGGTTGAGTGTCAAAAGCAACAACAAAAAAAACTCTAAGCATTATAAAATCAAAACACCTTATTCAAGGAAGTCCTGTAACAATAGGTTCATAGGTAATCAATTATAATCTAAATTAGCATAAAGGATTAGTAAGAACTCCTCAAAACCAATATGAATGATTTACGAGAATAAATGATCAGTTAATTTCAAGATGCTTCATATCAAAAAATCAACAATAATGAATAAATTATGCAAATTTTGGCTTAAGACCAAAATACACTCAAGGAACTGGAAAGAAAGTAAGAGTAGATCTTCAAAAATGAAAATTAAATAAAGTAAAAATTGGAATAGATGGAATTCGATTACTGTCAATAACATTAGGGAGCCTTAAATTAAATTGCCACCATCGATTGTGAAATGAAAAACATCAGATCATCAATTAATGGAATACATAAATCTATAAATACTATGCCGGTGAATCCTTAACAAATACAAGAAACTAAACAAATTGAAAAACCTCAAGAAAAGTTTAGACCATTGCTAATTAGTAAAAAGATTGAAAAGCAATTCTGTTTAAAAGATTAGATCGGATAAATAGAAATTCTATTTCGACACATTCAATTACTTTTCGGCCACATTTGTAAAACTTATCGACACGAGCTAAAACTGGAAGCCCAGAAATAGAAATAAAAAGCAGAATTAACAAGAAACAATTCGAATGAACAAAAAAATCTTTCTGATAACATGAGTAGTCCATAATATGTGTAATAATATTTGTAATAGTAACAACACGAATAATTAAAGCCTGACTAAAAAGGTGATAAACTTTAACAAACAATGTAAAATCCTTAAAATTAATTAAAAATTAATATCTAACCCTCATTACAGAATAATGAAGATGTCTTTGGAGACACTAAGATATATTTGAACTCATCTCAGAGACCTATTCATATTTAAGGAAAATGTATGAACTGTTATTTAATTAGAACATGGAATGGAGGTTAGGCCTCAAGCTGAGATGTAATATTTATCTGCAAAAGTGAAATAACTCTCAGGTTTGTTCTGCGATTCAGATTTCAGACAATAACTAGTTGAAAATAACCTAAGTTTTAGACCTGAATCAGGAAAAAACAGATTACCAAAGATTACTTCAAAAAGCTTTCATTTTTCAAATGATGATGAGTGATGATGATTTTTGTTTTTGTTTATTGATACCAATTTTATTTTATCATTTCTTTGCTCCCTATTTAGCAACAGCCTCCATCTTTTTTCTAATTTCTTCTTGATCTCCTAAGTAATAGGATCCCAAAGATTTTAAATTGCTATCGAACTCATAAACTAATGGAACACTTGTTGGAATATTCAGTTCAAGAATATCTAATTGATTAAAGATTCTCATACCTTTTTCTGAAACATTATCTAAGTACTTCACAATACTTCTCAATGAATTTCCATGGGCAACCACCAAAACATTCTTACCAGCAAGAATATCCTTAGCAATATGATCATGCCAGTATGGAATAACTCTAACAACAGTATCTTTGAGGCATTCAGTGAGTGGTAAAGCATCTTTAGGAACATCAGCGTATCTTCTATCATTGGCTGGATTTCTGGCATCTTTTGGATCCAAAGGAGGAGGTGGGATATCATATGATCTTCTCCAAATTTTGACTTAATCCTCTCCATGCTTTTATGCTGTCTCACTCTTATTTAAGCCTTATAGGGCACCATAATGTCTTTCATTAAGTCTCCAACTTTTGGTGACTGGCAAATAGTGACATCCCATTTCTTCAGCTGCATAGTTATATGTTTAAATAGCTCTAGTCAACACTGATGTGTAAACCTAATGGAATTAGAATCCTTCCTTCTTTAGTAATTATCCAGCAGCTTTAGCTTCTTCAACTCCTTTTTATGAGAGTGTGACATCATGCCATCCTGTAAATCTGTTTTCCTTATTCCATTGTGATTCACCATGTCTTAGAAATACCACTCTGTATTTTGCTAAAGCATTCTTGAACACTGTTTGCATTTTAATAATTTAATTAATTTATTGTACACAATTGTATTATATTGATAATAAGATTTTTCAAGCTAATTTTCCTTCTGATAGAGCTCTTTTGTAATCATCGAAATCTCCATTGAATTTCTTAAGTCTCTCTTCCTTTATATACCAAATCTAATCACAGACTGTAGAAACAAAGTATTGATCATGTGAGACTATTACTAAACCACCCTAATAATATAAAAGAATTCAATACAGTGAAGTTGTTCAAAGCAATAATTAAAGCATTGACAGCATCGATATCAAGATGGTTTGTAGGTTCATCCATAATTAGAATTTGAGGATTATTCCAAACAGCCATTGCAAATGATATTCTGCTCTTTTGACCTCCTGACAATAAATACTGAGGTCTTAATTGCAAATTACCATTCAAACCAAATGATGACAAATGAGATCTATAGGTTTCTCCAGAAGCTCCAGGGAAAGTAGTCATCAATTATTCCAAAGGACTCTTCATGAGATCTAATTATTCAATGTGATGCTGAGTAAACATGCTAATTCTCAATCTTGGATTTCTGAAGTAATTACCTTCAGTTAATCTTCTTTATTCAGTTAACAAATTCAACAATGTTGATTTACCAACACCATTGGCACCAACAATAGCAACACGAGATTCCATTTCAACTGCAAAATTAAGTCCCTTTAGGATTGGTTTACCTAATTGATACTCGAAATATCCTTCTTCAATTCTCAACATAGGTGGTCTCAATTTTTCAGGATTTGGGAATATAAACACACAACTTGGATCTTCTAGAACTTCATCAATCAAATCCATTTTCTAAATAGCTTTGATACGTGATTAGACTAGAGATGCTCTCTTAGCATTATATCTAAATTTATCAATGAAGGATTGCATATGTGACAATTTCTTCTATTAGGATTCAAATTATTTCTTTTGATTAGTGTTCTTTTCAGCTCTTCCTTTTTCAAATTAATCATAATTTCCCGTATATGGTGTTAATTTTTAGTCATAGAAATGGATGACTTAATTACAAACCACATTCAAAAATTCTCTTGCATGTGATACCACAATGACAGTGTGTTTACAATTAATAACGTAATCCTCTAACCACATAACCGCATCTAAATCAAGATGATTTGTGGGTTCATCCAACAGTAATACATCTGGCTATACAAACAAAGCTCTTGCCAATGACACTCTCATTCTCCAACCTCCTGATAAATGCTTTGTTTTTCTATACATTAAATCCTCAGTAAATCCTAGTCCTTGTAATATTTTAATTGCTTTTGATTCAGCTAAATGAGCCTCAATCACTTCAAGTCTTTCATATATTTCTTATAATTTAATTCCTGCATTTACATCTTCTGAATTCTCCAATTAATCCTTTTATTCCAATAACTCTGTTCTCTCCATGTCTGTCTCCAAAACTAATTAAACAGGATTCTTATCAGTCTCAGAGATTTCTTATTCCACTAACAACACCTAAACGTGCTTGAATTTTTCAGCATTTTCATATTCATATCTTGCAAGAGCATTCATGAGACTATGAAATGGATAGGATTATATATTACCATGTTTTACCAATACCATTTCTGCCGACTAGACCATACTTCTAACCATATATCAATTATAAAGATGTGTCTTCCAATAATGCTCTGCCTCCCACAATTATTGATAATTTATCGATTACGATATCCAATTTCTTGCCATCCTAATCTGCCTTGCTGTGTCTCACTCTTGCTGGAGGAATGTGGGTTTTCTATTCCTTTATTGTTTTAATATGTTTCTCATATGCTTCCTACGCTTTAATATCCTCCTTCTATCTCAACTTTTCTTTACGGTCCTTCTTCTAAATTTATTCGTTTGTATTAGTTGCTACTTATTCTTTAAATAAATCCTCGAATTTAATGATTTCCTAAATGATAATATTTCAGTCTTACAGACTCTTTTTCCAAATAGTAATCTAACTCAGAAAGTATAACTTCCTCTGGCAATCGTTCAGCTGCTAAAGTGTGTTTCTTTTCTTTTTTTATTAGTTATTCTTTTTCAAGAGCATCAAATATTTTTTGGCAAATTTTATTAATTTCTTATGTGGTCAATTTTCCTCCGTTTCTAAAATACTCCCCCATTAACTCTTAAACATCAGCAGCATTCTAGGGTGTATCTTCAACTAACATCCCTGACATGTGATCGACACATTGCTTTGTCAATCGACAAACCCCTGGGATTTAATGCAATAATAATTCACTTATTTTTTCTTACATTTTAAATATGTTAATTATATATATAATTTGTATAGTTCAAAAAACAATTATTTGTTTCTTCAAAATAATTAGAATATTTGACAATTATATTAATTAAATAAAATTACCCTCACACTAATTATTCAACATAACATCTTGATACCAATGATATCAGAGAATCTATTTTCCTTGTTTATGATCTTGTAATGTTACTTAGTATAACGATTTTAATAGTGAATTGTTAATTCTATTTTCTATTATAAAATTAAACTATTTTATATTATTCATTAAAACATAGGTCCTGAATTCCTTAATTCTTAATCGTATTATTAATACATAAACATATATATGAGAATAAAATCTTATTTTTTCTTAAGATACAAATGGCAGTTAAACTTAAATAATTGGAAAAGACTTAGTATTGAGATCAAAATTAAAATGTAGGAGACCTTAGCATTTATATCTTGTTCCCAATATCACACATAATTATTCTACACATCAAAGTCAAAAGATTCTTGATATTCACTTATTAAACTCGCCTTAATATCTTTGATGATATTCATTATCAAAAACCTTTAGTGACTCTACATAGAATAATTAATAAAAAACCTTTTTTAGTAAATTGAATTTTTTGGATATTGAAAATGATTAGCATGGTTGACTAATGATTATTTAGTGTAATTTCTAGAAATTAATTTGAATTCATCGATATTAATAAAGATGTTACGAAATAAAAAGACTTGGCTTTAAACAAAGTTGATTACAGACGTGAAAATGACTTAATATCTTACTATATGAAATGAGGAGGCCCTTATATACTCATAGGTATATGTGAATAGTATTCGAAGGAAAGGAATATTAGAATTTAATTGAGGTGGTCCAAGAGTCATTAAATGGAGTTAAAATTATAGTTGATTCTGGTGTTTTTCGACTTTCTAAGAAGATCCCTGTATGTCAACTGAAGATATAATAAAGTAGAGTGAAGAGAGGGAATTACCAGAAAATTCATATATTGGAATGGCTTGGTTTTTGAAGGGTGGAAATTGAAAATCTGAATTTTGATTAGGATATAGAGCAAATTATAATAAAGAGACCTTAACTACATTAATATCCATAGAAATTTTAGTCACTTTAAAATGAAATCAAATTAAAAGTAAATCACTTATTATTTTTGATTAATGTATTTGAACTTATATAAATTATTCAATAAAGGATACAACAGTGTGGGAATTTTGTTCCATTTAAAAAATTGAAATAACATTAATAGAATCAAAGAGGGCATTTTCATGGGTGGATGACAGTTGGGATTTGCTTGTTGATCTATCTGCTTTTCTTTTTACCTTTTGCCAAGGGATTAAATTTCTGGTGATGAGATCTACATTGAGTGGCTGTTCTTGTCGGGATAAACTGGCTCATTAACTTGAATATTTTTTTTGACTTCTTGTCGTACTTCGACCTTAAAATAGACTCATGACTCTTGACGAATTCTAGATATGATAAATGTTCTTGTTTGGTCCAATGTCCTATACTTAATGAGAATAGGTACCATTTACTCTTGATTGAGACTCGTCATCAACCTAATTGCACTTTTCCTCTGGTCCATAGTCAACTTCAGTTAAATGATTGTTTTGGGCAGTATTCGTGATATATGGTGATTCAATCTATTGCTGAGTTATTCCATTATTCAAAACGAATGGTGTTTCGTACTTATATGAGGGCAGCTACATGGTAGGGGTCAATTATTAACACATCACTTTATAACTTATAATGGATCAATATTACTGTATTATATCATTTATTGCTGGTGCAAGTAATAGAAGGGATGGTAATATTAGCTCTGAGAGTATAAACTGCACATTAGATCTGGATTCATCTGAATGAAATTTTGGTATTTCAAAAATAAATTATTAATTAATTTAATTTAATATAATCAGGCTATTAAGAATGATACGACGATTTCGTTTACATGCGTTCTATCTTCATGTGAACAATTATTGATCATTAATAATATCTTTTTAAATCCTAAATCAAATGTATTTCTAATAGCAATTCTCTCAAATACCTAGATCTCTACCAGACACTAGGTCTCAAATAGTTTAAATTTTCATCAAATTTATCAAAGGACTACAAGAACCCTCCTCACTTAAAAAATATAATATCATTCAATATGAGAAGATATTCCTACACTTCAAGTGCAAACTCCAAATTCAATGGTCTGCTTCTGAGCATTTTCTAATAACTGAATTGATTTTTGCTACACAGAATTTAAAAATCATTTTTTCTCTAATAATTATTTCTACAATTAAAATGAATTGACCACGAGTGAATCTGATGTCTAAAGTGAGCTTCTTTGAGTATAAAAATGAATTTAAACAAGCCTGGTACATTCTTTATTTAAAAATTCATAACTAAATTTATAAATTCCTATTTTTTTTTGTAAAACAATTCATTAAATAAACATAGGTGTTCGAGGGTTCTTTAACAAATGAAAAATCAAATTTCTATAAAAGTTTTAGAAAATATTTGAATGTTCTGCAAAGTTATACAGTAATATTCAATACTATCAAAAATTTTGATAAAATCATGATATCCTAATTTTGACATCATTGAAGAAAGAATAATTTGAAGGTTCAATTCAAAAGAAGTGTTGTTTATCAGAATTAAAATAGATTTTTTTTATAGATTATAAAGAAAATGCCATTGAATTGCAATATTATTAATCCAAATTAAAAAGAAAAGCTGAGTAGAAATTATGTAATTTATTGCGTAATTATTGTAGAAATATATTAGAATTACTAAGAATTAGTGTTATACCACTAAATAAAGTATCAAAGGATTATACATATCCAATATTAATTACATATTTTGAAGTTAATATTGAAAAAAGCTTGAAGGATAGCAAGTAAATATTGCATTTGTTTAAATAATAAATCGTGCAGAAATGCTAATTAATTTTTAAAACAATCTTGAGACCAATCGAAAATATAACACAAATGATAATTCTATAATGTAAATACTTTAAACAGTTCCGAAGTAAAACTGAAAATCAGATCAAAAATAATGAAACCTTAAGCAGTATTATATCGAAAATGTGTAAATAAGAATTTTACAATTTTGACATCTCAATGATTTTCACAACATTACTCCCAAGTACCAAATTAACTATAATATATATATGAATATCTTCAACAGTTAAAATAAATAAATTTGGATTATAATAAAGATGTTGATTGCATAAATAGTGATTGAAGCTCTGCAGATATGATGTCAACATTAACTATACAAAAAGAGGATTTGATATATATATTGTTATTCAAATGTAATTAATTATTTAATGTCTCTATAACATTTATAAACAATAAAGGAAGAAAGGCATTCCTAAGAAAACATGGACCTAGCCCAAAATCTTTTGGATAAACCTAAAGATGTATAATTGCATTGAGTAAGTAGAGGGAACGTGAAGCTGACGAAAATGAGCAATTTCTTCCAGATGAATAGAAGGACGTGAGTGATGAAGAAGTTCAAGATTAATAACAGAAATAAGAAAATTTCAAAAGCTTTGTTGTGGGCACTGGAATGGGTGGATTCTTATTTGAAGAGACATTCGGTTTTGATGACAAGAAATAGAAGAATAATAATAAGTAAATCAAGAGATTGACTCTGAACACTCGAATTACATAGATAGTAGGACTGAACAAGCTAGCAGATGATGAAGAGGATGACCATTAACTTTATGAGAAAATTCCCTAGTATTTGGCTTGGGGTATCATTTTTTATGCATCTTTCAATAACGCTATGATGCCTCCATGGATTATGACAATACCAGCTGAAAAGGTAACTAGTAATATCAATCAAGTACTTACGTATCGCTTGGAGATTTTTATTGCAAGGAATATTCCTAATCCCTTTTATCATGTATGAATACCGAACAGGAAATGAAAAAGTTAAGTCAGCTTATACCTCAGAATTTCTGCTGAGGTGGACACACATGAGGAAAGTTTATATGGCAAGTTTGACAACAACGGTAACATTTGCTGTATTCCTGTTTTGTTTTGATTATACGAATATTTCAAGTGTCTTTGTATTAGGGTCTCAGACTAATTTTTGGTTGTCCGTCTTTAGAAAAAAAGAAAATAACCACAACATCGAAGGAGGAGGTAAAATCATGTGTGTAGTTGGGTAGAATAATATGTTATTAATAGATACCTACTTATTTGCTTAGATTCGTATATGTTAGATACTGATACCATTCCTGATTCAGCCAAAAATTACATTAATCCTTTGTTGTACAAAAGACCAATCTGGATGAGAATTATTATTGGAAATACCATACCAGTAATATTTCATTCTTATTCCTAGTTCTTAGCTTCTATCATCTTGGCCGAGTTATCAAAGGCTAATCAAGATCTAAGAACTGTATTTCCTCCTTTCCTCGCTAATTTTTGTGTAGCATTTTTTGTTTGCTTGAATATGTGTATGGTTTCATTTTTCATGGATGGCACATCAATTAATTTTGATTCCAGATGGGGTTGGTTTGGATTATTTCAAAATGGAAAATTCATGGGCTTTTTGTAAAATGCTATTTCTTATTCTATTAGCTACATGTCTACCATGTTAAGCATTGGAGTTTTCATCTCTTCTATCTTAATCAGTAAGCTATTTGAACCTATTGTACCTGCTACTGCTGCCTTATTTGAACCTGTTATCACAGCCATCTTGTGTGATATTGCTACTGTTCAATATTACCCATCTGCTATTGCTTGTTTTGGCTATGTATTTCTATTGCCTGGCTAATTTATTATTATCGTTGGATAACACATATTGAAAAAGCAGCAAGAACAAGAACAAAAATAAAAACTAGAATAACAATAACAAATTCATGCTTCTAGGGCTCAACAATGATTTACAAATTCAAAAGTAAAATTTAAACTTGATTTTTTTTTATTAATTAATGAAGTTAAACAATAATATTTAACGATTAAATAATGTTCCTGTTCCAAAAAAGATTAATGAACCTATCACAAAGCTCTCAGTAACCTATTAGACTTAAACCTAAGTTCTATTCATAGCAGAAGGAAAATATGCCTGTTCAAAGAGATCTACCAAAAGTGAATTTGATAAATAAATTGAATGAAGCCTCGAAAATTCCGAAACCTCAACCTAAACAATAAGTTTAAATTACCTAAAAGACCATTTCCAAGGATATTTGGCACAAAAAGTCGGTCTCCATGAAAATGAGAAATGCTAATTTAAAAGATGGCAAGAAGATAGTTTGCGGATAATTAATAAAATATAAAAAAGGCGATAAGATCTATGCTTTTAGATGTATCAAAGATACTATGAAATAATGCAAATTAAAAGAAATAAAGTAAGATCATGATGTTGATACCGATGATGAATAAATTTTCATGGCCACCAAAAATATGTTTATGAGTTTATGTTAAAGCATTAAAAGAGAGCTCTTTCACAATGAAGATAATTAAAACGAAAACAAGATTATAATAGATGATGATCTTTTGTGATTTATTAACAACTTTTACCATTAATTATGAATATCCTATATTAACATATTTCTTTTTCAAAAATTATATATAATTTACTTTTATTTAATTCTTAGCAGTCATTTAAATGAGTTAAAAAATAGCTGTATGTTATTACTGTAATAGAAGAGTATGAGTATGAAGCTTTTACTTAAGATATTCATCTCATATTAATTAATTTGAATAATTTAAATGAAAACAGTTTGATTTCTCTTAAAGTTTTAAAGAAATATACGTGTAATAAAGGTAATTTATAAATTAAATGGTGACGATAACAGATAAATACCCTTCTATTTATTTAATATTTTAATAGCAATGAGCTTATTCCCTTCTTTTCTAGTGATATGAGTAGAATATAAATATATGTATTGCAATAATACTCATTCGTATAATTAAATAATTATCATATTTTAAATTAATTCTACGATAGTCTCTGTTTTTGATATTAATATATAAATTTAGTTTATTCCTAAAGAAATGTGACAATAAATTTAATTATTCATAACAAAATATGATAATCATCTCATTTCTTTTTGTAAATATCATTGTTTAATTTACTACTAGTTTGAAGTACTTAGAATATTATTTTAGAATTTCCTTCTTTTATTTAAATAATTAGGTATAATCTTATAAGATATGAAAAGAATATATTCTAATCGCAATAAAATGATGTAAACAAAGGTTATTTCCAACTTAAATACTAAATTAAAGTTTATAGTTTAAGTATTCTAAGGTTTAATTTTTATATATTTTATATATATTTAAAAACAAGAGAAAATGTTCTTAATTTTATCTTAGGAAGACCATCCTCTTTATGAAAGAAGATTCCCCTTAAAAAAAACCACTCTAGTTAGTTAGTAAGTACTAAATGCGTAATTCATTTTGCATGCTGCCTTAGATGTATTTGATGAAAAATATAAATCATCCAAAGAATTGTATAAATTAACAATTAACAAGATTCCTCAAAGAGATTGATTAAAAATAAGACTATAGAGTATATGGCTATGTTACTCCATCGAATATCAGATTTTTAGTATTGACTGATTAAGATGAAGAACGTGTGAAAATATTTTGTTAATTAGCACATGAATAATTAATAAAAATCTTAATGAATCCATTATATTAATTAGGAACATAAATTACTTCTCCAAGCTTTGAGTCTGTAATTTAATAATTGTTGTAGAATAGATTAAACTAATGAATAATAATTAAATAAATACGAATAAGTATTGTTTTTATTATATTAAATATAAAGTAATAAAATCATTAAAAACTATTGGTTATAATTTATTAGTTGATTGACTTATGCGATCATTTTAACTATTATTAATGGCCTTGTTCTTGTAAATTATTATTACAATTATATTACTATGGTTGAAATTAATGACAACTACCTGTTTATGTCACTATTATTGATCGATAAATTAATTTAACTAATTGAATCTAGCATTAATTTATATTGAAATGTAAGAATATATTTTATTGACTATGAAATAAATGGATTTTATGTTGATAGCATATGAATAGTTTGTAATTAATCACAATTCTCCTTCATCTCTACTTTTCACAACTAGAATTTATGATAATTTATCCTTATTCTATATATTTATTGTTTATTAATTATTAAAAATCTGCAATTTTTAAAAAGGCTTTTTTCAAAATAATATAACCACATATTTGATATTTAGAAAATGCAATAAAAAGGTTTGAAAGTAAAATTAAAAATGAAAAAAAAATTAAGTTTATCAAAGCCTCTTTCCTATATACAATTGGATGACAAAGGAAGAAATTCTTATTGCAAAAGTCACTGTTTGAAGTATGAACAATTTGAGTATAGAAATGGGAACTGCTATATTTGTTGTGAGTAAAAGGAATGCAATTAGGACAATGAGCCATTAAGCAAGGCTGAAATAGTCACTCTTTTAAATTAAATTTTATCATAAACAATTTCAGATGAATATAAGTAGTAATAAAAGCAGAAGATAAACAGTTTTAGAGAAGATGTAAATAAGTCAATTGAGCTTTATTGTGATAGGGTAATTCAAAACTTGGAAAAGAACTGCGAGTTGCAAAATCAAATAAATTAAAAAGTCAAATTTATTTTAGAAAATCTTGAAAATCAAGATATCAATCAATTAGCATATGAGATATTATCGACATAATAGTTGGATTGTGCTAGTGCAAAGATAGGAGTTGCAGCACCATTGACTTAAGAATTTTATAGATTGCTAACTAAATGTGAGACTACTTTAAATTGTATTCATTCCCTTACTTAAGACGATCACAAAAATGGAAATAATGAATACCATGTTCTGAAAAACTAGCTTGATCTTGTCAGAATGAAAAATATGCAATTTTTAAGACAACATGAAATAAGTATAAGATCATCAAAATAATGCATAAAGAGAATCTACTAAGATATTAAGAACTAATAACTCATCGCAGTGTCCCCAGGATAAGAATTAAACAATCAAATTACTATTATTAAGCCAAGTTAATACAGTTTATTTGGTTAATTTGAAACTTTGAAAAATGCCATTCCAGCAGAATTATTTTGTATAAGTCCAAATGGTGAATTTTATGCATGGGGAAGTAACTCAAAGATTCAAATCTACTAGTTGTAGACCAAAATATACAAACAGATAAATTGCCATTCAACTCTAGATTCGATTGTATTCAATATTATGAATGATTTTGTAATTAGTACACAAGATTAGAAGATCAATTTTTGGAGTTTAAATGATAAGAATTGGGAATTCAATTGTTCTTTTAATATGCTACCAGAGAGAGTTCATGATTTGACATTTATAGAAGATGGGAAAAAACTCATATGCAAATCAACATCTAAATTGACTATTTTGATTAAAGAAAATTAGAGTTGGATAATTTATTAGTAAATTCATCAAAGTTTCAATACTATATTATGGAATCAAGTGTATTCCATGGTAATAACATCAAACCAGAAGGATCAAATCTAAATTTGGTAAAGAAATAAAAAAGGACTGTTTCAGTTGATTTCTACTGAATGGGATCCAGAAAATAAAAAGACTAATAATGAGGTTAGTTTTTTATAGGCAAATAATGATGGTTCATTAATATCTTAATGTCAGAATAACAAGTTGAAGGTTTGGCAAATTTTGGAAGATGGTAGGTTGGAAGTCATTTTTGAATAAGAAATGGATGAAAACAATATCTTCATAACAAACGATTTTATGAACTTATTAGCCTAGAATGAGAAGTCCTTAGTTTGGTACCAATTAGTAATGGATGAATAATGAAACATATTATATTCATTATTATTAAATTTATAATATAGATAATTATTATTTACATTGAGGAATTTCATAAATCATAATCATCAAAGATATTTAAACTTGAATTTATCAAATTTTGATGAAGAACATCAATTTATTCTAAAGAGAGAAAGTCAAATAATGAATACTTTTGATAATATATTAAACATCATCTAATCAAATTAACAAGTAAATTAGCAACATTAATTATTAGTAAAATAGTTGCCAATAAATATTTGATTTTAGTTTAGCTGCAGTATTACTTTATTTATTTAATTGAAATTTGTTAGATTTGACTTATCTGAGTACTTTATTTTCGAAATTTGGATTAATAATTGAATTGTATTTAGAATAACAATTCTAAATACATTCAATCATTATGGTTATATGAAGATAGAATATAATATAATTTTTGACTTGAGATGATGAAAATTTGAATTTGATATATATATTAATTATGTTTTTAATAATTTTTGTCTTTGTGTACTAAGTAATAGGAGAAGAATTATTAAATTTGTCTACGAAAACTTTTTTCATTGAAAGTGAAGTGAAGGGAGTGAAGGAGGTTATTCAGGGATCAAGATAATTTATTACTGATTTTGAAAATGCTGAATTTGCGATTAATATAGAATTACAGGGGAACAATAGTTAGCCTTGGGATATATGCTTTTCATAGTAAGGTTCAATTGAATTTGCAGAGTATGAGAATCATCATACATTAATTTATAATGTAACTCATAATCCTGATGAGGAACATGCAAATGATCCATCATATTATTTAAGTACACCAATTTTGGTTAACATGGTGAAAACAAATTAAGGTTTGATGATTGCCACAAGTGACCATACTTTATTGAATTATAACATTACTTAGGATCCATAAAGTATAGTTGGATTTAAACCGCAACTTTTGTAAGAATATGACTACGATTACTTAAGAAGTGAAGCAACTGAAGCGGAAGTTCCTTAAATTTTATATGCCCCTATGTTTGAATATGTATTTTTGATATATAGAGATTAAATATTGAAGGGTAAAATTTAACCAAATATGACTTTATAAAATTGTTCAATTGGCAGTGGATTGGAAAATGACAATAATTTTATTGGATAAATCAAGATTCTGAATAATTATATGTTTGTTCCTTTGGGCAGGGATGGACTAGACATTTACTAGATTAATAATGATGGTGATATTAGTCTTAAGTAGTCTATGAATTCCTTTGATTTTTATAACAAGGATTTAACAATTAGTTTAGTTGATATTGTATTCAGTCAATCTAGTACATCCAAAGATACTTATGCTTTTATTTTAGATAGCATCCATGGTGTTACGAAATTTCTTGTCAAAAGTAGTGAACAGGAAATAATCATGAATAGAGATGATAAATTTGGACTTGTCAATATCAAATCTGGTTTGGCTATTGCAGTTTAACCTGATGATTTTCTATTGATATTAAAAGTAGTGTAATGATATTTCATTAATTTTTAGTGGAATCAATCAATAATTAGTTGAAATTGGGTTTAAGGATGAAGGTTGGTTTGAAGTCAAGACCCATTATTTGACTGGACAATACTTTGATATTACAATCTCCAAATCATTCGTACTTTTGAGAGGCAAAGATGAACACAGGATTGTGAGAACTGGGGTTTATGAAGAATTTGAACCAGAATTTAAATTCTATACTCAAGATGATTATTTCACTGAAAAGGCTAATTCCTTTTATGAAGATTACGTATTCGTTCCAAAACTATAGAATGTATAATTCTATGACTCAGATTTCGTAACTGAAGGAACTCCTAATTCATGGTCATTCAAAAAAAGTTATCCATATTTGCTGGGCTTAACTTAACATTATATTGTGGAATTACCATACATCATAAGGAATCCTTAGATTTATTGCAATCCTCGATCAGAATTAGATATCGGGAACATTTATCAATATGATATTCTTATGAATGCCACTTCTTGCCCTGAAAAAGATAAGTATTTGGAAGAAAATCCAGATGTGCCATATCAAACCATTCAGTGTTCGTATAAGACTACCTTTTAGGTCAAGGTTGTACTAGCCTAGGCAAAGATATATAACACTCAAGAGTTGATTGGAGTTATTATTGCACTAATAATTTTACTGATTTTATTGGCATTCCTATTGGCTTATATGTATAGAAAATACAAAATCAAAGAAGAAGGTCTTACAAGTCAAGCGTAAGATTTTGACAATCAAAAGGGATATGATTTGGAGCCAAATGATGCTCCTGTTACTCAGGGATTATGAATTGTGATGTTTTATTTATTATTGTAATTATTCTATACGATGTTAGTAAATTGAATGGACATTGCAATTACATTTCTAATATCGAGTGATCAACTCATAAATTCCAATTACTTTTATAGATAAAGTAGGAGGGAGACCTATCCTTTTTTATAATATAAATATATTAAAATTATGATTTACTGTAGAAATGGTTTTTTGGTTTGAGTTTCAAAATGGAATGAGCTTACAATAGCAATTGGGTTATCCAATCTATTTGTTAAAATTCATAGGAACTTTCATTAATTTTGATTATGCAAAAAATACGTCATGAAAATTCTACATCCTTTGATTATACTAAATTCTAATTAATTTATAAAAATAGTCCGTCATTCATTTAGTCATTTTTGCTAATCTGAACGTATTGATATACGTTTACTTTAAATCTTGAAAGCATTTAATTAAATAATTTTGAAAAAAAGAACATGCAAAACATACAAATTAACTATGGTGAGGTAGTTTACCATATAGTTTGTCAGAGAGAACATCTAGTTCGAGACATCTACTACCAATTGTACGTCTTTACGAATGCTATTACATTGTCAACTGTAATTCTATAGAGTTATGATTTAATAATAGGAAATGGAATCACCCAGTCCAAAGTACATGGTGCCAATAAACTTAGAGAATAACATCCATTGGGTCAAAAATAATCAAAGAGTCTTGACTCAATTCGGTATTGAGTACAAAGGAACAGTCAAATATTTCACAGCTCCAGAATAAGAACTAAAGACATTCAAGAGAATAATCAAAAACAGAATAATGTACAGAGAAGTCAGCGACTTTTATCAACCATTAAAACTCTTGGGCAAGGGAGGCTCATCCAAAGTATGTTATTTAACTTAATTTTAGGTTTATTTGGTATAGGAAAAGGACAATTCAGCAGAGTTTGCATCCAAATGTATTGAGAAAAGGTATCTCAGAGAAGATGGTGGTTATGTAAGAATTCTCTCTTAATTTTAAGACTGCCTTATTCAATGAAATTACAATCATGTCCAACCTAGACAACGAGTAAATCGTCAAACTTGAAGAAGTCTATGAAGGAGACAACACATTTTATCTCATACTTGAGTATTTGAAAGGACCAAGTCTACATGACTTATGTAATAGTAGAAGTACAACATAGCCTTTGTCTTGGGAGTAGATTAAACAAATCATGTGGGTACTTTAATATGTTTAAATATTTATAGCAATTACTCAAAGGAGTAGCTCATATGCATAGTTTAAACATCATGCATCGAGATCTCAAACCAGAGAATATCATGTTTAAGGAACATGGATCTGTCTAAGGACTTAGAATAGTTGATTTCGGCTTGGCAACAAATACAAATGTAGAAAAATACCCATTCCCAAAATGTGGAACTCCTGGTTATGTTGCTCCAGAAATCGCTAATCTCAAAGATCTCACTCTAAAATATGATAAGATCTGTGATATGTTTAGTGTTGGTTGCATCTTCTACAAATTGTAAGCAATTGTTTTTATTCTTTAGGATTACTCAGAAGGATTTATTCCCAGGTATTGACTATCATGAAATTCTTAAACTGAACAAAAAATGCTACGTTAATCTTGATAATCTTCAGATGTTCAAGGCTCCCTCTTCAGCTGTTGAACTCATCTCTTAAATGCTTAATCCCAATCCTAGTCTAAGAATCTCTGCTTAAAAAGCCTTAGAGCACTTATTCTTTGTTCAAAGTCCCTAAGCTGATATCAGAATTAGCTTTTAGACAAAAAAGCGATTAGATCCTTAGAACAAATTATGGTAGACTTAACTTTTCAAAAACATCAAATCGGATAAAATTCAGCTTCCTGAGATTCCAGTTAAACATAGGTAATAAGCAAGAGAGGATGAAGTGGTTGAAGACGAGAAAGTATGCATAAATGTTCCTGTTATGAAAAGCCCCAGATTTCAATAATAAATTAAATAGAAAAATATTAATCTCATCGATAGTTAACCTTCAACTCCAAGAACCAAATAAATTAAGAAATACTCAACTCAAGATTATGATTTATCATCTGATGCTTCATCTCCTGATTCTGCTAGAATGAGACCAACTATTGTCCTTAAAAATTTACCTCAAAGCACCGCCAAGGCTCAAACTCCAAGGGCTCGACCTAGCAAATAAATCATTTTCTAAAGACAACTGTCCAATTAACCTATTGAGGAAGTAAATGAAGAAGAAATTAAAGCTTGAACATAGTTGAAACTAACTCGAATTATATGTTGAAATTAATTGTTTATAATTTTATTATACATTTCATAATTATAATTTACAAGTTGAATTTGTAACTCATATCTGATTTATGATTTTTGTCATTTGTAAATCATAAATAACAGAAAAAAATATGATATTTTAATGAAAATGCTCATCAATTTCCTGCCTCTTTTTTTCTATTCCATTTTAGAAAGTTCAATCAATATGTTGTTTACATGATCAGCTGTCTTAGCATTACATTCAGCAAACTATAAATTATGTGACTGGCAATCCTCTTAAGATTTAGTATTTCAACTCTTTGATAAAGATGTAGCACTAACTTATTATTTCTGTTCTTCCAAATCTTTTTTACGTCCAATCACCAACATATAAACATTCTGTTTTCTGTATTTTTTAGCTTCAGGTAACCAATACTTATCTATTTCCTCAAAAGTATCTTCTTAAGTAACATCACATACCATAATACTGGCTTCCGCCTCCTAATTATAATCATGGAGTCAACTTAACCTTATAATATGCACTTGTAATAGTTCTAAATCTCTCTTATCCTTCAGTATCCCAAATCTTTTACTTAACATTGTTGTCCTCTATATGCAGAGTTCTTTTGATCTGAAATCAACACTATGAGATTAGGATTCACTAAATTAGTCACCAGTGGATCTCTATATGAAAGAACTTCAAGATTACTTATCACTAGAAACTTGAACTAATGGTCCTATTACTTGATCATATATGATTTCTTTCTAAATATTAATATATAAATATCCCTCTGAGGATCATATATGGTGCAAATGTGCACTAACAAATTAACTCAATTAATTGGTATAAAAAGCAAAGAATAATATTATATATTGAGGTTAAATTTTATTTAAGTTTCTCCTATAATTCAACTCAAAATTTAATTAAAATAATTATTGAAGTGATTTTTACTAGAAAATATGAAACAAATTGAAATAGACAAAGAATCAGACCAACCAACAATTCAAGAAGAAACCTTGTTAAAGACTGAATAATATTTGTGTCCAGCCAATAGAAATCATAAATTGTAAAGTCTTGACAAATTATTATCTCATCTGCATACATGCAAAGAAGTTAAATTGGCTGACAAACCTCGATTCGTATACTATTGTTAAGTATTATCCCTATCTATTCAAGTATTATCAAGGTCATTGTTTTTTGACAACAGAGGACCGAGAGAAACATGAAAGGACTTGCTAATGGAAAATAGGGTTAAAAAAGTAACATGATCCCACAGCCAACAAGTATTCTATCATCTAACCTCTGGGCAAACCGATCAATACTCAGCAATAGCAAAAACCTGTTGCTTACACAGATTAGTAACAAAGAAATTACGAGTATGCTATCAAGAAAGGTTTAATCAAGAAGAAGGCAAATGATGAATACATACCGGAAGATGGATTTGAATTCAACAAGGATTTTAAGAAAGTAGATGAGTTGATGAAATTGTAAATCTAGAAAAACATTTCAGGTTTATAATTTTATAATTTTATAATAGATTAAAATTAGAATAATATACAGTTTACATTCAAAACCTTTTTTTTTATGGTATAGCCTCAAAACAAATAATTGATTGAATTTCTAATAAAGAGAATCCCCTATAATCTGTATTTTAGGAAACATAAGGTAAATGTAGAATAATTCAGTTTAGTATTATAGAGAAGAAGAGAAGAATTAGATTGTGTAGAAGTTTCTGATGAAGGAGAAGAAGAGGGAGAAAAGAAGACAAAAGGGCAAGCCTGATATTAAATACAATATGGTTAATTAGATACCCAACGATATCCTATTGAGTTTGTTGAATTTTAATACTTATGAGGATTATTTAGACAAATAGATGGAGGTACAACTATATGCTAAAATAGGAATTCGTAAATTGTAAGAAGATGGAAGAAGAAAATGTTCTTACGTCTACTTATTTGATGACCACAGGCAAAAAGGCTATTTTCATTCTTTAAATTGGCAGGGACTTCAAAGATATCTTCGGTAGGAATATCAATCTTTTGGATTTTAAGGCTATTTTTGCAGATTTCCTGGCATTCTCGTTTAAAAGAGATGAGAATCTGAATAAGCAGATTGAACCATATCTAACTTAAACATCAGAATAAGTTGAGGGCAATAAAAATTAGAAGCAAAATTAAAACATCTTTGAAGAAGAGATAGACATTTAGTAGTAGAGATTGATAGGAGAATTGAAGGCTAAACTTGAGATTTAGAAGTAAAAGAATCAAGAGGATAAAAGTCAATTGGAAAGAAATCAAAGGGAATTGCAGGAGTTGATTGAGAAGAAGAAGTGTTTGATTTAGAAGGAATCAGATATTGAACAGTAAATAAAGAGAGTCAATGCTTAAATAAATTCATATCATTCAAAAATAAAATCATACAAATAGGAGTTGGAATTGAAGAATCAGGAAAAAATAAAAATCTTATATGATTAGAAGGAGAAAGAATTGAATGAGTTTATTGATGCGTTGAATCAGTAGGTGAATCAATATGAGAGCAGTCAACAGGAGATTAAGGATGAGATCTAGAGTTTAAAGGAGGAAAAGCAGAAACTAAAAAGTACAATTAATAGATTACAACCGTTTAAATTGCAATTGGAGAGATAATTGGAGGATCTTCAAAAGTAGGAAAGTAGTGTCCCTTAGTAGATGACTTAGTCAGAATATTATACTGGGAATGAATTTGTGTTTGACATTTCTGACAAAATAAAATGTAAGGCATGTAAGATAAGAAAAATAAATGTTGTTTATATTCCTTGTGGAGATGCAGCATTGTGTAAGATTTGCCACGAAAAGTTTGAATAGTTGTTACCTCATGTATGTCCGATTTGTGAGTAGTTTGTTAAAAGAGTTTACCATTTTATGTGGGAAAATGAAGGATGATACATTATATATTATATATGTTCTATAAAACCAGAAGTAAAAATAAATTGGTTCAAACTTAAACAGATTTCTACTATTTTTAATTGACATTTTAATTTATGAAATAAACACTAATCATAGCAGTCTTACAGCTTAATTTACAATATAATTTTGTTTATAATAAACTTAATATTAATTATTTTTGGATTCTATGACTTCTTATGTGTGTGGATCAAGTTAATACTCACTATTCCAAGGGACCAATACTCTTAAATGTATAAATATGAAAGATTTTTGTGGATCATATTCCTAATGTCTACAGGTAAATGATTAAATTGGGCCATCAAGTTATGGATGTTGCAGAGAAGATTACCTTTACCCCAGAGCGGCCAACATTATCGTTTATATTCTAATCATCCCAATAATAGGGATTGGCAGTTTGGGAGCTTTGGGAGGTAGAATTGTTAATTACGCATTAGGTGGTGTGGTGAAGAGGCCATTTTTGGAAGCTGTTCTAAATTTCAATTCAGGTCCTTCAGGGAACATCACTGCATGTCTTATGTTTGGAGCCCAATTAGTTAATCAGATAATTATCACATTCTAGAAGTAATTACATTATAGAATGAAAGACACCCATACCACCCTCAGCGTCCAGCTGTCAACTATGAGGTCGGAATGATATATGCCTTGGCCATTCCTCTTTCGATGCAATTTGGATAGGAATTAGCAAGCTATATGCCGCTATTACCAGTTTTAACTCTATAGATGATGTTTTTCATCGTCATTCTTCCAATTTGCTTATTATATGCGAAAAGACAAGAAGTGGTTGAATAAGAATTAGATGAAGATTACACTGATTCTCATATTTCTATGACAACCGCTTTTAAAGGGTCAATTCAAGATGAAGCCCAGGCTGCCTTAGTGTATAAATAATTTCTAAATGAATCTCATTAAATCCTGCCTGTCGTACCCATCCTTATTGCCTTTGGAAGTTTCGCAGCTAACGAAGCAGTGATACTTTCAAGAACAACACTTTATTAGACATCGCCCTACTATCCAGAGTATATCAATAACAATTCAAATTAAAAACTAGACCCATGCAATCCCTGGAATTTCTATATGATGATTGTATTATTTGCAGTCAACATTTTCATTACCGGCTTAACCTTACTGTATTTCAGATACAAAGAACAGATTAAGGACAACGTAAGGTATAAATTAAAGGAAAGATACTTTACTCCAACCAGAAGGTTCTTTAAAATATACGGAGCTGGATGTGCAACTGGTTTTATAGCAGGATTTTTAGGGATGGCAGCAGGTTTAACGATGTTTGTAACAATGGTATAATTTGGTTTGGTTGCTGCATCTGCAGGGGCAACAGCAAATTACGGTTATTTTATTGTATGTCTACAAGTATTTGTATCATTCATGGTCAGCGACTCTGGAATGCCAATTGGTGACCAGTTTTTCTTTTACGGAATAGGAGTAAGTGTAATTGATAATGCCTTAGATTTTAGGTGTCTTGATATTCACCAACCTAGGCTATTACTACATTAATAAATATAAAATTGGGCATATATTATTTTATATTGATTTTGCCATTGTAGTCTTAAACATAGCTGGTAACATAGCATGGGGAGTATAATCAAATCATAGATCAGGTTTTAATTCTATTGTCGACATCAATCAATCCTGTAATACATGAATTTATTTATTTATTAAAAATAGTTTATTATTAATAATATTTACTATCATTTATTAGAAGTTCAATGAACTAGTGCTTAATATGTTTTGAAGACACTGAATTTCGTCTGAATTGTTAACATTATTATTGTTTGAAATGTCTAGTTAACATGATTTAAGTAAAACTGAAGGCATTATAACTAACAACTGATGATTATAAATGTCCAGAATGTAAATCCAAGTTTTCTGTTGAACTCTTCAAAAACACAGAAATCTATAATGATTTAATAGAATATTCTTTAAAACATAATTGTATTGAAAACTTAAATGATGATGAAATGATTGTCGATTGTGGTCATGATGATTGCAATAATAAGTTTATTGTTAGCAAAAATGCTAGTAATCATTATTTTCATTTAGAATATTCCAGATGTCCAGTTTGTAAATAAATTTATTGTTTGAATTGTCGTAAACCATATGAATCTAAGTGTTGCCAATAATCTATCACTGGAAAGTGTCCTAGATGCAAGATACAGGTGTTTAAAGAGGAAGGTTGTAATTTTCTAAAATGTCAGTCCCAATATTGCAAAGGATAAGTCTACTTCTGTGGAATCTGCTTTCTCATTCTAAAAAAGGAAGATCATTACTCACATTTTATTGATAATAATCCATACAATGCTTGTAGAATAGGCAAAATTAAACCGAATAAGTAGAAATGTCCTGGATGTTTAACATTAAATCCATTGCAATGCTAAATTATTGAAAATCTAAAGTATTCACTCTAAAACATATAAAAGTTAATGCTATTGCAAGAGTAATGTTTGTAAAGAGAGTTTGTATTGTTTGAATTGCTCAAAGAAGATCTAGAAGAATGAAGCGCACGAGTGCAAACAATGTTCTATTATGTGAATACTTTATAATTTATTATTATTGAATTTTAATTTTATTTAAGATGTATTCTCGAATTATTAAGTAGAATATATCCAAATCAATTAAATAAAAAATCTATTAACACATTTATATATTTTCTATGATAAATTATTGATCTAGCATCACGTTATGTTTGTGATGTAAATGGGCTATAATAATCGTTCTGAATTAATTTTCTATTTATTAAAATAACTAAAGAAAGTTTATGAATTCGAAGATTAACATATTTTTTGATTAAATTTCGTTTACTTGAAAATTCTGTTTTTAAGTGGTGAAATAATTATAAATTAAGTGTAGAATGAAATATAAAAAGTAGTTTAGAATTAAAAGAATATTATTATTTCTCAAAACAGGATATTTATTTATTGTAAGTAGAATAGAAATCTGTTTATATTATTTATTTCTCTTAATAATTTTATTAGAAAATGATGATTACTTATTATTTATTAAAAATAATAATAATAATTTATGATTGTTTATATCATTCTTCATTTTCTTAGATTAAATTGACAGATCCTTCGACTTATAAGAATGTTCCACCACCCTTGATGATTCTACCTGAGTTAAATCCTTGGTTGGCGAGTAGAGCTGACAAGATTCTATCAGGAGGAGGTGCTGGATCAACTGGCCACTCTCTTGGTTCTGGAGTTGTAGTAAATGCACCATCACCGATACCCAAATACCAATCAAAGGCTTCACCCTAAAGAAATGAGAAAGTTAAATACATCAAATTGTTTGCCATAGCCATCCTCAGAGAAGAACACGCTCAAATAATTTGGTACAAAGTGATAGATCTCCTCGAACAAGTATGAGTTGGCTGTTTGATCGATTTAACGAATGTATGCATAAGCTTATTTAAGATGGAAGGAATATCCAAAGTAGAAGTATGTCCATTTACCCCAATATTTACCAATTTCAAATTTCTTGTCGACTAAAGATATAAATATAAATAATTACTTGAACCAACATCATCATCTGCAGTTTCAATATCTCCATAATCATAAGTACTGAAATACCAGACACCTTTATCAATGAAGATGGAAAGAGTTCTATCTCCAGCATTGTCATTATCAGCTTAGATATCTGGAGTATTTTATGTGACTCTGACAAGTGAAGTCCAATCAGTGACATTCTTTAATTTATTACCCTTAGCAAATCCATAAACACTGTATTCAAAGACACCACTGTACTTCTCTTCATATGATTTGAACACTCTTTAAGTCATCTTAGCTTTCTCTACTTAGACTGGTTCGTTATCTTATTTATCTTTGTATGGTGGATAAGGTCTGAATTTAGGTACAATAACATTGAGTAAATCTTCGCTTGAATCAATGTAACTGTTCTTGCCCAAAAATGCTCTTGGATCAAACAATTTACCTTAGAAGGCTGAATGTCCAAATTCTTTCTTTCCAATAACGAGTCTGGCATAATCTCTCAACAACCAATGTTTGGCACTATCAATTTCGACTCTCTTAACAACATTTTAATGAGTAAGATACACATATCCAATACCCTTTGGTCCAGTTGGAATTCTCTTGTAGCAGAAATAGACGAAATTCCAATATCCTTCTAATTCCTTATCAAACTTAGTTCCTGTTGTGATATCATTCTTATCAAGAACTGCATCATAAGTACTGAACTTATATTCTCCTCTTCCTACAAATGCTGATACTGTTCTGTCTCCATTCTTATTAGCATCTTCATATTAAGCATTTGTTGTGAATCTAAATATGGAGTGAGATTCAGCTTTTTCTAACAAAATGAATGGATAGTTCATCAACCATCTAGTCCATAAACCAATACCATATTCATAAATGGCTTCAATGTCAGATCCTGGGAAATTAGCTTATGTGAATTCAACATCCAATGCTGGTTGGTCATCTTTAGCATATATCAAAGCATCAGCATCATTTTGAACANAATAATAATAATAATTTATGATTGTTTATATCATTCTTCATTTTCTTAGATTAAATTGACAGATCCTTCGACTTATAAGAATGTTCCACCACCCTTGATGATTCTGCCTGAGTTAAATCCTTGGTTGGCAAGTAGAGCTGACAAGATTCTATCAGGAGGAGGTGCAGGATCAACTGGCCACTCTCTTGGTTCTGGAGTTGTAGTAAATGCACCATCGCCGATACCCAAGTACCAATCAAAGGCTTCACCCTAAAGAAATGAGAAAGATGAATACATCAAATTGTTTGCCATAGCCATCCTCAGAGAAGAACACACTCAAATAATTAGGAACAAAGTGATAGATCTCCTCAAACAAATAGGAGTTGGCTGTTTGATCGATTTAACGAATGTAAGCATAGGCTTATTTAAGATGGAAGGAATATCCAAAGTAGAAGTATGTCCATTTACCCCAATATTTACCAATTTCAAATTTCTTGTCGACTAAAGATATAAATATAAATAAATACTTGAACCAACATCATCATCTGCAGTTTCAATATCTCCATAATCATAAGTACTGAAATACCAGACACCTTTATCAATGAAGATGGAAAGAGTTCTATCTCCAGCATTGTCATTATCAGCTTAGATATCTGGAGTATTTTATGTGACTCTGACAAGTGAAGTCCAATCAGTGACATTCTTTAATTTATTACCCTTAGCAAATCCATAAACACTGTATTCAAAGACACCACTGTACTTCTCTTCATATGATTTGAACACTCTTTAAGTCATCTTAGCTTTCTCTACTTAGACTGGTTCGTTATCTTATTTATCTTTGTATGGTGGATAAGGTCTGAATTTAGGTACAATAACATTGAGTAAATCTTCGCTTGAATCAATGTAACTGTTCTTGCCCAAAAATGCTCTTGGATCAAACAATTTACCTTAGAAGGCTGAATGTCCAAATTCTTTCTTTCCAATAACGAGTCTGGCATAATCTCTCAACAACCAATGTTTGGCACTATCAATTTCGACTCTCTTAACAACATTTTAATGAGTAAGATACACATATCCAATACCCTTTGGTCCAGTTGGAATTCTCTTGTAGCAGAAATAGACGAAATTCCAATATCCTTCTAATTCCTTATCAAACTTAGTTCCTGTTGTGATATCATTCTTATCAAGAACTGCATCATAAGTACTGAACTTATATTCTCCTCTTCCTACAAATGCTGATACTGTTCTGTCTCCATTCTTATTAGCATCTTCATATTAAGCATTTGTTGTGAATCTAAATATGGAGTGAGATTCAGCTTTTTCTAACAAAATGAATGGATAGTTCATCAACCANAATAATAATAATAATTTATGATTGTTTATATCATTCTTCATTTTCTTAGATTAAATTGACAGATCCTTCGACTTATAAGAATGTTCCACCACCCTTGATGATTCTGCCTGAGTTAAATCCTTGGTTGGCAAGTAGAGCTGACAAGATTCTATCAGGAGGAGGTGCAGGATCAACTGGCCACTCTCTTGGTTCTGGAGTTGTAGTAAATGCACCATCGCCGATACCCAAGTACCAATCAAAGGCTTCACCCTAAAGAAATGAGAAAGATGAATACATCAAATTGTTTGCCATAGCCATCCTCAGAGAAGAACACACTCAAATAATTAGGAACAAAGTGATAGATCTCCTCAAACAAATAGGAGTTGGCTGTTTGATCGATTTAACGAATGTAAGCATAGGCTTATTTAAGATGGAAGGAATATCCAAAGTAGAAGTATGTCCATTTACCCCAATATTTACCAATTTCAAATTTCTTGTCGACTAAAGATATAAATATAAATAAATACTTGAACCAACATCATCATCTGCAGTTTCAATATCTCCATAATCATAAGTACTGAAATACCAGACACCTTTATCAATGAAGATGGAAAGAGTTCTATCTCCAGCATTGTCATTATCAGCTTAGATATCTGGAGTATTTTATGTGACTCTGACAAGTGAAGTCCAATCAGTGACATTCTTTAATTTATTACCCTTAGCAAATCCATAAACACTGTATTCAAAGACACCACTGTACTTCTCTTCATATGATTTGAACACTCTTTAAGTCATCTTAGCTTTCTCTACTTAGACTGGTTCGTTATCTTATTTATCTTTGTATGGTGGATAAGGTCTGAATTTGGGTACAATAACATTGAGTAAATCTTCGCTTGAATCAATGTAACTGTTCTTGCCCAAAAATGCTCTTGGATCAAACAATTTACCTTAGAAGGCTGAATGTCCAAATTCTTTCTTTCCAATAACGAGTCTGGCATAATCTCTCAACAACCAATGTTTGGCACTATCAATTTCGACTCTCTTAACAACATTTTAATGAGTAAGATACACATATCCAATACCCTTTGGTCCAGTTGGAATTCTCTTGTAGCAGAAATACACGAAATTCCAATATCCTTCTAATTCCTTATCAAACTTAGTTCCTGTTGTGATATCATTCTTATCAAGAACTGCATCATAAGTACTGAACTTATATTCTCCTCTTCCTACAAATGCTGATACTGTTCTGTCTCCATTCTTATTAGCATCTTCATATTAAGCATTTGTTGTGAATCTAAATATGGAGTGAGATTCAGCTTTTTCTAACAAAATGAATGGATAGTTCATCAACCATCTAGTCCATAAACCAATACCATATTCATAAATGGCTTCAATGTCAGATCCTGGGAAATTAGCTTATGTGAATTCAACATCCAATGCTGGTTGGTCATCTTTAGCATATATCAAAGCATCAGCATCATTTTGAACATAGAATTCAAAGTAATTATTAAGTTTGTATGGGATCCAAGCTGGAAGATCAACCTCGACTTCAACCTTGTCAACATAGTGCCAGCATTATGTGCTGCCATAACAAGCATGAACATGTCTTGATTTACCAACGAAGTTTTTATTGATTCCATCCTTTCCGAAATATACAGCAAGGTATTTTGGAGAGAAGTGTAATACTTTCTTTAATAAACCACCTTTGCTCACATCTGGGAAACCAAAGAACCAACCAGCATATTCATCTTATCTGGAATATCCAACCCAAATGTACATCCAAATTCCTCTATATTCTCCCAAAGCAATGTTGGTATTTCTATTAAGATTGAAATCGGTATCAATGAATCCAATGTCGTAGGTTCCAATTTCCATATCTCCACCTTTTTGAATAACTGATAATGTTCTATCTCCTAATAAACTAGCATCTTTCAAGAATCCTGGCTCATTATTGGTTAATCTAATGACTGTTTAAGGATCAGCATTATCTAAGCTACCATAATATTTGAACCATCCATAGACTGAGTATTATTCTGTTTCTATTGCTCCATCTTCATAAACAAAAGTATCATATGTTTCAGTATCTTTGTTATCGGCACCTTAGATTTCATAATCCTTTGTTCCTAATTCTTCATCAACTGGGACCTTGTATTATTCAATCCATGTTTCATATTCAGCAATTTCATTAATAAATGATCCTCTACCAAATCTGACAACTGCATGAGCTATTCTTCCATTGAATCCATAAACAGTAGATTTCCATGATCCAACATAGAATCTAACATAATTGTTAGCAGGATCAGCATCAAATGGATCGAAAACTGTTCTTTAAACTTACTTCAATTTGTTGAAATTCACATATCCGACTGCAATTTACTTCAATTTAGAATAACTGAAATAGATGTAATTCCAATATCCATCCAAATTCTTTCCATAATTAACTGGTCTTCCTGAACCAGCCCAGAATTCATAATTTCCTCTTCCGATATATACTGCAAATTCAGCTTCATCTTAATCTGTAAATCCTAATCTACCAACCAAAATACGCTCAGGTTTCTCATAAATTCTTGATGGATTTGTGATGAAGAATTTAGTCCACATACCGAATCCATATTCATAAACACCATCTGTTACCCAATCTGGCTCATCGTGAAGTAAAGTGTCATATTCAGATTCTGTTTTGTGATTCAACCATTTAGGATCATATGTTTTCAATTATACTCCAGGCCATAATTTAATCTTACCAGTCTTATAATCATCGAAATCTGTAGCATATCCCCATGCACCCTTTCCAAATCTGATTGTTGTATAGGCTGTCTTTCCATGGAAGAAAAACTAGTGTCCTTGTCCCAAATAGAGAGCCCAATATTTGGCGACCACATGCCAACCTTTGAATTGTTTTTCGGCTTTGCTATCTGGCCATTCCATGTAGTATGAGAAATCTCCATGATTATATCCAAAGTATGCATATGTCCATAATTATTGTGATTCTTAAGGAATGATGATTGTCTCGTCAATGTCACTGAACTTGTCCTTCTCTTCAACTGTATATGTAGAGAATTGGTATTCATTTTATTCAGTTTACCATAATGAGAGTGCTTTTAATCCATGTGGAATTATTCCTACTTCTGGTTCATTGGATGTGAATCTAAATATGACTTAATGAGCTTTTTCGGATCTTCTTACATATCTAAACCAAGTGGATACTGAATATTCTCTGTATCCATCTAAATCCCATTTGAATTTAGGATCATCGACCAAACCATCATATTCAACCTTATCATAGTATTATTTTTCCTAATACTCTAACTCAGGGTCTGTTGGGACAGTGTATTTGGTTTCAATCAAATTTTTCATCTCTTCTTCTGTCTCAACAAAGGAATTCTTGTTTAATACAACTCTAACGTTGGTGATAACTCCGTTGAATCCTTTGAATCCCTTCCAAAGTCCAGATTGGAATTTAATAGTTTTAACAATAGCTGGTTGAGTAACTGTGAATGTGACACTCTTGATGACTTAAGTTCTACCCCAGTAAATATAACCATTGGCTTTTCCTTCTTTATATCCGAAATAGACATAAATCCATTCAGCATCTAAATACTTGCCATAATCCAATTATAATTCAGTCACAACTTCTCCTTCAAATACTTAGAAATTATAGAATCCTTCTCCAATAGTTGTTACTAATCTATTTGTGTCATCTCCACTCAAACCTCCAACAGCCAAGACTTCCTTCTTTTCTGCAATCTTAACCTTGCCATTGTATCTGAAATATGTCCATAATCCATAACTGTACTCAACTGATGTCTTGATTCTGCTATCAGGTCCATCCTCAACATCTTTTTCCCAAGGGGATGTCTCTTATGTAACAACACTGTCAGTTCTCTCATCTAAAGTATAAACAAGTTATTCTAATTCTGGTACTGGCTCTGGTTCATCTGGGAATTCTAATCTACCGAAATCGTCATCTTCCTCTTCAACTAATTCCTCAACTATCTCCTCAACTATTTCTTCAACAATCTCTTCAACAATTTCCTCAACAATCTCTTCAACAACTTCTTCGACTGTTTCTTCTTATTCTTCAACTTTTTCATCATCTGGTGTTGGTTCTACTATAACTTCCTCTTCTGGTTCTTCTTCAACAACAACTTCCTCTTCAGGCTCTGGTTAAGGTTCTGGTTCAGGTTAGGGTTCTGGTTATGGTTTAGGTTCATCCTCATCATCTTCAACAATAATAATGATTGGTTGTTCTTAACATCCTGGATATCCACAACTTGGTTAATAAGCACTTGGACCTGTTGCTGCATCAATCAATGTATCAATCAAATCTTCCAAAACATCATCTCCACAACCATCTTCCTCTTCAGATTCCCATTCAAATTCCTCTTCCTCCTCAACTTCTTCTTCTACTTCTTCTTCTGGTTCAGGCACTGGTTCACATTCTTTAGCCTTCTTGGCTTCTTCAGCTAATCTCTCAGCTTCTTCTGCTCTTTTTCTTGCTTCTTCAGCAGCCTCCTAAGCTTCCTTCAATCTTCTTTATGCTTCTTCAGCATCTAAGCAAGCTTCTTCTTCCTTATTTTGGGCATTTTCTAAGACCTATTATGATTCTGCTGCTTTCTCAGCTGCTTCTTATGCCTCTCTTGCATCTTTTTCAGCCTATGTTTCAGCATCTTATTCAGCCTACTTAGCAGCATCTAACTCTTGCTCTGCTTCATGTTCTAATTCCTCTGCTAATTCCAACTCCTTCTCAGCTTATTATTCTAATAATTCAGCTTCTTCTGGTGTGATATCTACTCTGTTTTTCAATTCTTCTAATTCTCTGGCTTCTTCTTCCTTTCTTCTTTCTTCTTCTGCTGCTGCTTCAGCTGCTGCTTTTGCTTCTTCTTCTGCTTTTAATCTGGCATCCTCTTGTTCTTACTCTTTTCTTTTTTCTTCCTCCTCAGCTTTGGCATCAGCTTCTAATTATGGGGCCCATTAATCCTTGCATTAAGATGTTTTTTCGTTGACTCTTGTGGCAAGATCATAGAGTTAATCAATTTCAATGGGAATGGTATTTAATTACAATTAGATTTCAGTTATTTGTTGGATCAATTCTGAGATCTTGGTAGCTATGGTTTAAGCCAATTATAATTTGTCTTCATCACCTAACATATAGATTTATGATTAATACTCTTTGCTTTATTGAGTACTTCCAAGTATCCCAAAATATCGTTAATATCATACCAGGATGAAGTAGATTCGATTTGAGAAAGTGATTTGAAATGCTTTGAGATCTGATGATGCAACTATTTGACTTGAATAAACGATCCTCCTTGAATATGTTAGACAGTTAGCAAAACTCTATCAACTAAAGCCTTGACCATAGCCAAAACCTACAAATCTCCATCAAATCCATCCTTGTGTTTGACAATGTCTATCCATTAATCAATATCATGCTATGCTCCCAACTACTCCTTATAGCTTGGACTTTCACAAGTCCATCCAGAGGGATCAATTGATAAAATTGACTCCAAAGGAGTTATCTACGTCCTAGCAGACGTCTTGAACTGTAAAGACACGCTGACTAGCAGCCATGCCACTAGCAATTACTTTAACATAAATATATTTATAATCCGTTTTTATATATTGATTAGAATATAAACAATCAGAATACCTGAGCTGACTTTAATTATAGGATCTGAACTTGATCAAAGTATTCAAAGCAAAGCCTCACCAAGCTTGATATAGTTAGATTATTCTCCGAAGGGTATTTTGAAATTATTGGCACAGGATGATAATTCTCATCGAAAGCATTAAATATTTAAAACTCCATAAAGTTTCCATTAATTCTACCTCGTTTTAGTAATAATTAATGATTAGTTCCAACCCTTCTAAATAAGATTAATCATATGGCCAATAGCAAGTCAATTCAATGATAAATATCATCTTTCAATTCTATTATTTTTTAAGGGTTCTATATTGATCATCTATTATTAATTGTTTACTTAAACAGTAAGTTCCATAAAGAACCTTTATTTTATTAAAATCCACATATATTCAGGAAACTTGTATCCCTCTCATTCACTTTATTTATCAAATATTCCTAAGTTTCTTTGAATATTGTATCACTTATCAATAAATTATATTTCATGAACGAACAATTATTATCTTCAAATCAAATCAAAATCTAATGTATTTATTGGATTCATCTTTTTTTGTTAAGACTTAAGAGATTAGCATAATATTTTTATTCTTGATTATATTTCTAAATACAAAGTTCGAATTAATCGCTAAAATCATCTTTACTCAAGTTATACTTAAAGATTGAGAGCATTATTCATGAAACATTTTTCATCTTCTTCAAAAATATTATTTGTAAATCTATTCAAAATTAACTCTTTTTTTATCAAATTTCATTTTGAGCTCTTTAAAATAAAATTGTTAATGCTAAAGTGATGTGCTCATGTGATTATAAAGAAATGAAAATCATGATCACTCTTGAGTTGATATTAAGTTTCTTGAAATATTATTAATAAAACAATATATATATTTTTTTCTATTATTTAATATAACACTCTCTGTCTGTAATGAATTTCTTTTCAGTATTTGCTAAACACATTTGCACTTTAATTTTTATCATTTTTGTCATCGATTTTCTGAAATTACAATGATCATTAACATTAATATACTTATTCTGATTAAAAAAACTGAAGATTATAAAATAAATTCATTACATCTTAAATTATGTAACTTATCGTAAATTAATTCTATATTCATTAGTTCAAATAATGTATTTCAAACTTATCTATCTATAAAATTGAATTGATCAAATCTCTGCATAACCTTTAACATCATGCCAGACCGATTTTCCTGTACCTCTATTGAATTTGATAAAATTAAAATTCTTTCTATCATAAATATATAGCCAAAAATTATAGAATTTAGGCATATTAAATGATTGCAATTTGAATAACCATTTACGAACAAAACAGTATAATATTGGATTGCTAGTTACACAATTAATTCTATTTAAATTATTATTATAATTTGAAATAATATTATTGTAAATTATTTAAAAAATTGGAAAAATTATGGTTAGAGCAAATACATGATATTAGTTATAAAATCTGAAAGAGTATAATTATAGTTTTTTACTACATTTCTTGAGTTTGATTTCTTATGCTTCTTTTTAAATTTAAGATCATTTTTGTGTTTTAAATCTTAACCTATGGTTATTAGAGACATTTTTAATTAATTGAATGAAATAGCCCACCTGTACAGACCCACTCTATTCACTTTTTAATGGCGGTCTTGCTTGTAGTGCGAATTCATGTGGATAATTGAGCAAATGTTTGCCTTTGAACATTTAGAGTGATTCTGGTTTTGGAATTAATATAAAAGGGTGTTGCAGGAAATCCATGCTCGACCCAAATGCTTTAAATATTATTATATATATACTGATAATACCAGTTATAGGAATAGGAAGTTTGGGTGCATTGGGAGGTAAATAGTAGGTTCGATCAATTTTAGGAGGTACAGTAAAAAGGCCTTTTCTCTAGGCAATATTAAATTACGATGCATCGATAGCTGGGGATATCACGTCATGCTTAATGTTTAGTGCCCAACTGGTGAACATGATATTCATCTTCTTCTAGAAGTATGTATTCTGAATAAATTTAGTCATCCCGATGTCGATGAAAGACCAATTATCAATTATGAGATTGCCCTGATATACACTTTGGGGATTCCTATCAGTATGTGTATGGGTAGTGAATTAGCAAATTTTCTGCCTTTGTTGCCATTATTGTCTTTTCAGGTGTTATTTTTTGTCGTTATTTCTCCAGTTTTATTATATTATGCGAAGAAGTAGGATATAATCGAGAAGAGCAAAGAGACCAATAATGATTTAAGAAATCAATCAGCTCTCTTAAGTCTCACAGAGATGAAAGATCAAAACTAATACAGTGAAAATTAGGCCAAATTATATAAGATATTTTATGACGAGCAATGTTAAAGATTCCCATTAACTCCCATCCTAATAACTTTATTCAATTTTGCCATTAACGAAGTATTTATGAAGGATTAAATTAGTTAATCTTGTTGATGAGATCATCTCCTTAACAATTGTCACCATATTTCTTTCCGAGTGGCAATACTAATGACACTGAAAATAGAGACAAGGAACCTTGTTAGCCTTGGAACTTTTATGTCGTCCTACTTTTGATTGCTGTGAACATGATAATTACTAGTTTGGTTTATTTTTTTTAAAGGAAAAAGGAGTTGTTGAAAGACACAATAAACTTTTACAATCACGAAAGGTATTATAATCAATTTGAGAAATTCTTTCTAATTTATACAGCAGGATGGGCAACTGGTTTTATTGCAGGATTTATTGGTATGGCAGCAGGATTAATGATGGTTATAACAATGGTTCAGTTTAAATTGATAGCCGCTGTTGCAGGTGCTACAGCCAATTATTGTTACTTTTTAATTTGCTTACAGGTTTTTACAGATCTTATTGTTGGAAATATCCAAAATTCAATAATCTCCGTTGGCGATCAATTCTTCTTTTATGGCCTAGGGGTATTTATATACTTAATTATATTAGATAATCGCAGTGCTCACGTTTACGAATTTAGGTTATTACTATTTAAAGAAGTACAAGTTCGGTCACATAATATTTTACATCGACTTTGGAATTGTAATATTGAACATCTGTGGAAACATAGCTTGGGGAATTGAAAATAGTAGTAGATATGGATTTGTTGCTTTGGAGCAGTAACCTTTCACATGTACTTCTTATAGCAATTGATATCAATTATTATATTAATGTAATTTAATAAATCATAAAGTGCAGCATAATTTCGTTTATAACTAGCAACAACTACAAGTAGATCTAATTTTAATACAAAAATACTTAGTCCGAGTCCTAGTCCTAAATCTCCTCAGACTTTCAGAGCGAAATAAACTATAGAACTTATACAAAGTATATTTTAGTCAAATTTTAGTATAAAACAATTTCCCATAAAGAGAGTTGTTTTTTGAGATTTAGAGACTCTGGAATGAAAACAAGATTCCTGAAATTCATTAGAAGTATTACTACTTTATTCTGACTTCAAATCTTGCATGTCAGGAATATCTGATGAAATAAGAAATTGAAAGTTATAAACTACATGGAAGCATTATTAAGACTTTGCATCAATTAACTATCAGTAGAGAAATTTGTTTAAGTGAAGCATTGGCAATCTAACAAAGTGAGAATATCATAGAATTTGTATGCCTAATTTCAAATTACATCTATGATCTTAGAAAAATTACTTTGAATCTTGTTGAATACTAAAGAAAATGGGTGAATAAATTGTATATTCAATATGCCTACAATTACCAATGGATTTATCAAGGGGAGAATTACATTTTGAAAATCAAGAAAGATCATAAGTTTCTGTTTTAGAAGAATCCAGTCCTAATGAAATTCTTTCATATAAGTGAAACCGCTGATGATATTTTTTATATGGAAATTATTAATCAAGCCTATCAAAGAGATTTAGAATATTTTGATTATCTAACTAAACATAAGCTTGATCAAAAATACTTAAAAAAAATCAAAGAACTCTAGACTTATATAGCAGTGTCATTTACATCCAAACAGTCGGAATTTAAGAGCAGAACCCAACTAAAAACAAAAACTAATTTCTTTCGAACAAAGGATATGTAAAGTGGTTAAGTTACATCCAGAAAGGGAAGTATAAATAAATTGTAGATCGAATTGCCGCCCCTTCCTGAGTACAGAAGTCAAGAGATCTATAGCTCAGATGATATTTCATTTGTTATTAAGGAATGGCCAATCAAGGATATTCCTTAGATTTTAAGTTTTTGGCTTTCCTCTAATTGCGAAGATTTTCACAAGAGTTTCTTACAGCCTTCAACTTATATATAAGAAACCTTGAGTTATGGATTGGAGGCGATAATGTTGTAAATATCCGATCTAGGAATAATATTGGCCAGCGTAGAATAGGATTGCAATATTAGAAAATGGGTGATTCATTTGATTGTGTGCAAGGAGTAGATATTTGATAAAATTATACAACATTTTATTAGAATGTTGATAAACCATGGAGACTCTTTTGAGCAATTAGGTATAAATTTCACTTTATTGGAATGTTTTGAGTAGAATCTTAAAATTCTAAATTTTTATTTTTCTAAGATAATAACCATTGAAAATCTGAAGGTTAATTATACTTAATATGTGCTAGATATTAAAAGGACTGAATAAGAATAGGAAAGTATGTCAATCATTTACGATCCTATTTGTTTTATTTATGCAAGAACGTTATCTAGAATAAAAAAATTAAAATTAAATAGTGATGAAGAATTAATGGAGTGTCAATTTTGTGCTAATTTAGGTAAGTCTAACTTGATTGTGTTTGAGGAGAAGACCTAGGAAATTGCAAAATACTTAGTGGTAAATAATAATACTATCAATTTAGAAATAGAAAATTTATGGATCTCAGTTTCAACATCTGTAGAATGTGAAAGATGTTTAGAAAGTTTGTCCAAGATTTAAATCTCCAGTGCAAGGTCCTGTTTATTTACAGTATTTCCATATGAACTTGCAATTTCTAGTATTTTCATCGGAAATTCAAAAATAAACTTTTTAACCTTATATACGTTTTCCATAAGTATAGTTTACTTCTTAATAAGAGATCAAAAGATGGTTTAGAAGAAGCATCATTGTGGCAATTGTCAAGTAATGATTAAAATAGTCTACGAAGACTGTATTTAATATCGACTACAGATCCCTTTATTAAAATGTATTAAATGAATTCTGAAAATTAGATATATTTTTGAATTAAAAAATGATGAGATTACTTAGGATATACAAACTTTAGTGAATGAGATTTTTGAGAAATACGATAGAAAGGGTTTATCATAATACAATTTATGGCTTCCTTTTTTCAGTTGTGTTGGCAATAGATAAAACTTAACAAATTGCAAATTGCAATCTTATTTTACAAGCGAAACATTCTTAGAAATCAATTTTCCTAGAATTGGAATGAACAGTATTAACTATAGTTTTGAAGGAGAGAAGCTAATCAATTTTCCATTTCTAATAGGAATTGTTCAATCGGATTTGGATTACATTAATAAACCAATCTTTTCAATGTTAGTACAGCAAGAAGACATAATCAAAAAATGTTAGCCAACTTAGGCAGCTAAGAAAGTGGAAGAGGATTTTGAAGTGTTAGTGATGCAGATTAACCCTAAGGATATTGAATTGAGAGTCAAAGAAATAGTTAGATTTTCTTGCTAATTGACACATGATTCCTTTGAGAATGATTCACAAAGACTGATTGATATTATGTATTATTAGCAAGAGTCATGTGTATTATAGTTTTTGGTAGATAACTTGGTTCAAGGATATTGTATCCTATATGTAGATAAAAATAAGATAAATGAAAGACTTTGGATCATTGAAATGATTTCATGCAAATCTGAGTGTTTCTTTGATGCCTTTTTAACTCAAATAGTCGATTTGGTTTTTGGACATGACAAATCTGCTTCTGAAATCTTAATAGCATAGGTTAGATATAGATATATAACTATAATAGAACCATTATCCATAGAATAATGGACAGAGCATGGCTAATAAGTACATTTCAGAGGCGATAAAGAAGGTTGGATTCAAGTGGAGGATAATTGAGAATGATTACAAGACTTAATTGAGAAGGACAATCTTTACAATGAAACGATCTAATTCTTAGTATACTATTATTTAAATCAAACCATTAGTTAACCTAGAGTAGAACACAATATTTCTATTAAATTTAATTCATATTACTCACTCTAATAATCTGAAGCAAGGAATGAAGAAACCAATACTTTAAGTTATCTGAAGACTAAAACTATATTCTAGTTTGCTGAAGATTGTTTTCATTACAATTTGCATAAACCATATGAACGAAATCAATTCATTATTGATAAGATAAAGAATAGCCTAGCTTAATTACCAATGACAAAATTTACTGAATTTAAAAATGAAAAAGAAGTACTCAAATATTTAGATAATTTAACATCTCATCCCTCTATTGATCCAAAACATACTTAAGTGATGACCCAATATACAAATCTCCAGCTGAAATGGTTGAGATCAAGGGAGATCATATTAGAGGGATCGAAATACATAGAAGTCCCCAACGAATAGAATTTTATCTATGTTTCAACATTCCCCCAAATTAATTGTAAGATCTATTATGTAAAATTATTCAATCCAGGATTCTATTTTTTTGGAATGGAAGTAGCTCACAATCAAATTGAATCCATCCGAGATGATTATGTCAGATTCACTGACGTAATTTATTAAGTAATGTATATCCTGTTCAATTAGGAATTCCATAATAAATAGCCGTAAACCTCATGTGATCTCTTTATACCTTAATTCTAGACATGTATGACTATAAGCTAACCCCTTCCGAATTGGTCTTTTATTAATTTTTCATTGGCATACAATCATACGATACTTTAAAACATCATAAAAGACTTAGGGAATAGAACAATAAGAATTAACATGCCTTTTTTGGCAGGAATAATTTAAGAGGATTTAGGGTTAAGATACGAAAAACCAGTGGTGGCTTTTGTTGCATCGGATTATATTGATTGACATATGTAAATTTTAAATTCCTTTTTTTATTGTCTTCAATCAGCTAATTTTATACAATATTATAATGTACGTTGTACAAAAATTATAAATTCAAATTAAAATTATTATGAACTACAGATCAAAGGATCACTTTTCATCCCTCAATAACCTTATTTTTGATATCAATTCAATTAAAAAGTAAAAAGAAAATACATCATTGCAAAAAGAATATCAATGTGATGTTTCTCCTACATTAAAGAAATAAATTAGGCTCAAAAAATAAGAAATCAATTATCATAGCTTAGTTGATCTAAAATAACTTACCAAAAGTAGAAATGTAGTTCTACCTAATTATGAACCAACCAGATGTTCCCAAAACAACAATGGTCTAATAAAAGCATACGCAGCAAATACAAATTAAGGAATCATTAGGAATTATAATGAGGACAGAGTATCCATCATCTTGAATATCATCAAACCACAACACAGATCTCAGGAAACATGGCCTAAATGTGCCTTCTTTGGGGTTTATGATGGACATGGAGGATCGACCTGTGCTGATTTCTTAAGAGATAACTTACACTAATATGTGACTAAGTAAAGCGAATTCCCTTGGAATCCAGTGGCAGCCATTAAAAAAGGATTTCAAATGGCTGAAAAGGATTTTCTTGCTTAAGCCTTGGAATAGTATGGAAAGGGAAAGCAAGAGAGAAGTGGTTCTTGTGCGCTAATTACTTTAGTGGTTGGAGATTATTGTTATGTGGCAAATGTTGGAGATTGTAGAGCAATATTAAGTCAAGAGAAAGGGAAAAAATTGATGGAGTTATCAGTTGATCATAAACCGGAAATAGAATATGAAAGAATTTAAAAAAATGGAGGTAAAGTATACTAAACACATCTAATAAATGAAAACGGTTTACAAATAGTAGGACCGTATAGAGTGTTCCCTGGGAGATTATCAGTTTCTAGGACATTTGGGGATATAGAGGCAAAATTGGGACAATTTGGAGGTAATGAAAATGTGGTCATTGCAGAACCAGACATTCAAATTTTTCGTATTACTCAAGAGAATGATTTTATTGTGATGGGATGTAATATGTAATTTTAAATTTAGGCGATGGAATTTTTGATAAGATGAAATCTGAAGAAGTGATCAAGAAGATATGGGCAGAACTTGAATCACAGAAGAATACTCATAATCTACATGGATAGATTTCAGCAGCAGTTGATTCTGTTCTCAAAGAAGTTGTACTTCGTAAAAGCAGTGATAATATCACATTACTTATTGTTGCTTTCAATGAATTGGTTGTTTAATAATAGACTCCATAATCAAAGATCAATTCTATTTCTAATTAGATCGAACTCTTATAAACCTTTCTAAAGAATAAAATTAATGATGAAAATCAACCAGAATTTAATCAAAAAAAATAAAGTCCAGTCAGCCAATTATTTCATAAAGCTGAAAGAAAGCATCTCCATTTAAAGGAGAATTATGATACAACTGTTAATAGAGTAAGATCAAGCTTTAACTTTTGATTAATTGTCTTCATTTTTAATATTATTAATTTCATTTAGTAATTGCTTAGGCATCTTTGGGGAATAAATTTAAGAAGTTTTTCCTTACTTATTAACCAAACAGAAAATTCTATCTGTAATCATTAAACTTTTAACTTGACTTTAATTATTATTTAAAATAATTACATTTTACTGATATTTTTTTAATTTTCTATAACTCTCCTTGCTTTTGGAATTTAAATTTTGTATCTAATTATTCAGAATCTCTTTTTATTTCTTCCATTTCATTGAATTTTCAGCCTATTTGCTATTTGATAATAAAAATGCCTAATCCACAGCTTTTTGACTAAGTATTCCAAACAAATGGGCTGGATCTTACTTCTGCTATCCGCATTTTTATTGTACTACCTATAAATTAATACTATTAATCATAAATACCTGTAGATCTTGAGCCCAAACAGGTATTTTTTTGTTATTGCAATACAATCTTTTTTTCTTAGGAGTATTATGATCAATTTTGATTTAACTTTCTGATGTTTTGATTAGAAATGGCAGACTATTCTCATTTTATTGATCAATAATTTCAGGTTGAATATCAATCATTTGTTTTTAAAAATCCATAATAGAAAACTCCTCACTGTCATCATCATCCTCTTATTCGTCATCCCAATAAAAGTTATGGGAGTTCTCAGCTGAAAAATCATCACTATGAGAAGTTATTTAATAGGAGATATCTGCATCCTCATACCAATTCGATTTAGCCTAAGAAAATTGATTGTTTTTTTCAAACTTCCTGTACTTTTGGAATTATTTCTTTTTCTACTCTTATTACACTTCAGAATAGTCTCTCAAATAGTGTTCATCTTTGATTTACGATAATTCAATTGACGGATCCACATTGTCAAGTTCTCTGTCAATCTTTTCACTCATCAAAATATCTTATTGTTTATCAATCTTTATTTGGGATAATTGTTACGATAGAGTTTCAACACTCTTGGTGCTTTGATGAACACTGAAATATTAGGGTGGTTGATATTTGTTTTTTTAAACAGCAGTCACAGGTTGTACATAAATATCCAATTAAGGTTCTAAGCTTTTAAATTATCTATTCTTTAAAAGTGGTGAATACAAGGATGACTTCCTATTATTATATTCTTCTTAGCTCTCCAACACAGGCTATAAACCAGGATTGTAAAGCTAATTACGAAGAAAATTTAAATGAATCAAACACAATTATTTAAAATCATTGGTTGCATCTATAACTGTGCTTGTAAAAAGATGCTATCTCTCCATCTACAATTTTGTGTACAAACTAGCTTGAGCAGCAACCTATAATGATAGCATAAGAGCTGACTTTCCAAAATCTACTTAAGGGTTCATTTAATTAATTATTAAACCCAAACACACCATTAATTTTATAAATTTGCTAAATCAATTCATTTAATTATATGTATTATTAAAATTTCATAATTCTGAAATTCTTTAGAGTATTTACATTTATCCATTCGATCCTGGAACGGATTCAGATGAAAACAGTGTAACACATTATGAGAATGTGATCTATTGATGACTATAGGGATCAACAATATTCAAGTATTTTTGAATGTCTAAGTCTCCAGCATCAAAATTCAAAACATCAATCAGATTTCTGAATTCATTCTATCATAATCATAAAAATCATACTTCATCAATTATTCCATTAAGATCTGTGTCCATTTCTTTGAAAATTACAATGAACTTTTTTAAATACTTTTCATGAGATTTGAGTTAAAAATCCAAAATTATTTTCTGGAAAACCTAATATTCTAACATGTATTTATCCTTCTCTTGTAATAACATTAATTGTTCTTCTCTCGTGAGTCTTCGATCATTAGGTTTCTGTGGTACAATATAATATTGCTTCAATTTATCCAACAATAATTCTGAGTCCTCTTAATTGTACATGTATTTAATAATGTCCACGGCCTCCTCTTCATATAATTATCCATTGATTCTTTAATTAAGCATCTCTTTAATTTCAGCCTGATGTTTCAAAGGGTGCTTTCCTCTTAAATACATCTAAAATTATCATCAAATTACTAAATACCTTTAATAATTCCTGCATAGTGTTCTTCACCTGAGTTTAGACAAATCGAAATTCTTCATCACACTCATTCCTTAAAATCTTACCAAACACAGCTATGTCATTGTCATCAGCAGCATATTTCTTAAGAGAATTTATTATAGAAGTTGCCCATTCAATAATGAGATTCTTAAGTCCATATTTCTGATTTAAAAATGTATACATATGCTATTCCATAGTTTCTCTGGGCAATTTAGATTCAGAACACTTTTAATCAAATTTTTGTTTACTTTCATAAATTTCATTTATGACATCCTTCAATTATTTAAGAGTCAAATTTCTAACATTAACTTATTATGGTATAGAGTTCACTTACTATGACTATTTTGATGAAAATATTTGATTGTTGTACTATTAAGTATTTTGTTATTGTAAATTCTTTGTGAAATGCTATGTTTGATACGCATCACTTTATTTCTAAGTATTTTCGCTATTTGGCAATGAAACCTTTTCACCCTTAGAATGCTTTATCAATAAATCTAAATATTTTTTATTTTCTTTCTCCAATTCATTATTTATTGACTGCAATTCTTTCAATTCCAATCGGAGTCTATTTTCAACACTTTTGTCTGGTTACTGTTATTAGGATAAATCCAATTGTTTTTAGTTAATCTATATTTGTGAAGTATTTTTGGAAGATGATTTTACATTCTATATTACATTGCTCATATCATTAAAGATTGACAAATGCATATCGTGAATTTTAGTAAATATGATATCTAACTTCTTTTCATTGGATTTGAAGTATTTTAGAATTGATTTAAAACAAATTTCATATAAATTATATTTAGCCTACATTAAAATATATTGATACTGTTAAGATATATAAATTTGTTAAATGATCTGGGTTATTTTACTTCACCTTAGATTATAAATCTAACATGATAGTTCTAATTTATTAATCGAAAAGCTTATCATCTTGTTCATCTTTTTTATACTCTCTAATGTTATCGTATAATATCTAGGATAGTTATTATTAGTACTGCCATTTATTCAAGATCATATTATTAGAGGGTAATTTCCTACTGAGCACTCATGGATCTCTCTGATGGTTGTTGACTTTGCTATTCTGAAGTTTCATCAACAGGTTCTTAGTCCTAATTGATTTTCTAGGAATTCAAAATTAATAGATTTGGAAGGGATTCAATAATGAATTGCTCCTCTTCTTTGGAAGATAGACTTATTTCAAGTTAAATTAGATTGGGCATGGTTTATAAAGCTTCCACTACTTGTCCTAGCTAATTATGATTTAAGATTAAATAAAGTTACATCGGTAAAGATGTTGTTTGTCAGACACAAGAATTCGACTGTATCAAGCAATCCCAAATCATCAGGCAAATTAGATAGACGATTTCCATTTAGATTGAGCTTAATTCTTAGAGGGATTAAGTACTTCTTTTAAATTGCTAAAGTTCGCTAATTGAGGCATGAGTTCTTCCAAATTCTAGATTTATCTGGATAGATTAAGGATGAAAATACTTGAACTCCAAATCAATGGCAGTTACATTGGTTCCCTGGGTTTTGAGTATTTTTTATAGGACTTCCATGTTGAAGAATTAATTTGAAAATAAATTAATAATAAATAGAGAGTAAGTAGTTAGATGTTTGATGTGAATATAAGTGAGAAAATAAGACAAGATTATTGAGATAATTTTGATAAAATATCATTTGATTAGTGCGTAATAAGTTGTATATAAATATTATTGAAGAGATCGTGTTTTTCATATATTAAATTTATTGATGTAAATAAAAATGATACCTTCATGCTAAAAGTTCGTGAGCTCTAGCAAAGTTATCTACAATTTTGCTGTGGCTAATTAAACAAGATATGTAATTGCTCGATATTATAATTAGAGTTCTTCTTAACTCCAATATTATTAGAGTTTAAGAATTCACAAAGATAAATCTGTACCTTCAATTTTAAATAATTTATTGATTAATCACATGTTGAAATATGATTGGGTTGTAGATTAAGGACCAAAACTCTTTGATTTGCTTTATGCTATTTGTGGAACAAGATTGGCCAATTTTCTAGTCAATCATACAATAGGGAAAGTGTTCACTGCAGGGGAAAACCTTGAAAGTGTGGAAAGATATCTGTCCTCATCCAATAATAGTAAAAATATATTAAACTCTATTAAGAAATTTCCTACATTATTGATTACTGCTCAGAAGCAGTTGAAGGAATAGACGATTGCGAGAAATTTTATGATGAGAACAGTTCTATATTTAGACAAACCGTATTGGAGTGTGCTAAGAAACCCGAGAAGAAAAACATGATTGCAATCAAGGTTTCTAGTTTAATTGACATGAATTTACTGAAGTAAATCAACAAAGCAAGATTGAATATTTTTGAAATGTTCTATAAAATTGGTTAAGGCAAATCAACCATAACTCTTGAATAGGTTCACAATTATTTTATAATATTAGGTATTCTCACATCTTAAGGAGTAAGGAATTAATATGAATGAAAACGAATAAAAATAATTTATAAAGGGAGTCCTAAAATTTAATAAGGGAGAAACAGAAATAGATGAAATAACATGGAGATACAGAGTTCAACCCATATTCATGTTTGAAACGGAACTCAACAACAATCCTGCAATTAAATACATGAATAATTTGAATGAAAAACACCTCTTTTTATTTGAGTAATTCATAGAGAGAGTCAAATATTTCATGGATCCAGCTTTGTAAAATAAAGTTTGTGTGATGGTCGATGCAGAATAAACCTATTTGTAATGGGCAATCGATAGTTTTTCAGAATAAATGGAAGCCTACTATAACCAAAACTAAACTTTAGTGTATAACACATTTTAGAACTATCTCAAATAAACCAAAGACAGAGTAGACTTTGAATTAGCCAAAGCCAACAAATTCAAGTTGAACATCGGTATTAAAATGGTCAGAGGAGCCTACATGGTTGAGGAATCCAAATTAGCAAGTGATTAGGGTAAAGAAAATCCTATCAATGATGGATATGAGGCTACTACTGCTATGATTGAAAGAAACTTAGAACAATTAATACTAAACATTCGTAAATCACCTACTAAAGTCTTTGTGGCCAGTCACAATGAAAAAACAGTTGAATTTGTTAAAGAATTGATGCATAGACATTCTATTCCAAATCAAGGAGGTATTTATGTTATTTAACATTTCCACAGATGTATTATTCGCCTAATTGTATGGATTGTCTGATCATGTCACCTATCAGTTGGCTAGCGAAGTATTATTAAATCTATTTTACTTAGGGATATAGAATATATAAATATGTTCCTTTCGGAAAAACTGAGATTATGATCCCTTATTTAATGAGAAGAGCATAAGAGACTAAGAAAGTACTTTAATCAAGTACTTTGTAAACACTCTTGTTGATTGATGAATTAAAATACAGATTTTATTTGAAATGATAATATGTTTAATATATTGTAAATAATGATTCTTTTTGGATGTATATATATGCAAATGTATCAGATAATATCATCATGATAATTTCTATATCTAGTTAATCTGACTGAGTTTTCAGCATAAGCAAATTGATGTGTGTTGTATGTTGCTATTATACTATGCAATTGAATTTACTTAAAAATGGAATGAGACTTGATGCTGCAAATATTGTCCTGGCAGTAAAATTGTAAATATGTTGCACTGTCTAGAAACTTTGCAATCCAAATACAAAATTCCATGGCCAAGTGACAAGTTTTCTAACTTGGTTTCTTTGATCCACAAAATCTAATGTTCTTTCAGACATTATTAATAAATATTTATATTATTAGATATATTTTAATAATTATCTACAATTTTCTTTACTTATAACTATGGGCATTTGTGCTTTTGATACTAAATCTGATGTAAAAGAAGAATAAGAAATTCAACAAATTACTTATCAAGTAAATTCAAACGTTAAGGTACATGAAGTTCAAAAGCAGTAAACATTGGATGAAAATTAGGCAGCACTAAAAATATAAAATAGTTTTAGAGTCAAATAAGCCAAGTAAGAGGCTGAAGAGAAAAGAAATGAACTACTTTTAGATTCGCCAAAAGATTGGGTTGAGTATAATTCAAAATTTATAACTCCTGAGTTGCCAAAATAATTCAAGGAACAAGTGAAGAAATCCTTAACTAAGTAAGATAGACTACTTAATCCAATGTAAGCATCGGATGGTACTCTTTATTCAGGTTAATGGAGTAGGGGAATGTAAAATGGCTATGGATAGATGATAAAATCAGATGGAACTTACTTTGAAGGAACTTGGGCTTAAGGTTAATTTTTAATCGGAGGCATTCTATTTTCAAATGGGGACTTTTTTGTAAGTAAACAAATTCATTTCTAATATTAGATTGGCACTGCAACCAATGGAGAAAAGGTATTCAAAAATGGTATAACATATGATGGAGAAGTCTAATTTGGAATACCCAATGGCAAAGGATAAGAAAAACAACAAAATACAATTATTTATGTTGGAAATTATCTCGATGGTAAAAAACATGGATAAGGAGCATTGCATTATCCAGATGGATCGACTTATGAGGGACAGCATGAACATGGATTAATTACAGGAAAAGGTACATTCAGATATACTGATGGTACTTACTATTCAGGATAGTTGCTAAATGGTGTGATGCATGGAAAAGGAATTCTCATTGAAGCTGATGGAACTATCTATGAAGGTATATTGGTATAAGATATTTTAAAGGTGATTTCGAAAATGGAAAAAAAGAAGGATAAGGCATTTTGAAGTTTCCTGATAAATCTCAATTTGAAGGATAGTTTAGAATGGGCAAGAGACATGGAAAAGGTAAAATAATAAAAAGAGGAGGTTACGTTTAAGATTGTGAATTTAAAAATGGAGAATAAATATATCCAAAATGATTAGGATATAATAATTATAAAATGAATCTCATTAATTCTTCCATATTTAGATATCTTTTGTTTTGTCATTCCAAACAATTAAGTAATCAGCATTACTAGAAATTGCTCCAAATAAAGAACTACTTGGAAATTCAATTGTTTAGAGTAAACTAAATCTATTGTTTTGAAGCTTTCTTAATATATAAAAATTCTTTGAGTGCTTGCTTATAATTAAATGTTATTTCTTGTGGAATATAGATGGACATAAGTAATACCCATCTGTTAATTGTTCCTTCATGTTGATTCTTTTTAGCAACTTATAGTTTAACAATTATTTATCAAATAGATATATCTGTGCCACCCCATTGCCATATCTTTGCCAAAAGAATGCTACATTAGATATAAAAGCGATTCTATAGCCATAATCGTCATTTTAAATTATTTATAATTTCTTCCATAATTTGTCTTCTCCAACTTCCCAAACTATTATTGATTTATCCCTACTTGAGGATATCAACTGTGTCTCTTTCAAATTTAGTGAGATACTATAAACAGACCCAGTATGTCCAAGCAAAGATTGATACAATTCAAATTGATTATCAAGATTTTTCACCCAAACTTTAATTGAATTATCCAAACTGCAAGAGTAAATAAAATCATCATTTTAACTAATTATTAAACTGCAAATGCTATTGGCATGTTCATTTAAAGTTTAATCACATTTCCAATTGTTCTTTGCTTACTCTCTCCAAATCATTATCTATGAATCACAGGCACCTGAAACAAAAAATAGTTAATTGTAACTAAAGGTTAGACAATTTACATTGTAATTATGACCACTAAGGGTTTATAGTTGAGTCAATTTATCTTATTCAAATTTCCAAACTATGATATCCTTTCCACTTCCAGAAACTACGACATTTCCTGCTTTGTTGAATGTCAATGCATAACAATCGTATTATTATTTTATACTATTGATTTATTGAAAATTGACTGGTCTTATTTTGACCTCTTATTGATTTTGTTAAATAAGCTACTTTATTTCTAAATGTATCATTACACTATTTTTTTTCAACTCCGAGAATAATTCCTTCTCTTTTATTAAGACTCGCTCTAAATTCAAATTACCAACATGATTGTTTTCATTTTCTTCTTCAGTTAATTTCTCACTCAATATTTCCGAGATTTCTTTTAATTTTTTAATATCCATATCCTCTTTCAATGCCTTAATTTAATTAATCTCTCTATCTATAGCTTTTTGAAACTGAAATCGATAATCATCTGTAGTTTCGATTAGAGAGTTGATACATTTCAATGCTTATTCTCGATATTGTTGAAACTTGCTTAGTAAATGATCTAATTGAGGAACTTTGGAATTTTTAAAGTTTTAGAATTTTTAGACAGCTTTGCTTTCGAGATTTTACCATAATTTCATGGCTTCTTCAAAACTAATAAGAGTTTAGTTTTCAGTGTCACAATCTGTACAAAAGATTCTTTTTTCTTATCCTTTTGTGATATTGAGTTAAGTTATTGGTTTTTGATGTTGAGGACATAATAGTGTAGAACCCATTTAGACTAAGACGAAGGATGTGTTGATATAATATTATAAATATAATAAATTTTTATTAATTATTTAGGAAATCAAGTAATGCAAAATTGTTTAATAATGAAATGAGATCTCATTTTGTGATTTATGATTTAAAGGAGAAGGAGAGAAAATTAAATTATTTGAATGAAATGTTTACTTAAAGTGTTTAGTACACCATATATAAACTAAATTACAAGTGACAATAATAAAATAATGATGATAAATTAAATTCGAATCAGAAAAGTCTTCATGTTAATTTATCTATCTTTTTCTCTTAAAACATTCTATGAGGCGAAGAGTTCTTAAGACCACTTGGAGCTGTGTGTTTTCTCACTTATAAATTAGGATTGATAGAAATTTTAATTTAGTCTGGTTTCTAATTAAAGAATGGCGATGTAAAATTACATCTTTAAGATCCAATTTATTTTTTAGATTTTGTCATCTATTCTTTCGTTTAGATTATAGATTTCAATCTGTCCTATAGCACTTGATTTTGTCGCTTTAATTGTATTTGCTCTAACTAGTAGTCATTCATTTAATCTTTCCATTTGCATTCTTTTTTTTCATAAAATTTTAAAGTTTCTTTTAGTTTCTTATTTTCTTCCTCCAACTCTTAGAGTTTATCCATTATGGACTAATTTTCAGAATTTTGGAATCCACTTGAAATAGAGGTTTCTTGAAATTCATCGATGTCAACAAAAGAGACAATTTTGGGTAAATGTTTTCTCAAATGAGTTTAACTTTTTTGAGAGAGTGAATTTAAACTATTCCTATTCGAAGTTTGTTCACTATTTGAAAGTAGATTAGTAAGTTATTCAATAGTGAGAGCTATATGTTCTTACATATAATAATTATTGACAATCAATCATAAATTAATACATTATGAACCCAGTAATTAACTATTAATGAATAATGACAAATGCTGAAGAGAACCAATTTAATAATAGAGATATTCCATTCTTATTTAACAACTAAATAAACTGTTAATCTTAACAGAAAAAAATGATAAAGAAATAAAATTAATAATAGAGAATTTGGTAAAAAATATGTTGATATTATAATAATTTGGCAAAGATTAGGATAAGTATTATAATTGATACTATAATGAATAGAATTAAATCATATATTATATATGCAGAATTCTTAAATAGTAATTTATAATAGTATTTCATCAATGATATCCTTCCCATTTATGAAGAAGAGGATTAATAATTAAAATAGAATAATTAAGAATTACATTTTAAATGAGTTAATTTTATAAATTGTTGATTTTTAAGTGAAATTTAAATACTATAATAATTATCACACTTAAAACCAAAATATTAATAATCTTAACCTACTTAAAGGAATCAACTCAATGATTATTCTATTAATAATATTAATAATTTTATTTTAAAAGTTAAATATATATATTCATATTTTTATTTTTATCTATGATTTTTTTGAACCATAAATAAATCTATCCATCTTCTCATTTTTTTCTAGTTGTTAATTCAACTGTTTAGTCAAACCCAATTTCTCCTTTTGAAATAGTTCATTTTCCTTTTGATATATCATTATCTCTGATTACAGATTTCTAATATCTTTCAGTAGAATTTCACACTCTTCTCCTTATTAGTTGTACTTTTACCTATATTTAGAAATAACTATTACCTTAATTCATCATATTATTATTATTCAAATTATAGTTTCTTCTACCAGACACCTTCGATATCTTTTAAAGTGCCTTACAATTATTAAATTTATGATAATAGAGATACAACTTGCTCTTGTTTGCCTGCTAATTTTTATTTATATTCTTCAACTTAAGCTGAGCAATCATTTTTTAGAACAGATATACTTTTTTCTATTTCTTATTGAGATTCTTTCTTAATTTGAATCACCTAATTCTCTGCCTCTATTCTTATTTGTTCTTCCTAAAACTTTCTCCTTTCTATTTCAGCTCTCAATTAGGCAATAGTCTGTTAAGATTCCTATTGTTTTATTTAGTGAGTGTTTCTAGGGTATGATGTATATAAATACCTTAATTCATCTAATTTGGTTTAAAGAGAATTATTAAACTAGGTCTCGCTTTCAATTTATGATACATATTATGCAATTTTATCTTCATATTACTTCTTTACTTTAATCAATTCATTGGCTGTTTCTTCTTATTTTTTTAATGCTTCATCTTATGCTTTAATTAATTGATCTCTCATTTTTGACAAATTCTCTTTGTGTTTGCTCTCTATATTTTCAATATGCTATTTCAATAAATTAATTGTGTTTTCCTACTCTTAAAACTTGATTCTAAATTTTAACTCTACTGATTTAAGTTAGTTCTTATTTAAAATTTCTTCATTATTTGTAAAATTAGTATTCTCCTCGTTTTTTCTGATTCTGGATCGCAAGATTGAACTTAAATGAGGAGTGGCATCCTATTGCTTCTCTGGAGTTATAGAATGAGTTCTCTCTTCATTGGATACCATTTAATCATAAGGTATAATCTGTTTTTGATGGTCTTGATCTGGATGTAAAGTAGAATCACAGTGATAACATAATTTAGTAGGCTCATTTTCATTGCAATCAAAGCATTTTATAGTGGCAGGCTTTATTTGACAATTGAAACATCTAACGAATTTCCTTTAATTTTGATTCATATTTTATAATATAAAATATTCAAAAATAAACTCTTATATAATTAAGATGATGCTCATTCTTCACTTTCTTATTTTATTGCTTATTTTTAAATTTCGTTGTCAAATTGATTATTTATTATTTCACCATGTAGATTAACCAATAATAGATTGAAACCTGTTAGAGATAATTTGATTGAGATTGTTTTCTAATACCTTTTCACTCATATAAGAGAATGTAGATGTTATTCAAATTACAAATAAAAATGAATATCTTAAACTTTGATTGTTTAAGTGTGCATTTTCCAAAAGATATTGTTAATTTCTAATATCAATTAAGATATTAGTTCACATTGCATCCATTAGGAAGTCTTTTCTTTATCTACTCTTTAACGTTATTTATTAATATCTTTTTGATTAAAGAAGTTTTATGTTTGCTACTTCTTACTTTGTTTGGGTTATATATTTTGGCAAAAGTTCATTTGACAATCTCTTTATCTCTAATTATAAAGGAATCTCTAATGAGTTTTTTAACATCTAATTGCTTAGTACTTGATATATTAATTCCTCATCCATTTATTAGAGTTTCAATTATTGCCATAAAAATTTAGAAGGAGTGTATGGGATAACTATAAAACTTTAATTATTCATTTTCTAGAATATGTTAGATTATATCTATAGTTCATTGATATCCTAGTTTAGAAGAAATAAATATATTAAAAACACAATAATAGCATTGAATATATACTTATTAACAGCAATTTTTAATTTAACAGATTAATAAAAGTTATATTCAAAAAGAATAATGGAGGAAAGAGGATTAAGATCAAATGAGAAAGTCACTAAATAACTAGATTATTAAACCAGGAAAATGGTATCACCTCAAACTGATGTAAATTTGAAGAAAGAAAATTCAAATCCTTTGGATTAAAACAATAGCACTTATTCACTCAAGGGTTATGAAAGACAAGCTCCATATTCATCAAACTAGTTTGAATAGAGTCGTCAAACAGGAGAGCAATAAAAAATAACATCCAACAATAACCCATACCTTAAGCAATCATTATACAATAATCCTGAGCCAGGCAAACCCTTTATTCGCACATATTAAGAAGGAGATCTAAGAAAGCCTTTGGATTAGGCAAATTTTAAACAGGAATTACGATAAATCAACGAAAGAGAGATAACTAGTCCCTATGTGAATCTTGAAAACCAAAAGAGAGATCCTATTGGGACCAGAACTCCTATTGATCCAAGAGCAAATATGAGTGCTTATACACCACAATCTAGATAAGATTTATATCGTCGAGACGTTTAATAATCAGATTACAAACGGGAATTTCAATTACCTGAATATAAAAGAATGTATCCCGTTTAAGATTCTCGTATTCCACCCAGACAGATCAATTCATTTGAAATGCAATAGAAACCAGTAGATCAGCAAGGAGATAGGATGAGATACGATTAGGAAAGGATAAGGACATTGGGAGGATAATAAGAATAACCTGAAAGAATGGACAGAATGATAAGGGCATCTGATTATGTGAGAAAATCTGATAATCAAGACTTTTTAGAGTAAGATAAAAGACCATTAGAAAGAAGGGAATATATGGAAAGAGGTGGAGCTGAATAGGGTTAGCATGAGTAAAGAAATAACACTTCAAAATCCCAAGAATATTCTTAAAGATCATAAAATTAAGTTAGAAAATATTAAGAAGGATCCAAGACTCCAATCGAAGGAAGAATGATTGAAAGAAGAGGATTTGATGATCATATGCAATTGCAAGGAAGACCCTATTAATAACCAAATCCTTAAAATCCTTATCTTGAAGGTGGAAAATAATAATTTTATGAAGCCAAACCTCCCTTGGATGAACAACGAAGAATGGCTAATCCTTATGAGGAGAGGAGAAATCTAAATCCATATGAAACCAGACCCTAATTCTTGGATTAGAGGCCACCTTATGAAAGAAGACCAGATCGTCCTGATTTGGAGAGAAGACCTGACCATCCTGATTTTGAAAGAAGACCTGTCCAACATGAATTTGATAGAAGACCAGATTTCGAGAGAAGACCAGATCGCCCTGATTTTGAGAGAAGAATAGATCGCCCTGAGTTTGAAAGAAGACCTGATAGACCTGAATTTGATAGAAGGCCTGATAGACCTGAATTTGATAGAAGACCCGATAGACCAGAATTTGAAAGAAGGCCTGATAGACCTGAATTTGAAAAAAGACCAGATATTGAAGGAAGATCTCCTTATTAAGCAAGATTTGGACCAGAAGGAAGATTCGATGCTGATTAAAGATTACCTCCTGATTTTAAATATCGCTAATAAGGACATAATAATGAAAGATTTTAATAATAAGGAATCAGGTAAGGAGTAGAAGGAATATAGGCATAAAGAGTGCAATTTGAAGAAAGACCTCCTTACGGTCAAGGTGGCTTATAAGATGAGAGACAAGGGATGAATTATAGAAAATACTCAGATGGTAGAGCTATTTTGGATGGACGAGTCGAAAATAGAGATGCTGTTGAAGGAAGACCAGCATAGTAGGAAGGAAAATAATATTAAATAGATGGCAGAGTGTTGGAAGGAAAGTAATATTAAGTAGATGGCAGAGCAGGCTTTAATAGGACATATGGAGAGGATAGATATTAAGGAGCAACAATTTTTGAAGGAAGACCTGGATTAGAAGGAAGAAGAGAATAGTTTTGTATTAGACCTCCAATATAAGGCAGAACTTTTGAGGAAAGAGCAAATGTTGAATAAAGAGTTCCTATTGAGAGTAGAAATTAATTTTAGAGAGCATATGATGATAAGTTTGGTGATAAGTACTTTGAATAAAAGTATCCATAATAATAAGACCCAATTGGTAGAAAGGATTTAGGTAGGCCTGAGACTGGAAAATTGAGGGAGGAATTTGATAGAAGAACCACTTATGGTAGACCAGATATCGATGATAAAATGGCAGAGTTCGGAAAGAGGAAAGAGGTTGATGGAAGAGTGAGACCAGAAACTAGTTTTGGAAGGCCTAATGGAATAGGATAGTAACCAGGAGAAAGGTATTATAGAAGGGATTATAATGATTAAGAATAGAGATTGAGTTACCATTAGGACACCTCAGTAATTGATAGATTGGGATTAGAGAGAGGAACTAATAGAAATATTATTGGAAATTAAGCTGCAGAAAATATGTTAAGAGGAGGATAAACAATGAGCAGATAATATGATAGAGAGAGAAGTTACAATAGGTTAGGAATGGGAGAAAGAGTGGCTAGTTTTACAAACAGTAAGATGGGTTATCAAAGAACTGCTGTTTAAGATAAGGAGGAATATTAAGGTTATGTTCGATCCAAACTTATGCCTAAGTCATTGGGAAATGGAGCATCAGAATTTTAGAGGAAGCAATCTCAGGATTAAGGATTCTAAAAATGTATTTATATTCACTTATAATTTAGTGTAAAGTCCTAAGGCTTAGATTGAAACTAGAGTTGGAATATATGATATTTAGAGAAGAGATGGAAGGATTTGATAGTTAAACACTTTTATTTTATAGACAAATTTTATCATAAATCATTTAAATATTTCTTGTAATATTTATATCTTGAACATAGAATTCAATTTCCATGAATACTTTCTTAGTAACTCCTACTGATAGAAGTAATGCAATTTAAATGGACACATTCTTATTCTGTTAGATAATTGCAAAAGGCATCATAAAATGTTGTCTTTATTTTTCTTTTTCTTGCTATTCAATACTGATATAGATCTAATCCCAATATTTTTTAATCATTTCATTTGGTTTCTTTATGAATATATATATGAAGCTATAGGAACAAGGGAAAACAACTAGTTAGAGTTCTTTAATATAAGATAATTCAAGTTGGTTTTCAAGATATGAACTATGAAGTGGTAATTGAGATAAGTGAAGGCTTTTACAGTTACTTGTGCCTTCCACCTTCATACTTTGTCTAAGAACATTAATCATATGGGATTCTCCATATAGAAAGTCAAATTAATTCCAGTGTTTATTGAGATAATAAATAAATAATTTAATGAAATAACATAATAAATCACACACAAAGCAAATTTTAGGCAGTTATAACATCAGTTATATGATAAGAGTTTCTTTAGACACCAGAGTCTACAAGAACAGTCTTCATTTTCATCATACAGGTTTAGCAACAAATGTATTTTAATTTATTTGATTTGTTCTGAGGTGTAAGATGCATTTAAAATGTTCATGGTTGAATCAAATGTTTCAAAAGTACAATTTAAATTAGTGAATTCTCCATTGAATTTAAGTTGAAATGTCAATTCTAAGATAATTACATAGATAAATACTTGAATCTTCTTTAACTTATGAAATTTGAGATAAATCAGCATGATTAACTTCATACAAATTATCTGTTTCTATTTCTGTGATAGTTTAATCATTGGATGGTTGCTTCATAAATTCTGTGAAATCATTTTCAATAGATTCCACTTCAGTGTTATCTGTTTATTCAACCTTTTCAATTTAAGGTTCTTGAGATGACTGTAATTGTTTTTGTTATATTTTTTCTTTCTTTTTATGAGAGATCTGCTTTTTCTAAGTTTACTTTTTGATTATTTTTTATTCTTTAACGCTTTCTTAACATTGAAATGAGGAATGAGGTTGAGGTATTTTGTCGAATTGCAATTTTTCATAATGTGAGGAGAACAACCTAAAGAGTTAGTAAATGAGGACTATCAATTGCAAGTAGATTGATATCATATTGAAAGTCTTGGGTAAAAACAAACTAAGGAATAGAGGAGTGAAAATACTTTAAATTTTAGATGATAACGGATGTGGAAACTGCAATTGAATTAGTAAGTTGAAGCTTATTTTAAGTATCAATAAAAGTGAGTGTAAAAAAGGCAGCAAGCAAATTCAAATACTGGAATTAGATGATATATTTACTTGATTTGATTAGAATATGGGAGTTAATTTTGGATGCGACATCATTTAATTGGAATCCCAAAATTCCACAGGTTGATTCTCATATATTTGGAGTAGGGAGTTTAATGTTAAGAATGAAACTGTTGCTCTTAAAGCTGAAAGAGACATAAATTAATTAAAACAAAAAGTATTTGAAAATCCAATTAAAAATATCTTGCATTTATATTGATAAATATAAATAATTTCTTAATCAGGCATTCGAACAAGCTTAATTGCTAGGCCAATCTACTGAATCTATATGATTATCTAAATTTCCCACATTGAATTGTACTAACCACTATCTCAAACTTTTTTGGATGGTAAATCCAGATTTTCCTGGGACTTACCATGAACTTGATTGATAATACGTAGTTTATAAGAAGCTAATATAAATTCTAATAATATACCAATGTTCTACACAAGCTGGTGCAAAAGAACCTGAATCTCTGAAGATCGATTTCCTTCCTGAAACTACAGTCTGAATGCTAGTATGCAATTCTTCAATATATTTTCTTTCTTTCTAAGAACAACCTGACAAAGAATTCCTAGTTACACAGGATATTTGTAAAAGGTCTTGGATACTGGCAGAATCATATAAAGAATTGACAATGAAAATGGGCACATTTACATATCTTGAAATTTGAATTGACAATGATCATACCTGAGTAAATATTGAGCATAGAAACATCTCCAAAGTTCATTTGGATTACTCTAAACACATTCAGTATTTGGATTGCTAGCTTCTTGGTTAACTAATTTCTGCATTTCAATCAATGACAATTTGGGCAATTCAGATCCATCAATAGATTTCATATCAATAAAGATTCCAGAATCAGGAACTCCCAATACTTACACATTCAAAGGCAACACACCTCTAAAGTAGTCTACCCAATAATATGCTGCCAATCCTCCTGCTGAACACCCTGAGACAATGACTGTGGCACCTCTACTCAATCTTTCATAGAATTCATTAATAATTGATTTCACAATTCTCTCTCCTCTGAAATACAATTTCTTGCCATTGTAAACTGCAGCATCCTTCCTATATCCTTAATGTCCTAACACTTAGTTCTCAAACATTTACCTGTGCCATCACAGTAATTGATGTTGATGATGTTCCAATTGTAGAAATCTGGGTTGGAAGATTGTGATCTCGAGAAGAACCCATCATAAGTGGTTTTTGGGTCATTGTATTTTGAACTTCCCAATTATGTCTCAGATCATAATCTATATAGATCATACCTTTTATAGGCTGAGTTCAACAACTACTATTCGTTCAATCCTTGAATCCAACTAATTTGATATATACAGAGTCATACGCTCCTCCACTAAAATGAAATATGTAATTGTCTGATCCTGATCCGTACCCTTCAGCAAAATAATAAGACTTAAATATTGAATCGTAGTACTCCTAGCGAACCATCCAAACACAATGCTTCAGGATCACTCACAAAATAGAGATTCTGTGCAAATGATGCAACCACAAACCAGACTATAATCAATGTTAATTTCATAAAGAAAATAATTAAATATGTGGCAAATTGTATATTTAATGTACTTTAGATCATCTTAATCTTCTGGCTTCTCTTTCACATTCCATAAGTTCCAATGTGTCACCCTTTCTGACTGGTCCCATTACATTTCTAATCAATGTTCTTTATTAGCCAACCAATTGAACCTTAACTTATGTAATTCCACCTCTAGAACCTGCATTCAATATTTATAAATTCTACCTGTTCTTCCAATGATTTCGATAACTGTGGCTCTTGTACCTTCTACTCTATCCTTAGTTGAATCCATAATATGAGCTTATCTAATTTTTAATTAAATGATTTAAATAATTTCCTTATTTCATACAAATATATACAAATTCCTATAAAAACTAATTAATTCTTCTCACTTCCCACTCCTATAAGCATTACTTCCACACCCTTTCGATTAAATAAAGCTTATAGAACTGTTTTACTGTCTAATATCACTTAGATCTGAAGATTCTGACTTCTTACCTGCTTCACCTCTCCCTCCTTGTTCAAATTATTAGATCCTCTCCTACTTTGTAATTACTAATCGATACCTCCAAATTAGAACTCTGCTTTTCTGTATCCAATTTCTCTGTAGATACTTTGCTTCTCAACTCAGTATCAACTATTAAAGGTTCTTCTTAATTATATCTCTCCAATTATTTTTGGGATTGCTTATTCTACTCATTTTATTATTATTATTTCAAGAATGCCAATTTCAACTATAGCAACTATTCAACAACTTTTTACAATACTACTAATTCAAACGTGGTTGTCTTGAAAATACTCTAATTTATCTATCCATGTTCTGAATTCTAGAACTATTTGATTTTCTAATTTGCTTTATCTAATTAATTTCGTAATCTTTCATTTTCATTTTACAGCAATGTCACTTTTTGTTTAAGCATTTCAATTTCTCCAATTTACTAAGTTGATATCTGACTGCATTAATCATAACTTGAATCTCTGAAATTTGATACGATCCTCTGATTTGGAGAGTGAGATCTTTAAGATCTATTTGTAGGAGTTTGGATCGAGTTCGATACAATTTATTACTGTGGGATATTAAATGCTTTTTACATTAATTTATATAACAACAATAACGCATTTAATTTTATAAAAGATTTTCTATTAAACTTGAACGCAGCTTATAATCATTTTAATCCAAATTCAATCATTAAGTGGTTATTGTTGAATCTAAATTGTAGGATATATTCTTGAAACTATATGATTTTTACTAAACATAATAAATGAACTACAACGAAACTATTATAGCTTAAATTTTGAACTTGATCTTAAAATACTAGATACCCAATTACAAACACAATGTTTCTATCTAATTTTTCACACCACTTAGTAGTGAATAGAGTTTCTGTATTCTTAAATTGTATTATTATAATAACAATTCGTGCTAAATGGTTGAATATCTGACACAAGTGAATTTATATTGAATATAGATTAAAGTGAGATTTAACTTAACAATCAATTTACGAAATCAAGTGTAGATTAAACATATCAATTTTCATCAATTTTTTATTTGATTATTTATATGTCTGAAAGATCAGTCTTACCCTCTGATTATTATGAATTAAAGCATGTCAAAGCCATAGCTTATACACAAACTTCAAATATCAAGAAAGGAAGAACCATCCTATTTCATAATAGGGATGAAGCAGAGAATGATTTAAACAAATGCAATCTCAGCTGTGATTGCTCAGAATGTGGATAATTAATTGGATTCTCCTTGAAAGTACATAGAGAATTACCTCTAAAAGAAACAAGGTATTGAATCATATATTTTTTCAGAAATCAAAAGAAAAAAAAAATCTTGAGGAGATTTAAAGCTGTAGGAAATGCCATCATTTTTATTCTTATGTACAAAATGGAAGCTATTAAAAAAATGAAAAAGAAAATGCATCTCCTTAAAGCAGTTCGAAACCTAACTGTACGAAGACCTGCTCTTCCACAATAAATGCAATTATTACCAGTTTAATAATCAATTAAAATACCATAAAGGTGAGTACAATAAATTATACATTCCTAGTCGTGATGAAGAATTCGAAGAAACAGTGTCTATTCATCCCTTCTAACCTTTCTAGAAGGGACCAAGATAAAACAAGATATCTATCTATATGCAAAGGATGTTAAAGGATGTATAACCTAAAAAAGAAGTTATATTGAAGCCATTAAATATTTTGAATAATGCTCTTGGCAAAGGAAACAAGAAGAGACACGTTAAATGCAATTCTGAATCATCTTTAACTCAGTTTAATTGTTAAACTTAATTCAAACCTTCTTGTGAAACTAATAGAACATACGCAACTAATTTTTATTAGAGTAACAAGAAAGATATTTTAAAATTGATAGACATTATGAAGGTGAAACACAGAGTAATTAGAGTAAAAAAATGATAATTAATGTTCTTTTATTTATTCACTCATATGCATTTTGGGAGAAGAAAATTAACAATTCTGAATTATTTAAAATCTTATCATTACTGATTTTAGTCTCATGAATAACTTCGATTTTAAAGTATTTAAAATTAATAAAATTTATTGTTCTTATTTAATTAATAATATGTCTTAAATTCATAACGATTTACGTCTTCAAGGCATAGATGAATTGAGATAAGTTTTTAAACTAATTCCACCATAAAATAAATCCTCGACACAGTCTGGGGAAATATAGTAGATAGAGTTATTGAAACAATATAACCTCAATCCTTTCGATAACCTATTAACCATATGTAATAGTATAAGATCAACCGATTCCAAAAGTGGAAATCAAAAACGAAGAAGAAAAAATGTATCAGTGCAACATAAGCAATTTAAAGTGTAAGAAACTGCCAGTAGGAATCTAAAGAGAGTTGAGTCACCAAAAATGATATTGAAATAGAATTGAAATATAGAATAATTAATAAGGTAAATTATAGTTTAAGTGAAACATTCATAAGTCTTTTAGAATATAATTTAATATAGTGTTCCAGAAGTAGAATAACCTAAAGATAGTACTGAAATGATTGCTATACTCTAAGCTCTGAAGCCTCAGCCCATCTAATTACTATAAAAACACTGATTATTTATTATAATTCAAAGGAATCTTTTACAATACCTAAAGATGAGTATGTGAAAATTGATAATGCTCTTCTACATGAAGAAGCTAAATAAACAAAAATAGAATTTCATGAACTTTAAATTAAATATGATGAACTACTTAAAACGAAGAGAAAACAAAAGATAACAAAAGAAATTTAATATAAAGACTTTTCTTAATTAACAGAAGTATAGCAATCAAATATTTAAATTTTATGAAAGAAAATGAATAAATTATAATTCCTGTATTCCTAGAGAAATGATAAAGCAAGTGTTAAAATCAATTGAAGTAGTTAAAAAAGTAATAAAAGAAATAAAAAACCAACTGATGTCAAAATTAAAGAAATTCCAATAGATATTCCATAATACAAAGAAGTTATTGTAAATAAGGAGGTACTAGTCTACAAAGAGATTCCAGTAGAAAAAACAGTCCCAAGAAGATAACAGTAGAGATCTGATATTTGATTGCAAAGAGAATGATTAAAGTATTTTTAATGATAAGAAAATTATATAATTAAACTATCATTTCATTTAAATTTAAATTATACTACTTATAAATTGATGGTTTCTTTATTATAAATCTTTAGATTTGAGACTTATTATTAAAAGTATAGATATAATATCGAATCATTTTTAAAGCTTAAGATTTCTCAAGGCTCTTCTTACAGATGGATGAGTTTCAGAGAAATAAATTAAATAAATGGAGATGGCCCTATCTAAATCATTTTTGGCATTTATATTCTATGCAATTTTGGTCATAGCAAGATTGTTCAGAATTTGTGCTTCAATCAAAGTGGATTTCTCAGTAATCTGACTCAATGATATTTCGTATAACTCTTATGCTTTTTTATACTCTCCCAAATGATAGCAACTACTGCCCAAATAATTAATGGTTAAAATTTAGGAGAGTCTTTCTTTTGGATATTGAACCTTAATATCATAAGCAGCATCGAAATACTCAATGGCGTCTTCAAAGTCATGATGGAAATAGTGTATTTCTCCAACAGCATGGTACAATTGACCCATGATGAAGGAATCCTATTTGATAATCTTTTTGATTTCTTCAATTGCCTTCATTCCCAATTTAATAGCTAAATCATGATTACCGAGATGAGCATAAACTATCCCAATATAGGATATTGTCAAGGAGATCTCAATTTTTAATTGATAGATTTCATAGATTACCAGTGCCTACACATAATAATCAATGGCTTTTTGATAACTAAACAATTGTTGGCAATTCTGACCCACTCTCAAGTAAATTTTGGCTAATAAGATTTGATCCTTAATGATGAATAATCTTAAGCATTTTTCGAAGTTCCTGAAATTATATGATTAAATGTTAACTTTTTTCCTTGTTGATATTGACTAATTCTAGATTAAAGCAACCCTAATATTAGGAGGGCTTCTACGTAAATTACATTAATTAGATTACTAGTTTGAAGATCCTCAACCATTTATTCTATCTCCTATATGAGTTCTGTAAATTATTTCTATATAAATATTTTGAATATATTGATACAATAGCCGATTCCACTTATCCTTCTTATTCATTAGCTATACCTTTCTGCAACATCTGGTATAGATTCATCAGTGTTTCATCATTCTATTCCTTGACTTAGGGACTTAAGATTTTATTGAAATCAGTAATTGTTTGTCTGGGAATGAAAACCAGAGAATCTCTAGAAAATAAGCAATGCTATTTTTGGATAGTCTCCGCCAACTTTTCGCATTAATCATTAATACTGCAATCTCTGGACTATTCAAATTGTTTTTTCTCAATCTTACTAATCTCACTCACTTTTTGTTACTCCTCCTCCTCTTCAAGAGTATTTTGAATCACAACTTGAGAGTTGTCTACATCTAATACTCCGGGAGTCTTGAATTATGAGTAAATTATACAATATATTCTGTTTACATAAGAAATTTGTCAGTGCATCTTTTCTGAAGAAACACTTGATATCCTTGTTTAATGTAATCGTTTATAATTCTTAGAATTTCTGTATCATTTTTGCTTGAGATTTCTACTTCATTCATTATTTAATTATATTTAAATTATTTATGATCAAAATCCCTACTCTAAACAGCCAGTTAAAAGTAAAATCAAAGACTTAAATTGGTTACTTCACATTAACCAATTATATCATACTATTTCTTAAAAAATAAGAATTGGCAATTGGTAGAGAAGAGAGATAATTAATTTGAAATTTTTAGAATTTGACCAATATAAAAATTAAATTTTGATATATAAAAATATAATCAATCCAAATGTTTAAGAATTAAAAGACCCCAACAGATTTAATTGGTTCTTACCTTTTGAAACAGGATTCATGATTGTTCTTCATTCAATTTTCTTTAGATGACATTTAAGATAACAAATAATTAAGTATTATTGAATGATTGATGAAGCATTAACTCTTTGATTTATTATTAATTTCTATATAAAATGTCACATATTAATAAATAACCTGGAATATATTATTTAGTTACTTGTTTTTAAAATGAATCCTAAGGGGGAGCTAAAAACTTGTACTGTTACACGTATATGATTATTTTTAGAAATAGAAATATACTAGAAATAGTTTGGGCTTGGATTATCTTGATTTCTGGATTAATTGTATTATTCAGAAGATATTAAAAACATAGGGATATCGCTCGGTTCAATCGTAAATAGATTATTGTTGCAATCATGGTTATAAATATGTGTGGTAATAATTTTAGCAATTTTTCAGCATATTTATCATATCAATGGTCTTATGAAAGTGCCTTACTATATTTTCCGGAGTATTACTTTTAATACATCTTTTTTTGTTATACCATCTATTACTTCGGTAGAAAATCAATTATCCTGGGAATGTTGAATATGAGAATGGATGTTACATCTTAAGATATTGATCCTATTATTTAACTAAAATTGTCCAAATTGTTTTGCATAGGATTATGTTCCTTTTTTACTATAATTTTCATAATGAATTACGTCTAATACTTATTTATCGTTAGTGATAATAAAGAATACGACTTATGTTCAGGTAGATAAAATTAATATTATTTAGCCAGCTTTTTCAATATCGTTACAACAGTAGGATTCTTTATGCAAGGTCTTTTCATTTTGTAAGTTAAGCAATTGTCAAGATAAGTCAATAAAAATTTGAGAGCCTAGAAATTTGATGATCCGATGAAGAAATTGAAGGAGTAGATTCAAAAGAATTAATCTTCTTTGTGGATTCTAGTGATCTTCTGTTTTTTTGGTTCATTTGCCAATTTCATGTAGAATGTCTATTTTGTCTCTAAGATTGCTAAATACAAAGATAATGTAGGTTATTTCACATGTTGGTATTTCAATGTAATGCATTATTTATTAAAAAGTTAAGTAGCGTATTTTGGAATAATTGTCTAAATGCATTAATAGGAACGACAATAAAGTTTTTTGATTTCTTTTTACCTTATTTTTTGGCTATAAAAACTTTTTGGTATAAATCAAATGAATAGCAATTGTTTGTATTGAATTTGTCTTAATCATAAGAACACATCCAATTCTGATTCAAATGAAGTTGAAGTCTATGAATTGTAGCTGTCCAATAATTAATCCTAATAAACATTATCATAAAATAATTAAGAAGATTAATGATTAATAATATTATTATATTCTTTAATTTATTAGAAATATTCAATTAAATCTACTAATTAACATATCTAATAGAAATATTAATTTCATCCTCAAATCATTATAAAGAATACTTTTGAAACAATGGAAAACAGTCCTTATAATAAAGAACTATAAAAGTTTTCTATTCATAAAAATTTTTATGGCGTGACATTACATTCTATCAAAATTGCAATTTTTTTTGTTAGAAAAGACAAATGAATGATGTAATTTTATTATTAAATTACTAAATTAATATTATGAATTAAGATTGTGTGGAATGCAAAGAGAAAGATTAAAAGATTAAAGAGTTGAAATAGAAGATTTCAGAATTGGAGGAATATATAGAAACCTTTGGACCTGAGTTTTCATAAGTAAAAGGACTTGATGAAAATTCAGAAAGGCTTTTGAAAGAAAACATAAAAAAGGCCATTGGAGATTTGATTGGTTAGGAACCTAAACAAAAGTATTTTAGAAATGCTTACTCTTAGAACTTCTCAATTAAAAGTTCCTTTTTAAAGGACTTAAACAAGCAATTTGAGTGAACTCTTAAGATAACCTATTATTGATGAACAACACACTTACCTTGGATAAAGATTTTTTGAACACTTTCTAATTATCGGTCCTGATATTGAAGAATTATAATAAGCTAATAAACAAACTAATCAATTCATAGTCAAACCTAAAATTCTATATCAATTCCCTAATGTCAATGAACATCTTTAGTAACTCTTACTATTATTATGTTAGTGATATTGTACCACTCTACACATTCCCCAATGGTATCTAAGCAAAAAAACTAGAAGCGTCTGCTAATAATTTTAATGACAAAGTGCTACCATCTTTAAAGCAAATTATCATGTAAACCCTCCAATTGACTAAAGGAGAAAATGAATATTCAATAACCATTCCCAGAGAGGATATCTAAGAAAATAGTAGAATGACTGTAAGTGAATTTGTCTAAGAAACAAATCCAAATGTCTTTAGGAATATTATTTGCTTCGAAATCAATGAATTTATTTGTTTGGATCCTAAATCATACAGTTGTTGGCTATGTCCAATTGTACATTGTTTTGTCAGCTATTACCCATTTATCAAATTCTTTTTAAAAGAGAATGCCAACATTTGGAACCAAATAAAATTAGAGAGAATCGAACCCTGTTTGTCTGAAGCGTCAAGTCATGAGGTTTTGTAGAGAGATTTCTTATTCATGAAGAACAAATTGAATACTACTATTATCAAGAGGTTATTTTCTTTAAGAAGTATTCAGGTTACCTACGACTAGAAATACCAATTAAATGAAATATAAATTCAAACCCCAAAAAAAGATAGTGCCTAATTCTTATCCTTCTTATGGGGTTGTGATTAAACTTTTCAAACTTTATCATTCAAAGAGTTGGTGTACTTAATCTCTCATGTTTTACTTTCTCAAAGAGTTATACTATTTTCTAAAAAGAAATCAGTGCTTTCTCATATCATGTTGACTGTTTTATCTCTTATGCATCCTTTTAATTATAAGTTACCATTTTGCATTTTCATTCCAGATGAACTCATAGATAGGGTAGCTGCTCCTTGTCCATTCTTTTTTGGAGTTATAGGAGAATATAAACATTACTCTTAAAGAATAGAATAAGCTCAATAAGAAGACATTACTCTATTTGGTAATTCTTAACCTTATCTTAGATCTTAATACTAAGAGAGTGTACTATTCTAAAGTCTAATCTCGAGATTTGAAAAATTGTATTGCTCCAATTAAAAAAAACTCACATTTAAAATAACTATATAGTATGATCAATAATTCCAAAGAAAATGCTTTTCAATAAACTGTTAAATAAAGATTACAAAGAATCGAAAAATCAGGAACTTCCAATTCTGCTCTGAAGGAAAATGAAAAATAGTATCAGTAATTGCTTAAGGATATTGCAAAATCATTCTTTACATTTTGGCAATCCACTATTGCTTAACATATCCCAGTGGATAGAAAATTCATTAAGAGCGGAAGTATTGCCTGTTTGAATTTGTAATTGATCTCCCAAGTCCTTTTATCAAAATGTCCTAAAGATTCTAAAAGATTTATCAAAGAACTCATTTAAAACCCAACATTTACAGGATATTTAGATGAACTATATGAAGTTATTTATTAATAAAATCAATGAATTAATTCATTATATACTAATGAATCTTATGTGAATTTCATCGTTTCATGATTAATATATAGTTTCCACTTCTTACTTTATAACAATACAGTAAAATAAACTACAAGATACTTATGCCAAGTCCTAATGATTTTAATCTGAATCAAACTCAAGAAAACTTAGTATTATGTTTTATCTCCAAATGATTTTCATTATTATAATCTATTAAAACTTAAGAATTTAATCTGGGTATAATATTGAAAACAAAATTAGTTGAAAATACTTAAAATTAGATACATGAATCATTATATATTATTAGTGAATTTGAAAATAAATTAATTTTTTGAGTTAATAATAATAATATAAATTCAAAAAAATGAATGAATTATAAATTTTTGAAAATTATCGATGCCTTTATCATCAAGTTTAATTTTTGAATTGTTTAATAAAACAAAATGATCAAGAATAGAAACTAAATATTCATGTACTATATTAATTAGAAAATTTTCATAGAATCACATATTGAATAGAGTTAAATAAATTTTGAATTTGAAAGACTAAAATTATATGAGGATGTAAGAAATATTGACTTTAAATGTAATTAATTGTTTAGAAGACATATTGAAATTAGAGTCATCAGAAATAAGATTATTGTATTCGAATATCAAAATTTTAGTAGAATATTTAATTTATTTAAACGAATTCATTAGTTAATAAGCATAATAAGTATTACTTGGAGATGTCGTGATTGACATTCAATTAATGAATAAATAAATAGATGAATGCATAAAAAAGAGCAATCTTATAAATACAAAACATAAGCATTTCTTTGAAGAGTATAATGAATTGTAAGAAATTATAATCAAGACAACAAACAACATTAATGAATCATCATAATTATTAACGGCAATAATTGAGGAAATCAAAGAATAACACTTAATAAACGAAGTATAGACGAAATGCTAATTAAAGAATGAGGATACAATTAAAAATCTCGAGTTGTAATTGTTAGAATGATTGTTATATATATCTGATAATGTATGTATTCTAGATTTCTCATTCAAAATCTCTACCACATAATGGTTCATTTTCCCAACAAGCAAAATTGCCATTCCATCTACCTAAATTAGCATCTTTGTTTCTGCTGTTAGTGACATAATTTAAATAGGGTTGTGTTCTAATTAGTAATGATCATACTTAGGAGTAGTGAATGCATGTCCTTATCTTCTATAATTTTAAAATTCATTAATTGCAATTCCAACAACAAAGGCTGCACCACAATACCACATTGACATATTTCGAATCAAACTAGGAAGAAAATCTAAAGGATTAATACTTGGAAACAAGTAAATTTCTGAATGAAGATCTCCAGACAAAATCAAATGGGTTTTGAGTGATTCCATGATTAAAGTCTATAGGTACTCTGTGATTTACGACTCTTCTAGAGAAGTTGTATTTTCCTACAAAAAAGTTGGATGATTCACTCATTTATTTTTATTAAAATAATAATTACTAATTTATAAAACATTTATCAATGAGTACAAAAGATGAATACTTTCTTCTAAGATATCTCTTGCTTAATTGATTTTTAATAGACATTACAGAATATAATATGTGAAATCTTGGATTGATGTATTGATCAACCACAAGATATTTGGCCATGTATTGGATAATTCAATTGATTATAAGTATTCTCATTAAATCATCATGATATTCTCAATAGAATTAGTATTCTTCTCAAAGCATCTTTTGTAAAAACTATATATGGATAATAAAAATAAATTGAGCTGATTTCTTAAGTCTAAGAGTATTAATTAATCGAATCAGTTGAATGATTATATATATATTATAAATCTCTGTTGATACTTAAAAGAAATGATTTAATATTTTTTTTGGAATGATTTAATATTAATTTATACTTTCATTTTAGTTATAGCTTTTATAAAACTTCTAATTCTGAGTATATGTAGATAGGCTATTTAGATTTGATAATTATTTTTTTCCCATTCTTTTGTTGCATACATAAGTCATTATCAAATAGTTATACTGAAAAGGCAAAGACTGGAGTTTCTAGTTTGGATTCAGGTTCCATTTTCATTGATTAATTTCTTTGAATTAGTTTTTTATACATCATATAAGTAAGAGTTGCTTTAGTGAGTTTTTTTCTTTTTTCTTTTAATATTTCTAAATTAGTTCGAACTTACTCTTTTTATTTATTAACTTCTTCTTTGTCTTTTTATTCATGAAAGGAGATTTGTTTCTTCTTGTCTTTTTCAAGAACTCCCATGGCTACCATTACGTTAATAGCATCATACACTCTCCTTTTTAAGTTTTATATCTCTTTTCTTCTTTCAGTACTTTACATTTTTTGAAGTTCATTTTGCAATTTTTCAATAAGAATATTAGCTAAGATTTTGTAGTTAGTGCTTTTTAAATCTTTAACTAGTGTTTTAATTTGAAAGCTAAGTCCTTTGAGACTCCAAATTGATTTACTTTTTAGTTTTTCAGATTCCGACGTCTCAGTAATGATAAATTCAGAGTCAGATTCTTATTTAGAGGAATCTGATTGCATATCTTCACCAACACATTTGGATAACCTTCTTTAAGATCTTTTCATTATCATAGAATAGAATATATTAAGAATTAATAATTTAATAATTAAATGGATAATTAATTAAATCGGTCGAACACAGTTAATATTGATATTAGTTGTAAGTCTTTTAATTATATTGGCAAGCATACAAGATAGCATCTACAATCGATACTATCAAAGAAACATAATTGGAAAGAAAGAGAAACCGATCAAAGCGTAGACTTCATGCAGCTTCCTTTCATGTAGGGAAAGATGTATAGAATAATTAGGAAAAAGGGGAAAAACAAAGACAAGAGGATCATTCATTGGATTAAATAAGAAGAAACTATGTACAAAAGATGAAAGCATTCCCTAAGATTGATGCTTATAAACATCTCAAAGGTTATTTACAGTTATAGGATCAAGAAGTTAAGAGAATCAAAAACAACACTAATTAGTTGTCATTTGGAACTCTGTACCCTTAGAATGAGTAGGAGGAGAACTAATTATCAAGTTTCTTGGTTGGGACATCACCAATAAGAAGAAACTATTCTAATAATCGATATGTATCAGAGAGTCCAGCAAGATTTCTTCATAATCAAGCTATCCCAAATTTAGATGAATATTTGAAGGATAGAAGGGCTCGCAAATTAATAAGATAGACAATAACCAAAAAAGAGGTAGTCCCATTAATAAATATGGATTTTAGCAACTTGAATAACAAATCTAAGATCTGGAAAATAAAAAGTTTAAATTGCATGAGAAGACTCAGGACCCTAGAAATCTAAGTTTGAATGAGTTGATTGAAAAATAAGTTCATAAATACATCCCTTATAAATTTGATGCTAAAGTAGATACTCGTAAATTGTATAATCTATGAGTATTATTTAGAAATACAGAGAAAATAATTAAATCTTCTGAAGAGGTTCCCATGACTATGTTAAAAGAGAAATTATTGACAGACAACATTAAGACTAATGGTGAAATGTTTAGCAGTATTAATCCATTGTAGTTATAATTATATTCTATAACTGACAAGATTCTGTAATTCCATAAATCAAAATGTAATGTTTTTAATATTAAAGAAAAGTACAATTCTGACATGATAAAATCTTTGTAAAAGAGTGATCACAACAGGAGACAAACTTTGTTTCATAAACACATGGTTTATCATTAAGAATAACAATATGCTAGTAGTTAAAAGGATTTATTTTATGTACAATAAGAATTAATGTCAAACTTGAATTAAAGAATACATTATAATGAAAATTTAACTAAGAAATTCCAAAAATTAATCACCATTTTGAGAGATGGACAGATCGAATTAGAAGATGATGACTTATCTATCTTGAATGATCTCAGATATATTATACTCAAAGGAAGAAATTTAAGTGATGAAGACTTCTTGGAGTTATTAAGGTTAAGAAACTTTACTATTTCTTTGAGTTGTTTAGAATTGATTGTGAACCACCTTTTTCCAAATAGCAAAAATGATATAATCAAAGAATACAATGAAAATCATTGTTGATATAATATTTATAGATATTTATTCAATCAAAAATTATTAGTCTTGATATTCTAATCTAAATCTGGTTATGAACTAACTTTTTCTCTTAAAAACTAATAATTATTCATCTATCGAAAGTGATTGCCTGGCAGAGTGGTACAATTACTTATGAGTATTTTAAATATCTACAAAAGTAAAATTAATTAATACTTTAACACATTCTAAATTCTCTTCGCCCATCAAATTTGCCATGATTTCCCTTTAATCTAACAATTGAATTGGGTTCTATGACTCTTCAAGAATCTAGCGAACATCCAAGAACTTTTACTCTCCAAGTTTTTTCTTCAAAAAATCAGCTAATAATAGATTTCTATTTGGAGATGTAGGGGTTTTAGGATTGAATAATTGTTTAGCAAATTAAGTTGGAGTTTCATTCTGTTATTATTGTTAATCCTCCTTTTCTATTAGATCAGTGTCAATTTTAATGACTTTCTTAGTCATTGGTTTCTTAATATTGGATTGTATTTATTCAGAGAATAGGTTTTTAAATAATAACGATTAGGATTTATTTTATGGAGTAAATATTGGCTTATGCATTTATTTTATATTAGATTAAAGAGAATCTGATTAAGCACTATCTATTTATTTAAGCATTCCTATCAATCGTTATTTATATAACTGTTGAAACTTTAGTCTTTCCTTCTTTATTTCTTATATTTCTAATATTTATGAGATTTCTGGTCTGTCTTAAGGATTCTTTTGTAAACATTGATTTATTATATCCTGATATAAATATGGGAATCCTTCTGGTAATTTTGGAGTTTCACTTGTTATTATATTTTTGAAGACTTCAGGTAGAGACTCTCCTTGAAATGGTTTCTATTTGGTGCATAATTCATAGAGAAGACATCCCAATCCCCAAATATCACTCTTTGTATTATAGGGTTTGGATTCACAAATCTCAGGTGACAAATAGTATGGAGTACCTTAAGAATCTATTCAAAATAAAATACCTAATTATGTGAGATTCAATGATGCGTCTAGCTTTTTAGAAATACTGAAGTCTCCCAATTTGATCTAAATATCTATTAATATTTATACTATGCCATCTTTAGTCAAAAACACATTTTTCATTTTTATATCCTTATGGACAATATTCATTGAATGTAAGTATTGTACTGCTTAACACAATTATGTAAACCAATTTAATATGTTTGATGGATTGCTCTTCGTGTAAATTTATAGATCATCTACATTTTAGATATTTTTTTGAAATACAATTTTCTGCAAACTCCATTAAAATGCATAATTAATCATTCTACACAAATGAACTATAGTATTTTATGATATTTGGATGTTTCAAAACCTTTAGCAAAGTAACTTCATTTGTTGGATCAACACTCTAAAATTACAAATCGATTAACTTGAGGGCAAATTTCTTTTGTTTTCTCAATCCTATACCTATCCTTTATTGTCTTCAACCAGCCAAACATCACCAAAATTCCCTTTCCCAATCATTTTTATTCTTGTATACTTATCCATTCGATTCTTAATATTATTATAAATAAGTTAGATTTACATAAAAACAACCCTTTATTTTCAATATAAATTTGAGTAACTCTTTCATATTTGCAGAATATATTTAAATTAATTAAATAACCATTTGACACAATGTTTATACTATTATATAATAAAACAAAGCACAAAACAATAGTTTTCAAACTATTAAAATTTAAATATATCATCATTCTGATTTTTAAATTCTTATTTATAAATATATGATATTATTGATTTTTTATTTTATCTCTGCCAAAGCTTTAATCACATATGATTAAGGATATTATAACGGATTCTCACTCCCTGTATCGCCAGGTTTTATTTGCAAAGACAATTTTCAATAAATAGAAAATGTGCCATTTAGAGAAGCTTTTGCTAATATTCCTTAAGTTATTTTAGGTCTTGAGTTTTTAAGTTTCGATAAAGGCATAAATTATAAACTATCAATTACAAGCACTACAACAACATGTAAATTGAATATAATAAATTAAGATTTCGAAATTTAAATAGAATGCATTACTTCGATTCAAGTATTCTCTGTTGAATTCTCATGGTATGCAATAGATGACTAAAGAATTCAAGTGATTAATAACTTCAATATGAACCCTCCTGATGTGAAAGTATTTGATCACATTAATCCAAATTTTGAATCTGGAATAGTATCTATTACGAGTCTTGGAATTTAAGGAGACATTGACTTTTAGCTTTCAGTATTATCTTTATATCTAAAATCAAGATCTCATCCATCACTCGAACTGCTGTTTCAGTCAGTATTACAAAAGTCGCTAACAAAATTATTAATCTAACTCAAATTGGATATTAAGTAATATTAGGAATTCAAGAAGCATTTAAGGATTCTAATAATTACCCACTTTCTAGTGCATATAATAGTGGAACTTTGAAATAATATTCAAATCGATGGTTATTTTTAAGTTTTACTGGGTTTAATATGAGCAGTACTCTAAAATAAAAGGTTACTAGATATCTATCACCGTTATCATATTAAATGAACACTTGTAAAGACTATTATAATATTTTTTAGTTGATGTGGGATTCGTTAATTGTAATCATCAAATTTCTTGGTTAGCCTATCAATTTACAACTATTTACAAACCTTTTGAATGCTAGAGCGTAAGGCTATCCTAATCAAATGATGCTTAGGCTTCAACAAAACCTCCAATATAAATTTATATATAAGAATTAAATCTTACTTTAGATTAGTCATCAAACAATATAACCAACTAATTAACATTAAATTTTTAAGTGTATGTAAAATGTTAAACACAGAAAAAAATTGTAAGTCAATTTCTAAGATGTTATGAGTGTACAACTAATAAATATCATAAATTATAGAATTATTGTAATTAATAGATAGATGGAGTTACTTATTTTCTAAAATACTATTAATAATAACAGACCTTTAAAAAATTATCTATATAAATTGCTTCAGATAGTATTAATATAATCCAAGTACTTTATAATCAAGTCCAAATAGAATAGAAAATATTAGAAATTTCAGTACAAAGTATTTGAATGATCAACATGATAATTAATAACATTCCTTACACATATATTATTGCAAGTTATTTTGATTAAATATCTATCTTACACTAATTAAATTAATTTTGATATTTATATAAGAATTATCAATATATTTATAATCATTACATTCATCTATTTTCCATTTTCTGCATTATTATTAAAGCCTATTTATATTTAATTTTTAATTAAGTTAATTCACTAATTTTTTCTGACAATTCTCTATTCAACCTCTCAGTTTGAGATAAATCAGAAGATTACATCTTTTACTATAATTAATAATTAAAACAGTTACATTATTGTTAAAAATTTATTAGATTTTTTAATTTGATTCTTTCAACGATCTAATCTGTTGTTTTAGCTCTTAGTTCTCTTAAATCATTTCCTAATAAATATTTGAACAGTGGTACCTTTAAATGTTCAATTTAATTTTAAGATGATTACAATTAATTTTCAAGTGTTAGTACTCTTGCCTACAAACTCAAAGTTTCTGCTTCTTTTACTTAAGTACTTGAAGTTAAAACTTATCTTTTAAGAATTTCTAATTCATATTTTAATTCTTCTATTTCTGAAATTCTAGCTGTGTTTAATCGTTGTTGTAATTGATCAATTTATTAGTTTAAATTTCCATTTTGAGTTATTCTTTCCTCTCTTTATTATGAATTTCTACTTTGATATTATATTCTTGGACTACTTAATGGACTGTTGATATTGAGTCTTTTGAGATTATCATTTTCATAAATTAATTTGGATTAATAATCAAAGAGTTCTGTATTTTATTTTCTTAAGTTTTCATTTTGCAATTTTGTGATTTCCAATTCTTTTAATATTTCATTTAAATATTCATACTATTCTTTAAATTTGTTTGGACTAATTAGTCTTTGTTATGGAATAGGTTATTACAATTATAGTTTTAATTAATTAATCTCAAATTCTTATATTTAACATTTTGACTAATACACTTTTAGTTCTTATCTAATAACATCTAAATTATGCATAATTTCTGATCTATTAAAGTTGAAGTCTTTTGATCTCTCAAAATTTTTCTGATTGATCGAATAACTTAATTTATATTATTGATCTTATTCAGATTTAGTTAATAATAATATTTATTTTTCTTAATCTGAGTTAGCCAATAATAATTATTATTTCTCTTTGACTAATTGACTATTTGCAAATTTCAATTCATCTAAAATTTAAGTAGATTGGTTCTATTATTATTTTAGCGTTACCAATTACTCATCATCCTCTTTCACTTTTTTTTTTAATTCTAAAATTTATTTTTATTAGTTTTAGTTTATTTCCAACAATTCTAAATTCTCTTATTTTGCATTGAATATTTAATTTACATAATTTTCAATATCTTCCTTATTAGTTTCCAAAACTTATACATGTTTAGCTTATAATTACTTTTGTTATAAATCTTAAAATTCTTTCTAATATCTTTTACATAAAATCTTTTGGTCATCCAATTCTAAATTTAATTTTTCTAATTATTTTCTTAAAGTTTAGATTTCTTATTCATAATTATACAATTAATTACTATTATTATTCTTATTATTTAATTTTGAATCAATCATTAATAATAATTATTTATTTTAATCTTTCTAATTTTCAAGGTCTTTCAAATGACTCTAGCAATTTAATTGCAATTCTTCAAACTTGATTTTGTATTATGTATTTTATGAATTAAATTACGAGTTGATATAGCTTTATTAGAGCACCTCTTCATATTTCCTTTTCCAAAATGAGGCACTTTCCATTTTATCTAAAGAATGGTTCTGTTGACGCTATTCGCTTGTTGATATTCTTGAATTCTCTTTAATTTAAATAATCCTATTTTATCTTGGAGGATAAAGTGTGCAATCATTATACTATCTTGATTAATTAACTTAAGCTTATAAACCTTCTTAGTTTTTTAAAATAGTTCTTAATTTTAATAATTAGTCATTTGCCTTAAATAATTCTTATCTAGTTATTAATAAATTCTATATAGTTTAATCTAATTCGTGATCTTTAGATTAGAGTGATTTTTTTAAATTGTGAATAATATTTTCCTTCTCATCCAAAAGACTTTCATCGATAACATATATTTGACCATCTAATTATGTTGATTAATCTTTTTTTATTTTTGATGAGATTTTAGACTATGAAGAAACTACTTGGATCTTATATTAATCTATCTAATAATTCAAATAATCGATTTCTTTTTTATTATTTTTTTTATTTAAATCTAATTATTTATTTAACATTACTACTTAATCTCTATTACTAATAATTTATTGTTTTAATCTTTGATTTTCTTACTTTTCAAAAGAATTTTCAGTTTATAAAGATAATACTTCATGCTTTAACTCTTGATTTTCATGTTACTATTAATTAAATAAGTCCTTAATATTGTTTGATTCCAATTGCATCTACTCCTAATTATTTCTTAGTTAGGTAATTTCATTTTCTAAATCTTTTATTATTTGAATTTATTATTAATTTTCAATTTAAACTCTAGGGGAAGAAGTTGCAGATTGTAATTTTTTTTATGATTAAATTTTATTCTATTATCTTGCCAATATTAATTAATTACTTAAGTTTTGTATTTAATTTGCTAAATTTTAGTTTTCTTGCATTAATTTTTAATCCCCATCCACATAGAGTACAATTTTACTTTCCAACTCTTTAATTTTCTCGTTTAATTGAAGTTTTTAAAATTCAAAATCTTCGCTTAAAATCTTTATTTATTATTTGAAATCTTATTGTTATTTTTACATTTAATCATATAGTACAGCTTTTTCATCTAATAATCTCCTAATTTAAATCTCTAAATCATTATTTTTATTATCTTATAGATTAAACTCTGGTTATTTATTAGTTTCTTTTAGTTGATCACCATTTTCTGAAATACTGATGGATCTTGAATGTTCTTTCACTTATTATTCTTCTAAAGCACTTAATCTTAATTTGATTAACGATAATTATGTTTGATATTCACTCTCCTGTTCTTTGAATATTTGTTGTAAATCATCATTTTTTTGTTATAATTAATTATACTCTTTAGTAAGATTCTCAAAATCGCATTACAACTAATCCAAATCATTCTATTTTTATTCTAATTCTATTTTCGATTGTTCTAATAAATTTTGTAATAAATTGATTTGTTCTTGTGATTATTGTGGCATTTCTTAACTTTCTTTCTTTATTTCAATTTCCTTTTAACTCATTTAAATTTCTTAATCCATCTTTTCGACCTTAATACAAAATTGATTATCTTCACTTTTATTCTGATTTAATATTGCACTTTTATAAAAGTCCAATTCCTATTACAATTTATCATTCTATAGTTAGAGGGCTTAAATAGTTTAATTTGTTACTACATTTTCATTTTTTAGTGAGTTTATTTCTTGTTTCAATAGCTCTTATTATTATGAGTTTTCTAATAAATCCTAATTATCCTATTTTAATTGTAAAATTTATTAGTCTAATTCTTAAATAAACAAATTTTGTTAATTATACTCATTCATTTTCTATTCGTCAAACTAAGAACCTAGACTTACTTACTCTTCTTTATCTTATTAAAACTAGGCTTGATTTATTGTTTGAGTCATTTAGGTAATTTTTACTTAAGGATTCTCTGTTTAAATGGATTAATTTTAACAGATTTTGTGTTATCCTTTCTTAAGATTATTTAATTCTTTCTATAATGTAACAATGGTTGAATTTAAATTTCCATTTTCTTCTTTTATAACCATTTAAAATTCGTCTGACTTCTCTCTATCTTTTGAATTTTTATCCTGAAGTTATTTTATCAAGTATGACTATCTTTGATTTTATACCTTCAAATATTATAGTTACTCTTCTAGGTTCTCAACTTATCTTTTAAGTTATTAAATAGTCTATTTATCTTAATTAGATTATGCTTGTAAATCCTTAAAACTATAATCTGATTATCTATTTAGACTATCTTTAAGTTTGGAAATATTATCTTTTTAGAATTGTTTAAATAATTCATCTGATTCTAATGAATTTTTGATATCTGATTGAGTAATATTTTTTTGATGTGATTCATTTGTAGGTTTTTAATTGATTTGCTTTTGTAACTAATGAAATTCATTTTATAAGTTTTCAAGTTCATTTTAGGTTTTTTCTAATTGCTTTTTATCTAGGAAATCAACTTATACAAGCTAATTCCTTTTGTTTTAGCAAAAGGGTTTTTAGTTATTTGATTTTGTTGATTGGGATCTTATTTGCTTTTATTATGTATCATTATCCTCATTCTTAGAGAATAATTTTTTCGGTTTAACAGTAGATGCCAAATCTGATTTATCTTCAGATTTAGCATCAGATTCCTCAATTTAATTCAGATATTTAACATAGGTATCATTTAAATCATTTGGTAGTTCCATTCTTTTCAAATGTAACAAGGTTGCACTCAATCTAATCTATGATAATACTTTTTCAGGTGTAAATTAACCATCTTATTAAATTTTTTCTATTTTTTTTAGTGTTTACATAAATTCTTATGAATTTTAATTCGATGTTCGCTGTGGTGAATCAGAAGGATTTTAAGAGTCTTTTATATTATTTTTTCCTAAAAACTAATAATCTGAGAAAGCACTAAACGGCTCCTATTAAACAACTTTTGTTACTAATCGATATTATGGTTAACCATTGACACTCGATTTTTAAGAATGAGATGGCTTTAATTATTATTTCAATTTTTCATTTTCTTCTAGAATACTATCTATTTTTTCATTTAGAAATTGATTTTCTAATTGCATTCTTAAAAGTTCTGACTTTTAATCTGATAATTCTTAGCTGTGACTTTAATCATAGGATGAATTTCTAATTTTGAGATTTGTGATTTCTTGATCTTTTTTTTATAGCATTTCTTCATAATTGATTTCTAATTCCTTGATCATATCTATGAGTTCCGGATTTTCAGGTGGGTTTTTCTTAAAAATAATATTCATTTCATTTAGAGTTTCAATCTATTTTTTTGCTCTATTTAATTAAGAGGTGACTTGTTTCAGTTGATTATTCAATTTTTTATTAACTTCATCTGGACATCTAATTGTTTAAATATTTAAATACTTCTCATCAAAGATCTCATTAATAAAATCATCTTTTATTAACAATTATTGATTCAATGTGGCAATTTTGACTTCTTAATTGTCAATTTTATCTTTGAGTAATTATTCTAATCATTAAATAGTAAGGCTACATGTTGTTTCTAATTATTATATTTTATCTTCATATTTGTCTGTAATTAGGATTGCTACTTTATGGAGTCTCTCTATTTCAAGTCCTAATAACACCAATTTAATCTTATAATCAATAATTTCATTCTCTATGAGTTGGCTTTTGATTGGAGATCCTATCTTAGGAGTGTTAGGAATTAAAACTTGTAGAGTCTTTTTTGGGGTAAGCATATAAATAAAAATTATTGAGAAAAATATATTTGTAATTAATTTTATTTATCATCCCTAACCAATATTATAATCTAGAACTATTTTGGATTAGTTAATAACGTTGCATTAATTGAATTATTTATAGATTTATTATTTTTTATTTAAAATGAATTGGTTGTCATAAAAAGATGAACATGATAGCATTTTTAATAATGGGGGAGATTTTTGGTTACCAACAAAACAACAAGAAAACCAATAAAATCTTATATTTTAAGGTAAGGCATATTAGAAACAAGTAAAAACTAGAAAGTGGGAAGCTGTACATTTAGAATTATATGTTGACAAGTAATACATTTCATTATTCAAATAGATTGGTTAGAATTGCAAATAATCAGGCAGAATACTGTAACATTAACGCTTGCTACTTAAAAAAGATCAAGTATTCTGAATCCTCGTTTTAACCGTATAAACATGGCTTCAGATTGCATTATGGTAAACAGAGAGTAGAATTCTTCACAGAAAGTCAAGATCATTATGAAAGATGGTAATCTGCTTTGAAAAGGTACTGTATTCTAACCAAATTTAACAAAAAATACAAACTTATATGTAAACATAAATTAAATGAACCTTATCCATCATGTACGTATAAAGCATAAAGAAATTCTGATGGACTGTTCTTTTAAATTAGAATCATTGAAAAGAGTTAATTAGATGATCCAGGCTTAGTCTTAAATGATATAGCTATTTTAAGAAGAGTTGATCATGTTTATGTGTAAAGATTGTAAGAAGTCTATGAAGATTAAGTTTATTTATATATTGTGTATGATCAATATGCTGGAAGAGAATAAAAATTTTTACTTCCTCAATTGTTACAGACAAGTGAAAAAGTAGTAGCAGAATTACTTTATAAATTATTATTGGGATTACATCACATTCATAGCAAAGGAGTCTTTCATAGGGATATCAAATTTGACAATATATTTAACAGATTCCCTGATTGTATAACTGATTGCTGTCTTGTCAATTTTTCAAGTGCTGATTTTCATGAAAATAAAATGCATAGAAGAATAGGTACTCCAGGATTTATGGCTCCAGAAATCTTCAAAACCAAATAATATGATTAATAAATAGATGTATTCTCTTTAGGAGTAATATTTTATTATATTGTGTTTGGCAAGATGCCCTTTGGGACAGATCTAAATGAAGTATATTTTATAATTTAAGTAGAGAGGTGCTTTCAAAAAATGAATAAGGAGATATTGATTATCCAGAATTCTGTAGAATCTCAGTCAGTGGTCTTTAGTTGATGAAGCTTATGTTACAAAAAGATCCATAAAAAAGATGCACTTCTTTTTAAGCTTTAAATCATCACTGGTTTATAAATTTAAAAATAAGAGATTTATTGGGAAAACCGAGTGTGATGATGAATTAGATGAAAATGGGGTCCGGACTTAATTTATCAACGATTTTGGAAAAATCTGATATGATAGATAATTCAAATATGTCAATTGCTATCACTCCTAGAGGTGTTATTAAGAAAGCTTAAATGTCAAGATCCAAATCTACAGATATAAATATATTAGATTAAGAATTTATTTATGAGACTGTCGCTGACAAAATGAAATGCTTAACAAACACTATCCCTCAACCATCGAGAATAAAGCACAAATAAAATAAACTGTAAATGTAAAAATGAATGAAATAGAGTTATCATACTATTGCTTTTTAGATTTCAGTTATTCTTTCAAAATAATAAAACATATTATAGTTTAGACCTCAAATGTATTATTTTTTTAATTCCTAATCACAGTTTTTTCATACCTCTTAGGTCTTCTTTTTCCCGTCATCTTATCTGATAATTTAAATCTCTCCTTCTTGTATTCCGAACTCTTTATTTCACTACTTTAAAAATAGATATTTTAATGGGATTAAGGCATTTTTAATATGCCTTTCAAAGGTGAAGCGGAAAAATTCGATTTTCTTTTCATTTACATAAATTATGATTATTGATTTTTTCTAAAATTGCTATAATTTTTCAGATGCGACTTAAGACAAGCTTTCATGTATCGATTCTGTTTGGGAATTTTTTTTTTGCAAATCTCTATGAAATTGTTTTCACTAGACCCTGGCAGACAGAAATTTTCAGAATTAATTTCACCAATTTGTAGATTCTCGTTTAGTAATTCGAAATTAAAACTCTATTAGAAGAAGTCTTCTTCAAATCTATCCATATTTTCTTGAAGATTGTAAGTATATTATTCAAGAAAATATTATTTATTTGGTATCTTCTTGACTTAAACTTTGATAAATGTCTTATTCGCTATACTTTACTCATTTTAATCAAACTTACATATACTTCCCATTTTATTGACAAAATATTTATAATTTAAACTTATTGCAATTGAATATTTCGGTTTGATTAAATAAATCTAAATCAAACTAATTATCTAGATGTTGTTAAACTAATTTTATTGTAATAGTTTCATAAACTCATCTCTTTAACTTTAAACAATATATTAACGCATATTATATTTGATATGATATTTTTATATTCAAATGCTCTTAGGATAATTGATCAAAAATTTCATACGATTTACTCAGTAGTATAGATATTAATAAAATAAATATGGTTTATCCAAAAAATTAAATCTTTACAACCCAAAGTATATAAACAGATTGATTTATATTCATATAAATCTTCAAAAACAAGTTAAATTAAATTTTTAAAACAAATATTAAGATGCTAAAACAGCTGGCATAAGTGTAAATTAAGATAATTAAGATTTACTAAAATTAATTTTATAAATTTTATAAAAATACACCTAAAGTAATTTTTATAATTAATATATGATCGTCATTAAAATTTATTGAATATAGAATTGCCAAATATAGTAATTGGATATAACCTACTAAAATATTAATTAAGTACTATTTTTTTTGTCAATTTTAATAATTAGTCAAAATAATTATTTTAAGAAGGGCATATTGATTGTTTAAAAAGTCAGTAATTTCTTATTCTTCAATTCATTATTTTTTTATTAATAAAAATCGTGTAATGAATTTAAATCACTCAACTTCTTAAATTAGGTACTAAAATGTAAGATTGCTATAAATTACTTCGACATACTTTGAATATTCAGCAATTTAAAAATCAAATAAGAGAGAAGTAATATTAAAAATACAAAATTCCATGAATTCTAATGTTTTGCAAGAAGAAACTGCAAAGTTGATACAAGTCTAAGACGTAGAAGGCATACCTGAAGTAATAGATTATGGTAATAATAATGATTAAAGGTATTTTTGATTTTAAGAATAGATATTTTTTAGCGACTTAAACTTTAGGTCCTTCTTTTAGTTAGATTATGAAAATAAATGGATAATTTTCTTTAAAAAATGTGTTATTGATTGGTATTTAACTAATAAAGCTAATATAAAAAATGCATGATAAAAAATATATTTTGAGTAATATACTACCATGCAATTTCTGTATGGGATGTGAGTTAGAAGATAAATTAATATATTTAAAGGATTTAACTTTTGTATAAAGCAAAGAAAGCAATATAAAAGTTCTAAAGTTTCCAATTAAAGAATTTAATTTTATAAGTCCAGTACTTAATATTGAGAAAGGAACGAATTAGATTGATGAACTTTATAGTTTGGCATACTTATTAATATATCTAATTCATGGTAACTGAAAATATCAATCTTTAATAGGAACTTTACCTTGGTAATAAATTGACCAATTGATCAGCGAAAAATAATTTTATGAATTATAAAAGTATAAATTAAAAGTTACTTTTGATTAATCATTTTTGGAACAACAATCATCAGTTTTTGGAGAATGGTTTAAGTATTTAAGTACTTTAAAATAAAGCTAACATCCAAATTATAATTATTTAAAAAATATTCTAATTTCTAAAATTTATGAAAATGGATGGAAACCTAATGATTAAATCGAATATAGGAATGAATAAGTGATTCATAGTTCTAAATCAATTGTATCTATAAAAAGCAGAAGTAGAGGAACCTCTATAACAAAGACTCCCAATTAAAGAATGATTGAAACATTGAGCCCAATATTAGAAGTTGATAAAGAATTCGAGTTAGCTCAGTCAGTTTAAAAGCAAAATGAGGAATTATTTATTTTTTAGAAGTTTTAGAACATAAAAAAATTAATAGAAGATTAATAACAGACTGAAAACAATTTAAGTTTTACTTCAATTGGATAGAATGAGTGTGAGATGTGGAAGAAACTGGAGACATTAGAAAACTTATCAAGGCCAATTTATTTAATGAATAAGTTCGAAAAAATGTGAATTGATACTTTATTATTATGACTTGTATTACTAATTATATAATTGATAATTGTAAAAAAGATTGAAAAATGAGTTTATTGATATTAAAACTTTATTTATATATTAATAAATCTTCCTTGATCACTCTTGTTGCAACTATTAATATAATTATTGTTATTATTATTATGAAAATTAATTATCTTCTTCACCCTAAGTTAATAATTGTATATACCACTTCTGTATTTAGAGGAGTATCACTAACAATATGATTGTTCTAAGTAGTGACTTCATATTTATTGGGATTGTGAGGGGGCTTTTCAACAGGAGTAGCTAGTTTCATGTCAGCAAGAGCATTTTTTAATTGGTCTAATTGTTACTATTGATCTTCATCTTCCTAGGTTTGTTCAAGCTATTATTAAACTTCCTCTCTATATAAGAATATTAATTTATAATTACACTAATTGAGGCGGGCTTTCTACTGGAAATAAAGGTTTAGTGCCATCAGGATTCCAAGGACCAATATTTAATGACAAAGCATCAGTGCTTTCGCATTTTGAATTACCACCTAGAAAATCAGGTAAATTATCAATATCAATATGCTTTAATAATTCCTCTTTATAAGAAGAACCTAGGATAGTTATTTTATTTTTTGTTTTTTCATCTAACCAAATCTTAATCATTGCCCAAATTCCTGTGAACATCATCGGTGCATTAACAATATACATTCTAAATGAAATATCATAATTATTACTTTCCAAGAATTTCAGGGTAATTGTTTTAACCAATATTAGAGGCTAACTAAATAAAGTTGTAAACTTGCTTTGAAACCATCTTCATTGATCCTCCTTTCAGATCTAAAATTGTGAAAGATTATTCAATCTTTGTTCCTTTTGCTTATGAACAAGCTGGAAAGATTCTTTTGAGCAATAATTCATAGGATTGAATGTAATATTTAATTAAACGTTGTTCTGTGGTCACTTCAAACAACTTATTTAATTGAAGCATTCCAATTCTTTCTATATAAATAGGTCTTCCCTTTATTATAAATTTCAGATTGTACCATTTTATCAGTCTTATGATATCCATGAGGATAATGTGTTCTTACTTATGGTAATTCATCAAACATGTATGTCTATGGTTAATTAGATCAATACCATAATATTATCAACATCATTCTCTTTTCGCCACTTTATGAAATCATTAAACATTTATTGAGTTTTCCCTAAATCAAATTTTCTGGCCCTCAGGAATCTCAATAAATATGGATCATCATATGATTTTTCGCTTAATCCCATTTGATTTACAATATTTCTAAAATCACTCAAAGCTTTTAATTAAGTCTGATTACAATCGCCTGGAAATCTATTTTATACAATATATAAAGTTACCCTGTATAGTCTTTGTCCTTTTTACTCATAATTTAAAGATTTAATTTATAAGAAGACAATATTTGATGTTGTATTTAAAATCAATTACTATACCTAATATAACATGTGTATTTTTATTTTCCAATTCATAAATATTCCATGAATATATTAATTGTTTGTTTCCCTCAAAGAAAAATTCCAAAATTTCTGTTTTCTTATGGAATGAAATAGACTATTTTATAATATTTAATTAGTTGGCTCATTAGATTTTTCTCAATTCATTAAATAATAAATACAAAGATTTTATTTAAATTTAGAAATAAAGCAAGATTTCTATCTCCCTTTGCCAATTAATCATCTATCTAAGAAAATAATTATTACAATATTTTTATTTTTATAATGCACTCATTAATTTTTTAAGGATAACATGTCACATATTCTAATTTATTTTCTCTTTAATCATAGTTAAATAATTCAAAAACAAAACTCTCAACTAATTAAATTTGAAAGATTATAATTTGTTACATACGTACGATTTTTATTGGAATATTTGCCTATCGATTAATCATTATTTACATATGCATTAAGCTAGCACAAAGTTCAAAAAGAAATAATTATATATATTGAAATAAGATAAATTTAACATCATATTCTTCTGTTGTTTAAATATAACCAAGGAAGTTTTTGAGCGTAAAATTTCATAATGATTCATTTTGTTATAAGTAAATATAATTAATAATGAATAAATTTATAAGGAAAAACTCTTTAAATTAATAATCGTTGAAAGAATAAGAAACAAAAAGGTTGAAACAATTCATTCTTTAAATTGAATAACAGCCATCCTTATATGACTCATTGACAGAGGAATAAATTTTTGGAATTTTGTGCATTATCCTTACTAAATCATCCTATCACAGAACTTAATCTGAAATAGAAATCCTCAAAAAAGCAACTAAACATATTGTTTATTTTCAGAAATTATTAGAAAAAGATTAAGGAGTTTTACTGTGGGAAAGGTGCCTTAGAAAAATGAGTTATACTTATTTATCATATGGTTAGACATTATTCCATGAAGGTACTGCATTTTAATTATAAAAAAGGGGATGTTGGAACAACATTTTATATAATATTATAAGGACGAATTAGTATACACAAACGAATTTTAGTTTAAGATGATTTTTAAGATAAGGAATTAATATAGTTATAAGATGGGTAAGCTTTTGGAGAATTAGCTTTAGAAAATAATGAGCCAAGATCAGCTTCTGTTAAAGCAATTCTTCCAACTCATCTGGCAGTGTTAGAAGCTGAAGATTATATGGTAATTAAGAAAACAGTGGTATATTTATTGATATTGAATTTAAGATAAATTAATAAAGACAAATGTACTTTGAAGAATTTGCAAAATTAGCAATATTCAAAAGTTGGAAATTCATGAGCATAAAATCATTATTTGATGTAATAAAGTAAAATAAATACGGGCTTAATCATATAATTTATAAAGAAGGTGACCCTTCAAACGATGTATATTTTATTTCAACTGGATAATTTAAAGTAATTCTTTTCTCTCTCAACTCTCTAGGTGATTAAAACTCTTCGGATAAAAAAGAAAGTTGAAGATAATTAAATTGAGGATGATTTAGAGCTTCTCAAAGATTATTTTGCTTATACAAAACCAGTTCTATCAAATTAGGACAAAATAGATATGCTTTATTAAAAAAAGAAATACGGAAACTTGATTGCAGGAGATAAAAAATCAATTATGACTTTAAAGTTTGTTGGGGCTGGAGAAATGTTTGGGGAGCTCGAAATCTTAAAGTCAAATGATCTTTGTCGCCAATTTAGTTATGTTTCCACTTTCGAAAGTAATACTGTTTACTCAGTTTCAAAAAGAGATTTTTTAAGAGTTCTACAAAATGATTAGCCCCTTTTTGAAAGTTTAAATGTTTTGAATGATGATAAATTAAAGTAAGCACTTGGATAGATTAAAGCATATGAAAAAAATTTTATTGATTAAACGGAAAAATAAAACATCCTTTAAAGAACCTAAATAAAAGAACAACTCAATCCTAAACTCTTGACTGATGATGATATCGAAAAGAATGTTCTGGTGAAAAATTAAAGTTTATTATGCAAAATAAGTAGCAAAAAAAAATCTATCGATAAAAAAATAAGGGAGCTAACCTTAACACTTGAGCCTCCTAAAAATGAAGCTGATTCTACTAATTTACTTTCTCAACTCTATCTTTCTGAAAGACATAGAAGACAAAAGACTGAATAACAAATTGTTTCAATCTCAAAAAAAACTCCTTTAATGAAGAAAAGATCATTTGAAACTAGAATTAGATGTGTAAATACTACACAGCCTCAAGACATACCAAAATTAAATGTTTTTATATGCACAGTTATTACTAAATTGTTTAAAAATTAATAATTAAAGACAGAAAAAACTGAAGAGGACTTGTTAAATTATAAATTACAAAAATCTAACTATAATGAAATAAAGAAGAACCTTGAAATTCTTTAAGATAGTCCAAGATTAGTCTAAAAAAAGACTGGAAGTGAAACTACATTAAGCAAAAGAATTCACTCTACTACATCAAGATAGTAAACTAGTCCAGTTACATCGAGATTCAAATAGATTGACAAAATTACTCCAATTTCATTTAAGACTTAGCTCCCATTTGTGCTATAAAATAAATACTTTGGTTTAACCTCTAAAGAACAATGATTTATTTTATAAATTGACAATCACTAGTTCAATAATTTAAATCATGATATATACATAATCCAAACGCTAAGTTTCACTTAAATCCATGAAAATCTGATTGATTAACTATTTTCCACATTGATTTTTCTTACTTTATTGTAAATTGTTTAGATGCTATGGATTATAAAGACATTCTTTTTTTGGTGACGCTACTCAACAGTTTATTATAATAAGCCGGATTTTACAAATAAGATGATATTGCATTCTTTTTAACATATTTTGCAGATCGAAGGTTAAGTTTAGCAGTTGAGAGTATTTATGTTTCTAAGTAATTATGAAGCTATATATTTTCCTTCATGAATTAATTTTTGCACTTATTTTATGCCAAACTGACAGATCTACATCGTATTTCTTTCATTAGATTTTTCGATTCATTCTTTAAACTATCACATCTTCTCATAATAATTTGGGTTTATCTGTTAAAACATTCTTTCATAAATTAAATTATATACAAGNTCAGTTTCAAAAAGAGATTTTTTAAGAGTTCTACAAAATGATTAGCCCCTTTTTGAAAGTTTAAATGTTTTGAATGATGATAAATTAAAGTAAGCACTTGGATAGATTAAAGCATATGAAAAAAATTTTATTGATTAAACGGAAAAATAAAACATCCTTTAAAGAACCTAAATAAAAGAACAACTCAATCCTAAACTCTTGACTGATGATGATATCGAAAAGAATGTTCTGGTGAAAAATTAAAGTTTATTATGCAAAATAAGTAGCAAAAAAAAATCTATCGATAAAAAAATAAGGGAGCTAACCTTAACACTTGAGCCTCCTAAAAATGAAGCTGATTCTACTAATTTACTTTCTCAACTCTATCTTTCTGAAAGACATAGAAGACAAAAGACTGAATAACAAATTGTTTCAATCTCAAAAAAAACTCCTTTAATGAAGAAAAGATCATTTGAAACTAGAATTAGATGTGTAAATACTACACAGCCTCAAGACATACCAAAATTAAATGTTTTTATATGCACAGTTATTACTAAATTGTTTAAAAATTAATAATTAAAGACAGAAAAAACTGAAGAGGACTTGTTAAATTATAAATTACAAAAATCTAACTATAATGAAATAAAGAAGAACCTTGAAATTCTTTAAGATAGTCCAAGATTAGTCTAAAAAAAGACTGGAAGTGAAACTACATTAAGCAAAAGAATTCACTCTACTACATCAAGATAGTAAACTAGTCCAGTTACATCGAGATTCAAATAGATTGACAAAATTACTCCAATTTCATTTAAGACTTAGCTCCCATTTGTGCTATAAAATAAATACTTTGGTTTAACCTCTAAAGAACAATGATTTATTTTATAAATTGACAATCACTAGTTCAATAATTTAAATCATGATATATACATAATCCAAACGCTAAGTTTCACTTAAATCCATGAAAATCTGATTGATTAACTATTTTCCACATTGATTTTTCTTACTTTATTGTAAATTGTTTAGATGCTATGGATTATAAAGACATTCTTTTTTTGGTGACGCTACTCAACAGTTTATTATAATAAGCCGGATTTTACAAATAAGATGATATTGCATTCTTTTTAACATATTTTGCAGATCGAAGGTTAAGTTTAGCAGTTGAGAGTATTTATGTTTCTAAGTAATTATGAAGCTATATATTTTCCTTCATGAATTAATTTTTGCACTTATTTTATGCCAAACTGACAGATCTACATCGTATTTCTTTCATTAGATTTTTCGATTCATTCTTTAAACTATCACATCTTCTCATAATAATTTGGGTTTATCTGTTAAAACATTCTTTCATAAATTAAATTATATACAAGTAATTACAAACGATAATTCAATATTAATGAAAATTAATAAATAAACTTCTTTTGCAATTTTCTATTTTAATAAAAATGATTCATTCAATGCCTTTAGTTAATAACTTGAATCAAAACATATGACTCAAAAATTTAACATATTATTTATTTTAATTTTGATACCACTTTAACTTAAAATAATTATTATAAAAATGATTAGTAAATTTTAATACAATATTTTCAAAAAAATTCCTTCTCTATTCGATGCTTTTATAGCTAACCTTGGATTAACTCTTCCTCTAGTTCCTCAGTTTCCTCAGTTATGATTTTCATTTTCTCAATTTTTTGATTGTCTTTAAATTTTTGTTTGGAAGACGTTGCATAAAGAATAACTTAGTTTCTCATAAGTTCCTCTTTGTTAGCATTCTCAGAATGATAAATGAAGTGAAGCTTTTCTAAAAACTTGGAGTCGTGTTTTAAAACCAAACCTAATATATTTATAATTGAAATTACTTTTTATTTCCTCCTTCTAACTCTGATTTATTAAATTTGTAGATGTTAGACTAGACAGGATTTTTAAAACATCATAATAAAATAATTACATAAAATACTATGTATAACTCTAAATACAAAAGCTAAATACAATTAATTTATTGAAATAACTTAATAGTGAATATTATTTCTTTCGATTTTTCAATTTAATGCGTAATTACTATTCAAATATGCGTCTTGTTCTAATTAACATAAAATTTATTTATCAATCAATTTTTTTCTTCCTTTTTATCTTATCTAATTGTCCTCTGATTGATGTTTTCAGATTAGAAATTTATTATAATTTAGCATTATATTGAGGCACCAAAGAAAATATTTTTTGTATATATTGGATTTGATCTTTCTACTTTTCTTTTTTTATGAATTCAATATCATCCAATATTTACGCCTACTTCAATCTTTTTTAGTAATATACATTACATAGATTCTTCACTCTATTATCTTAAAGTTAGTATTCTTTGCTCATCCAATTAGACTAAAACCAACTTAAAATCTTCAAAATTCTTAATTTGCCCAATGTCTATGATTGATTATTTTGCTAAATTATTTTCCAAAGTTAGACTTTCTTCCTCTTCGTCCTGCTCATTAAATTCCCCTTCATGTTCAATTGCTTTATTCATCAGCATATTATTATAATATATATAAAATTATAATATTTTTTCCGCTTTAATCGATTTTATTGATTTACAATTTTGAATATCAGCATCCCTTTGTAGGTAAAAAATTTAAGATAATTAAATATGAATGAGAATTGAGCTAAATGCAGAATTCAATAATAAATTCATCAATAAAATAGATGAAAAATAAAATAAAGTCAAAAATTATTTCTTAAAGTTTTAACTTTGTCGAATGAAATCTCAATCATAATTATTTATTATTATA